GTGTTCCCCTGCATAATACAGTCATCCCAGCACAGGGAGCATCACCTATTTCCAGCAGACCAGTGTTACCCACTCTAAGAAAGCTCTAAAGCAGACGGTACAGAGCAGTGCAGGGGGTACACACATCGGTCGTGCATGGAAATACACCGCAGGTGAAAAGAAGCTGCTTTATGGAACAGGACTGGGAGCATGGGCAACAGCTGCAAAGCCTGGAAGATTTCTCAACAGTGTCTTAGAAATCTCTAAATTTCAAGCTCATAAACCAATCCTATTAAGATATAGCTCACTATGTTTTAAAACTACACAGAAGCTTCAACACCTCATATCTTTGATAGGTTTGTGACAGAGAAAATGTTTATTATTACCTGTTTCAGCACTGAGTGAGTGGATGAATGGACATCCCTGTTCACTGACTGCACCGTAGACTTTGGCCACTGGAAGACTTCAGATATGCTACTGCGTATGGCAGAGCTGACAGGGACAGAGAGGACACTGTTAAACCACCTTCCACCAAAAACATCAAACCCAGGCTAACTGAACCATTGCTTGTAGTGTGCATCACACAGAAAGGGGGCTTTGGATCCTGCCTGGCAGAGAAATGCGCTGAACAGGCACCACCACAAGCTGCAGGGCCCATTCCTACACGACTGATCTGACTTCACTCACAGGAACAAAGCATCTTCACTACAGTGAGCAAGAGGATGCAGGACTAAAGATGCTTTTTTTTTTTTTTTTTTTTTTTTTTACCACTACAGCGTTTCTGCTTACCAATTTTTCTTAAAAATATTTATCCAGACAAGGGTTTACATGAGTCCTTATCTGATCCTAACCCATAAACGCTTTTAAGCAGAACTTCTTCTTTTATCCACGTAACCGGGTTTTATATGCATCATGTACAATGGGAAACAGCCAGGAATCCAAGATCAATACAAATAAAAATGAAAAATAATACGATGTGCTAAATTACTATGACTGATTCCTTGTATTAGTAACACACACACACAAAAAACAATTCAATCCATACTTGCAGGATTGTATCAGTGGCCAATTACTAATTCAAAATTTTACTGCTGTCTTGCTGGCTATTCCATGGAATAATAGCAAATGTATTTCCAACTCTGATTTTGTCTCATTAAATACTGTTGTTTCGAGAATGAAATCATTTTCAGAAGAACTCAAGGTGCACACACGTAGTTGGAGGAAGCAGCCCTCAAATATGTCATTCATTCTTGGAAAACCCAACACAGCCTTTAGGAGAGATGATGCTCCCGCTGCAGCGCCTGTGCAGAACACGTAGCACAGGGTAAACTGACAAAATAATTGGATTATGCACACACAATTCAGACTTTCAGTTACTGGGTGCTTTCTGGCTCCTGGTTTCCACAGAAAAGTCAGGTTTTTGTCCCTTATTCCTTAAGTCCTTGTACTGCTTATTTACATATGAAAAGGTAAGTTTATAAAAGAGCTTTCCTATTTTACTACATCTAATAGTTAATAATTTAAATCTGCAGCCATTATCATCATATAGATTGACACAAATGGCATATGGATCATTCTGGAGATGAGGGTTAGTTTCTTTTAAGAGAGAATTGTTTTAGTTTTTGCAGGAAATTAATCAGGGGAATGGGCTTTGTGGAGCATGGAGCAAATCTAATCTGTTCTTTGTTCAAATTTGCCTTGCTCCAATTCCTAGCAATTGTAGACAACATGCTCTTTTGTTCAGGAGCCACTTGTTACATGCATAATTAGAGACTGCAGTAGCTGTGTTTAAAGAAAAACTGTTTTCCAATGTAATGTGTGATCTTGATAATAGTATTTTCATCAAAGGTAGCAATTACATTCATTAAGCTGGGACTGGCAAGGCAGCAAGGAAATTAAGTGGAAGGTGAATAAAAAGCTCCCCGTTTCTTTTTAAAATCTCTGTCTCTTTATAAGTTGAAATGCACCATGTTGAGCTGCAACTGGAAAATACATACTGAATATAAAAAAAGAAAGAAAGAAAAAAAAATAAAGTCCTCCTTAACCTTTCTGAAGAATGATCCAGAAGATATCCTAGGGACACCTACTATAGATGCACTTTTCAAATTAAGGGGCTTTATTCTACATTAATTTCTTATGCAAGTTTTAAACGAGCTCAACATATGATTCAGGTCTTTAAAGGCTCCAGGGCTCTCTAGGATTAATTCACTGTTCTTTTCACACATAAATTAATTGTTTTGTGTTCCCAAAAACAGCAAACAGCACATAAATCAACCAGTTCAGGAGAGACACGAGGCTGGTACCTTTTGCAAATCACTGAAGTTCACTATTTATACTTCATTATTATAACGTAACTTTAAAATTAATAACACGTCCTACTTTTACAGCTTTTCCTTTACACAGATTGCTTGAATACACAACTCATTTTAGCAATTTGATTCCCTGAATGGCAAAAGTTGTGGAGCTGTTCTCCCAACGCTCATACTTTTCCAGTTAATAATTCAACCACACATCACTAATGTATTCCCAAACATTCCCACATAAAAATAGATAGTAAGAATAAACAGTCTCCCCCTCCTCTCCCAGCCCACCAGGCATTTTGCCTTAACCCTTGTAAAAGTGAGATTTGCAGATGGAAAGAAGGGAAAAATATTTGCATATGGAAAGAAGGGAAGATTGAAACCTGCAAGCCCCAGAGCCACAGCAGGCTGTGCGCAGTCTGCAGGCTCCCCCCATGCACTCCTGCTGAGCACGCACAGAGGAATCATCTCATTTTTTTTTTGCACTCCAAAACGTAATCCTGCTTTCTTCCAAGCTGAGCAGCAGGGTTAAGCAGGTATTTCCCTTGTACCTTTGCCCTGTGCTGGCAGAGCCAGAGCAGTGCTAGACAGCCCTACTCACCGGGCAGAGACGTCACTGCTTCAGGTTAGGTCTGAGCCCTCCTCACGCATCCTGGCAAAATATCCCCTGTCAGGGATCTGGGCGAGCACCCCAGCAAATGACACTTTCAGCAAGGGGAGCAAGCATAACTTACAAGCACTCGCAGCAGGACAGGGTTAGAAGCAGACCACGGCAGGTACCATGCTCCTGCCTTGAACACGGATGTCCCAGCATGCGCTCATCTCGAGGCAAGAGAGAAAAATTAGAGCCAGAACCTTGCTCCAAAAATAACTGCTTCTCTCTCTGCCCTTCCCAGAAATAGAATATGAAACCGCAGCATCTTGGCCAAATTGGAATTTGCATAGTTCTGCGAAGCATTTCCTTCAGTTAGGAATGATTTAATTACTCTTCACTTCCTCTTCTAGAAATCATTCCTGGATAATGATGTTAGCATAGAGCAGATATGTTTCAGTCAAGAAAAAGATGTAATTCAGTGCCAGAAGGCTTTTATAGCTTAAAAAAAAAAAAAAAAAAAAAAAGGAGAAAAAAAGGAATTTTGGACACTTCTAAATAGAAGTAACAGCATAGAAAACGTGAGCTATTCATTTGCAAGTCTGAAACACTGGAGCATTGGGTGTTTTAACCCAATGTTGTGTCAGCCCCTGAAGAATTAGAGGACAACCACAACACTCACGTGTCCCAGAGTCTTACATTTTAAATAATTATTAAATAATGACAAGCTGTATTACCTCCAGAGAATTGTTTATCTCTGCAAATTGAATCACTGAAGCTGAAGCACGGTAGAGCTAAAATACTTCTGGTATAGAATGGAAGACCTGTTACTGCACCTTACCTTGGACCTTAGAAACTGTGAATCTTCGGTGATAGCTAAATATAGCTTACAATAAGATGGATTTAGCTTTTATTATTCAAGCAACAAGCAAAATAACCTGCCATAGCAATGAATTGTACACCTTGCCTTAATTAAGCGGAGAAAATTGTTTTCTTTTTAAAGCTTGCTTGGACAGGCACTGAAAAGACAAAAGAAATTTGGAATTTACGAAGGGAGCACAACAGTTTGTGTTTGAGAAAAATCATAGAATGGAACATAAGGAGTTTTTCTCTGAACACAGGGAAAACAAGACTATGAACGTAAGTACAGCCTTCATATCATATACCAATCTTCTAGTACATAATAGGGAGTCATAAAACATTTTCAAAGTTCAAAAAGTACCTGAGCTGAAAAAGTGCTTTGCCTCAATTCTTGCGGGAACAATTGGAGCAAATGCTGCATTTGGTACATAAACATCTTCCATCTCAGGAACAGAATGTCTTAACATTTTCTTTCCTAAAACAAACAGCATTGGCTTTTGCACTAAAACACATTTGCTGCATACCAACTATATATTCAGCAGCTCAACTAACAGAACAAGTTCTATGGAGCTTTTCAGCATTTAACTGAATTTCCAGAATCTTAACTTTAATTTCTGAATTATTCCTGGATTCTTTTTTCTTCACTCAGTTTAAGAGTCAGAGCACAAAGCTATTCCATATGAGATAAAATGAAAAGAAAAAAGACCTTTGTATCATTTCAAAGTTGGCTTTTTCTCTTTAGCTGGTGTTGGGTGCATGATGAGGTGACTCCATAAACAAAGTTTTATCAACCTTTTTTATTTTAATTTTATTTTAGCAATGTTGAAGTTGAGTTTATCGCTGTGTTTTAGGTTTTCCAGTTTCTATTTTAGTTTTCCTTCAAAGTACGAGATGTCCCTGGCCATGGCAGAGGGGTTGGAACTAGATGATCTTTAAGGTCCCTCCCAACCTCACATGACATTGGATGAATTTATTTTTCCACATGTTCGGAAGTCCTCATTGTATATATTAAATAAAACTGAGCTCTGAAAGCACTGTGTTTTTGGCCATCAAGATACAGTTTTCCATCAGGTGCAGAATACTTTTTCTTTAGTATCTTTAGTGAAGTCACCTTGAGGCTTTTTTAAATTTATAAATTTTTTTTTATATATATAGTTCTCCAGTATTAGTCACTCTACACAAATGAGAAAGATGAGAAAAGTTTCACAAGGATGTGAATCCAAATGATCTTGAAGGACAGAAGAATACACAAAAATACTATTGCTGTCTGTTGAGATTGCACATCTTTATATTTAAATATAAATAAGAAAAAAGTTACAAAGTCAAAAAATACATTATACATTGTATATTCTTTTGAACATTAATATACCAATATGAATCAATGTTTGAACAATGAACTATGAAACAAGTTATTAGGAAACACAGCGGTTAGTTCTAGTCACCCAACATGCTCATGGTATTGCACACAAATAGAGTATTTTTAGAGGATAATAAACAGAGATTTCAAAGCAGCTTAATCATGTGTCTCGTACCAGCTAATGAGAAATTCCCTCAATGCCACTACACTGGACTTTGTTAATTATAGTGATTGATCTGACAGTCACCATGTTTAACTGAAATATTTATGGTCATTTCTATTTGTCAGCCTAGAACTCTGGATGAGCTGTGCACTGATGTTTGACTGTCCTTGGCATGGACTCAGTGAACACTCAGAAGCAGAACAAGAAGGAAGGCACCTGCTCCCTCTCACCTGAGTGCACAGCAGCCATACTACGTACCTACGTACCTCTACGCAGCCAAACGTGGACGAGTAAGACTTGCAGCTGTTCCATTTCACTGAAACTGTGGAGTTGCATTTTAGAGGAAAAGACAACTCTTTGCAAAATGCTCTGCAACTACTGCATTTCAATGGAACAAATTCAAAATAGGGAAAACTCTTCGGGAATTGTACAGCACATGCCTGATTTGCCCTGTCAGCTCATGCCCGATTTGTGCCTCCTCCAACAGTTTGCACAGTCATTACGTAACAGGTAAATATTTGTGAAATATTTGTGGCAGCTGTTGACCACTTTCACATAATTCTCGTAGGAGAAGATCTATCACATTGGTACAGTGAATACATTTTGGGACTGACTAAAAAATGTTTCAAGAAAGACAGCTGCTTTTGAACCAGACTGTTTCAAATCTAGTTTATCGTGGCATGAAGAACTTGAAATGTGTCTCTCACCAGAAGATTTCCAAACGGAAAGGTAATAACAAGTTAATTAGAAAATTCTTTACATAGTGAAAGGCTCCCACTGAACAATTACTTTATATTTCACGTAATCCTCTTCTAACACAATCTTTACATGGGGAAAAGAAAATGTGAAAGAAAGAACAACAGCACAGAAAACATTATATAAAATGTTATATTTGAGTATTTTCCACGTAACAATTAAATCTTTCTGTGGAGAACTGCCTCAGATCTTTATCAAACCAGGATAATACTACAGAAACCTGACAGAAGATACATTCAGTCTGTCCCAATGAAAAAAACTGCAATTTAAGATGACAGATTATTAGAGAACCATCAGCTGATACACAAGATCAGCATCTTATCTAGTCGAACATCAAATTCAGGCACTTTTTTATACATTCCTAATGCTTTTTTCTTCTTCCATCCAGGGAAGCCCAGATGTTGTATTTGCTTACTGAAGGTGTTGTTCCAAGGCAACAGACTGGACTGGCTGAGTTGACTAAGGGCACAAAGGGACAACTCAAAATATACATACGTAGTGTATAAAGCAGCTTCAAGCCCAACCCTCCGCACGGAAAGCCTCCCAACATTCACAGTGCCAGCTCTGCAGCCCCACACCTGTTGGTGTAGCCAGCCAACATGAACAGTCCCATGCCCAACCGTGCCAAATGCAGAACTGCAGTTTATGGCAATCCATAACTGCTTGTCCCAGACCCAACATGGGCTGGGAGACGTAGGCAGCATTTAATAGCTCCTGGACAACAGAGCACATTCTATTACTAAACCAGAGCCTGTGCTAGTGCAGGAATGGAACCGGACTTGAAGCCATCAAACAAGTTGACCCTTCCTAGAGTCAGTCAATGGCCAGAACACCCGATGCTTGATGTAGAGGTGTGCCCATGCGTGCCCTTTCGAAGCAAGAGTGGAGTCTGGAAAGAAACTCGGCAGTTACAGTTCATTTGTGCGCATATTCTTCCACAGAATTTTGTAGACAAAACTCCAATGAAATGCATACATTTCTTCCAAAAGGTATTAGAAGTGACAGATTGCAGCATATGGAACTGAGAGACATGAATTCACAGCTGTAGCAGTATTAAAGCATTGACCTAAGAGCTGACGTGCAGCTGATGAAGCTGTCCAGGTTGGTTTCTGGAGTATGGCACCCAAGTTCAGACTGCTGGAAATCACATTATTTTGATTTTTCACATTTTTTTTTTCCTCAAATAGATATCTGACACAGTTCTACACAAACAGACAGTCCTTTTACATAATGCTGAATATCCAGCCTTTAGCAGTCCTTCAGAGAGCTCTGCACTTTCCTTCACAAACAGTTTGCTTTTAGCACTATATTAAGTCAGTGAAGTATTGTCACCCACTTTGTAGCCTCACACAAAACTACAGAAACCAAGCCAAGATAGTGTTTCAAACTAGAAAACCTACTAAACAGTATGAATCAAAACGTGATCTCTGCTGATACTCATGTTAGCAAAGCAGGCTGAACTGCAGCAGCTAAGAACAGCCTCTCACTCCAGCAAGTCTCATTGTATTAATCAAGGTAACTCAAGCATTCGTAGTATCATTATGATCAGTCAGCTCACAGACTATAGTGAACAGAGTAACTCTAGTTAGACAATGTGGCATCTGTACTCTTAATTCCAGTCTAACAGCTGAAAAAGCCTGCAAACATCCTAAATGTATTTTTAAAAATAATATAGCTAGAATAATCTTTCAGAAATCATCTAGGCTTCTGTCCTACTTGTGTGTTTTTGAAAATCTCAAAATGGTTGATCAAACTCATATGGAAGATATATTTTTTTTTTTAAATCTGATATAATTACACTAATTCTTCACCTACCAACAGGCAAAGTGTGTATGTGAGGGAAATCACTCACAAAAAAAGTAGTTAGTTCCCTTTGAGGCTGACAGTCAATCCAAAAACTGTTTTAACGATGCTTTTTGTCCTTCCTTGTTTCTTTGTATAAGGCACTGCAGTCTGTCTTATCAAATTAGACTTATTAAGGATCATCTTCACTAGTTTTGCCAAAAAGTTCTCTACAAGTTTGAGACTGTAACATTCCAAGCTCCAAAGTGACTCATCAGTGACTAACAAGATTTAAAAGTGAGATTCCTTTAAGTTCAACAAAACAGAAAAACAATCCTTTCCTCCCCAAAACACTTGAAACAAATTGCCAATTACAGCAATTATAGTTTTTCATACACTGGGCTTTCAGTCTCTTGATTCTTAGTTAATTAGTTCTCCAACACTGAAGAGGTTTCAGCAGTAAATAAAATGTCTAATTTTAAAGTAAACAGAGAGGGACAAAAAAGCAAATACGTCTCAAGAAAATTATTTCCCACGCTCTCAGAAGAAAAACATCTCTGCATGTAGAGAACCACTCATTTCTATGAGTGAATTTTCTTCACTACAAATTAACAGACCCTCCCCAACTCTAAGGAAGGCTCTGAGGTTTAAAGTTTGTGACATATAGTGAACCCAGGGAAGTCCCTGTGAAATAGTATCACAGTTTTCTTATTACCTAGCTTATATCTCTGTCTTTTTGCAGAACTACCAGAGCTTTTTTAATGCCATTTCACAAAGATTTCAACTCAATCTTTTATAAAAGGATAACTATAAATAGTCTCTTTGATTAAAACCCTTAAGAGCTGAGAATGCTGGAAAGGGAGGTAGACATTATCCACTTTTCAGTACTACAAATTGGGGGCTGGAAGGGCTTAATTACCAAGATATACTTAAGAACACACTAAGGGCTGCTATAAAAATTACTCCAGTTACAGCAGCACCATAGACATCACTCCACCAGAAAAAGAGAAAACCATCACATTTACCTATTTTCAAACACCACTCCTGTAACCTATAAGGCGTTAAGAACAAACAGAAGCTTCACACCACGCAACAGTTGTGTTGCACATGAAGAAACCGTTCTCTCAGGTGGCTTAACAGAGCCTTTTACACCAGCCAAGCCAAGGATTTCTTTTGTTTTCACTTTGAAATTTCAAAGTTGCGACACACTGCTTGTATAATCTAAAGCAAGAAAATAATGCCAGTTAATGTATTAGCTTAGAAGTGTCTCAGACAGAAAGAAATACTTTTACCCATGATCTGGATTTGAATGTGGAATTCATGATTTAGCATGATTTACACATTCAATATCCTAAAATGGGAATTCATGGTTTTCCTTATGCTTTTGTCTGTGATGATATATTCTCATTTATGATACCATATTATACCATATTGATTTTTACAATTACAAATAAACCTGTAATTCACGATTAATGTTCAGTGAAATAATGTCTGTTAACAGTCAAGAAGTCCTTCAGTTTTCAGTACTCCTGGGCCAAGCTTTTTGCAATGGTGCTCAACTGGATATTTGAAGTTCCTTCATATATTGTACCTGAAATCAGAAGAGAATAAATTAGAAGACTATAAAACTTTGGTGAATATCTGAAGAGAGATCAATTCTAACAGACAAACTCCAACATTTATAATTATGAAGTGAAGCTTTACTGAGCAAGTTCTAGAAGCAGAATTAATATTTGCATAAGCGTTCCTATCTTATTATCTGCAATAATCAAAATACTTTTATTTTGGTACAACACAATGACAAGAAGTTTTCCTGAAAAGCAATTCCAAGATAACCACCAGAAGTTAACTATTAACAAATGATATCAGCAGTAAAGTCAAAGGGTAACATTGTTAGAAACATCAAAGTGTTAGGTTCAGAAATTACACTGGTAAACACATCTTGAATATAAAATTCTACATAAATTCAGATCATTAATTTAAAGATACTACTTTGATTTTTTTCGAACTGGAATTTTCCTAATGAAACAGAAAACAATGTGTGTCTGTATATTATTAATATCTAATTAAGTACTGTTACTAGCTGTACAAACACGGCTATTTATACCTAAAGTTTTACCATGTGATATCTGAGCCTTTGGATCAGTGTTGGTTACAGATCTTAAGGAAAAAAGTATCTTTAAAAAACAGCCAGTCACGCATGCCCAAGCTTTAATGCTACAAGAAATGCCTGTTAAGAAGCTACCACTCACCAATCTTGCAATCACGGTAGTATTTTTCTATTGGATAATTTTTTGTATATCCAACACCACCCATCCATTCAATGCATTTACTAGTTGTCAGTGTGGCAACCTATGAAAATAGTTTCACTGTTATGATTTCAGGATTGAACTTCTTGAAGGTGGTAGTAAATTTTATTCTCTGTAGCCATTTAAAGCAAACACAAAATAGTAAATAAAATAGTAAACTAGAACAAGTGAGAAAATGACACTGATATGTTTGTGTTCATCATCATACAAATAACGTCATTCTATATCAGAAGACATCAAGAATTCACTAGCCATTATTAACAGTAATTACAAAGAGGCAAAAACAATCCAGTTCTGAATCTTACTAAGCCCCACAGTTGTGACCAGTAGAGTTGAAATGATCACAAAGTCTCACCATACCATTTCTATGGCCACAAAAAGAGAATTCTGAAAGAGTGAATTCTCTCAAATGAGTAAAAATACTAATTCATTTTCTCTTTTAATGGGGCTCTTTTTTAATTTTTTTTATTTTATTTTTTTTTGTGATTTTATTTTGGCCACTGAAAAAGAAACTGCTCAAGTCCCTACTTTACTTTGAGACTGAGAAATAAGATAAAAGTACCCCACAGATTTCATAGCAAAATGTGAATTAAAAGTTGCACATTCAGTAACAAAAGAAACTGTCAAACAGTAGTGAAACAAGTTTATTGAACAGAGAAACTGTAAATTACCTCTGCAGCATAATATTTGGCCATGCTTGCCTCCTTTATGAATGGCTTTCCTGTTTCTGCAAGACGGGCTGCATTGTAGGTCAGCAGCCTCGCAGCCTCCAGCTGTGTGGCCACCTGAGCTATCTGATGTTGCATTCCCTGCAATAAGCATGCCAAAAGTCAGACAGAACTAGCACCCAACTGGAATTTCTAGCAAGAATCAGTTTTTCCTACTACAAAGGAACATACGTACACTCTAAAATTAAAAAAAAGTTTCAGATGGTCTGGTAATTGCACATGCCTCTGCATTGGTGGCATCCAAGCTGGCAAAACTCTTAAGTCACTGAAGTCCTTTTAGGAACTGCACTCCCCTTTTCTCCTTCCCTATTCTTGGATTCAGGTGTAATGGGTAACTTCTGCCTTGACTGGCTAGCCAGGAGGGTTCAACATGAACCTACTCGAACCCATGAGCACCAAGGAAAGTGTCACCCAAACCTCAGAATTCTCCTTGGCAGTGCAGGGACAGGGGTTGGTCAAAGCCATATTTTGCAGCTAATGAGAACATTTGTACATGAACGTGTCTACTACTGTCTACTATTAACTTGTCTACTGTCTACTAATGAAGCATAAGTGAGACAGACTTGAAAAAAGTACCTCTTAAATAAAGTGAAGAACTACAAAGGTGACAACTACTACTCCCCATGCCCCATACCCATGAAACAGAAGTTAGGAACGGCAAAGAAAGAAGTATAGAGGACATGTCTGATGAGGGGATTCAAGGGGAAAGAATAAGGTGATGGAACTCACCTCTAAATGTCAGGTATTACAGAAGAATAGGATTACTTAAAGTGACCCAAATATTACAATGATTGAAAATGGACATTTAGTAGTCTTAACTTGCTCCTAAACATAATGAAATCTTTCATCTTATTAGAACATTAACACTGCTCCTTAAAATTTGCAAAAATATATAGGCAGGTCAAAATAACAAAATGATTTGGCAATTACAAATTCCATTTTCCATTCAAAAGACGCAGTTCCAATCATTTCCTAGATATCTGTGGGTACTTCCTAAAATTTGTATAAATTATGAGTAGTACTAATGTTCCTTCCCTTCAGCTGAAATGTAGGTTTCTTTTAACAAGAAAATTACTATAGTAATTACAATTATACATCTTCCTTATTAAACTATACATCATTTTTGCAACAAAGAGTCTTTTTCATTTTAAGATACAGATATTATCATGGAAACTAAATGTCTTTGTATAACACAGGAAATATAATAATTCAATCAGTTTTCCTCATCTTTTTATACTTTCTAGTGTCTCCAGAAAAGGCATTCACCTACACCTCATAAAAGCGTATGAGAAGTGGAACACATTCTATACAGTGTGAGATTAAAATCCAAAGAGAACGTAATTCCGTGTGTATTATTTTCTAAAGCAGTGAATGAATTACATTAATACTGTTTTGAAGTTTTTAATGACTTATACTCGCAAAAACACATGGCACTGGAATTTATACATTTTACATGGCAGATGAATGCTCATCTGCAATTCTCCTAAAAAATGCTTCTCAAATACGAAGCAGAGAAATGACAGGTTGACCACAAATTAGGCAAATCACTTATTTCACCAACTACTGTGTGATCACTATTACCCTTTTACAGAAAGTTTCCCATGAGTTCATTATCAGGTACCTGGAAATCGAATATGCTTTTCCCAAACTGCACTCTCTCCTTTGTGTAGGGAATTGTATGGTCAAAACACCCCTGCGCCAATCCTAACATCTGTAAAAAAAAAAATAAAATAAGGCGTATATTCAGTAAAAAATAGTTGAATGAATGCACCTTACAGAGATGAGAGTAGTTGTGCTTCTTTCAGTCAGGCAGTTCAGATCATCTGTGTAAAAACCTTAATGTGCAGATTAAAAGTTTTCTTCTTTTCTTATTGAGGTGAGTCACCACAATAAGCCTACATTATACTACTTCAATCTTGAATTAAACATTCTTATTAAAGGCAAAATATTTGCAAAAACACTAAATTTTGAGCAAAAGTTGAGGGTCAAATGTGTTTTTGCAAATAGTAAATGTTTTCAGAATAATTTCTCATTTTAGGTTGGATGTTAGGAGGAACTTCTTTACCGAAAGGGTTGTTAGACATTGGAATGGGCTGCCCAGGGAAGTGGTGGAGTCACCATCCCTGGAGGTCTTTAAAAGATGTTTAGATGTAGAGCTTAGGGATATGGTTTAGTGGAGGACTGTTAGTGTTAGGTCAGAGGTTGGACTCGACGATCTTGAGGTCTCTTCCAACCTAGAAATTCTGTGATTCTGTAATGATGTCCAGTAGCGTATGGGTATTTTTGGATAGGTCCAAATATTAAGCTGAAAGCCAATAGCCCCAAGAAGGTAAAAATGTAACTCTGACTACCTTAAGACATTTAATCCTTTTTCAGTTAAGGTTCTAGGAAAAAAAATACAATATATACAAAAAGGTGTATGTGGGAAAAGAACATAGGTAAATAATGCAGTATGTTGCTAATTAGCTGTACTGGCATACTTGTTGCTTCCTTATATAAACTTGTATAGATGAACTAAGTATATCAACTTCAGCACCTGTGACAATATATACAGCTATCTTGCACTAAAACTATCTGAAACTGTTTTCATAGCCACAATTACATTTTTACAAAATGCTCATTATTTTTTAAACCTATCACTACTGCAAAACTAAATCCAGTACTACAGGACTTTTGAACTGCTGTTCTTGTCCATTCAAGTATATTTATCATAATTAGAAGGTGCCAAAAAAGTAGTAACTAAGATATAACAACTACCTGGCCTTAACTTTTAATTAGGTTATAAGTCTAACTTGGAGTAATTAAAAGAAAAAGCCAGACCATGTATTTTACTGCCAGAACATCTATATTATTTATATCTCTGGGAACACAGAGGCCCACAGCTCTAGTTTTTAAATGCCATATCCAACAAAGTTTAATCACAGATAATTTTCAGAAATGATGGAAAAGCCAACCTATTTAGCAGCATAGTACATTGCTATGTGGAAAGCCCAAATTTCACAAGGACTCTGCAAGATGGAGCAAAAGGTAAGGAAGATTGGTACTACAGATACATCACAGCCTATACAGCACAACTACATCCACAGCAAAATACAAAGAAAAGATCACTTGCAAAAGCAAATTCAAAATACCAAAGCTTGTCATAGGCTATTTTATTATAAGGCTGAATCTGATTTACACTGAAATCAGCACCAGTCTGAGATCCAAACTGATTTTACAACAGAATGCAACATTTGGAAGTAACTCCAAAATCAGCAAATATTTTCTCTAAGATGCCATAAGGCACAATTTTCAAACAACAATGAACTAGAACATTTCTGCTACAAAAGTTAATATTTACTTTAAAAATATGTTGACTTTTAAAAGTAAGTTGTTGAGAAAACATCAGTTAGCATAAGGTCACATTTAGCAATCCCCTCCAATTACAATTGGAAACATTAATTTTGTACATTTCACTATGTTAAATTGTCCAAAGAGCCAGTCTCCTTCAAAAAATAAATGTGCATAATGGGAGATAAAAATGTTGATACATTTCCGTAGCAGTAAGTTAACCACCAAAGACAAGCTAATTGCCATTTAATGTTTTCTAAATCTATTGCTTGTATCACCAAAGGAGAATTTTATCATTTGCAGTTGTTTCTGTACATTACTGTAACTTAGACACAGGGACAGTGACATCTAGTGGCAATACAGTTTTTAATAAAGGATTTCCTAAACACTTTATTCTTATTAACTGTAAATACTTTGTAAGTTTCCATCCAAATTCAAAGTCATACACTGGTTGTATCCCATATTAAGCAATGTTACCCACCTGTGCAGCAATACCTATTCTGCCTCCATTTAGCATTCCGATTGCATACTTATAGCCTTGCCCCACCTGTCCAAGGATGTTGGTCGCAGGAACCTAAAGAATAAAACCACTCGGTTATTCCTGTTCTATTCATCTTTGCAACTGCTAGAAGTGTTCATAGGTGAATTAGTGTACATTTTGTTTAATGTTCCCCATAAATGACAGCATAAAACATAAAGCAGACATTTGATTCCTAGAAATCTGATTAGAACATTCCCTGGCACACATGATTATAAACTGACAAAGGAGAGAAACTATCAAAACTTAGAACTCAATCCCCCTCAATACTTTTGAGAATTAGGGAGCAAATAGCCAAAGAAAGACAAATGATTAAAGGGTGAAAAGCAGGAAAAGAATTGGGAATTTACTTAACACTCTCCTTACTTGTGGTCAAGATCAAGTCATATACAAATTATGATTCAACAGCTAAACAGCTTACAATACCTTCACATTTTCAAATGTTACTGGGCAAGTAGAAGATGCTCTGATTCCAAGCTTATCCTCCTTCTTCCCTATGTGTAGGCCTTCTGTGTTGCGATCTACTATGAAGCATGTAATTCCCCTGTATCCCTAGGATGAATTAAAAATAATCAAAAACTTTTTTTTTCTACTAGTACTAACAAGTATATATAAAAACCAAATTCCAACACTGAAATTTTATACCTGCTTAATGATACATTAGTAAATAAAAGTCACCATCACCTGCTCCCTCTATGTCTACTAATTGCGGTTTAATAAGGCCAAAGTAAACCCTTCTATTCCACATGGAAAACAGAAAAGTCTTAGAAGTTCTCTTGAGAAGATAGGAGACCAGTACTACGTAACAGGAAGGGCTGTAGTGCCTGGCTGTTCTGAAAATCATGCATGCAACAATACACAGAATGTACAGCCAGTCTGGCATCTCTATGAGCAGTATTTCCCCCTGTTGGAACCGCAGGGCAACATTCTACAGGGCCTTAGACAGAAGCATGAAGTGCTCCGGGCCATGTTCTCATGTCTTCCTGTCTCTATCATCCACAGCATCTCCTCTTATTAGGAGGGGAACACAGTGAGGCAGGAAACAACCTGTGGTTCTTGTGGAAGAGTTGCGTCTTATTAAAGAGGAGACTGCTCTTCAAATCTCACCTTAATGACAGCCCACCTCACCAAACAGGAGCTGCTAGTGCAGAGTGTACATTTCGGTACACAGATCTATGGTGGTCTGGTCTCTAATTTGTACTGATGTCAGCTGTTACTTAATCTTTGAACTTCAGTGACTTTTAATATCGTTCTTGAACGTTTAAATGTAAAAACAATTTTCTAACTTTAAGAAGACAATGCGTTATATATTTAAAAAAATAAGATTTATTAGAGTTTTAAATTCTAATTTAAAATATAAGTATCTTCAAATAATTATTTTAAGTAAAATTGCCGTACTCTTGCAGTACAGCATATCTTAAAGTCTTTAGTTGATTTTTTTGAATCTTCACTAACTATATCGAAATTGTTAAGTGACAAGACTTGAAACATGCATATTCAGGTATGTTTTTCTTTTTTTTTTTTGCTTGTTTTGCTTTTTAATCTGATCATACTTTACTGCTGTTGTACACTTGTTAATTACCAAGTACATGTAGTCTAAGTTCTGTTTTGCCTCTTACGAACAGCAACTTGTCTGTTAGGTCAGAAGTGCCACAATCTCTGTTCTTCCATTACTCAGAATAATACCAACGCATGCTGTGCTCTTCATCTAAGCAATTATGATTCTGCCATTTTTATTTTCCCCAGTGGGAGGAATTTATTAAATTGCTCAGCAAGTTTTTTATTTTTGTTGCGAAATATTTTAAATGTTTGTTCTCAGCTAGGAAAAGGTACAAATAATGTTAACCTTTAGTACCAAATTATTAATATAAAATCCATAGTATCATATATCATCAGCTGTCATTGAAGATGCAATTATTCTTTAGCAACTTACTGAGGCAGGATCTGTATTTGCCATCACAAAGAAAACTCCAGCATGTTCTGCTAAGCTAATCCACATCTTTGAGCCATTGATAATATAGTAGTCTCCCTTCTTTTCAGCACGAGTCTTCAAAGAAAAAGCATCACTGCCAGAACCAGCCTCCGACAGACAGAAACTGCCTATCTGTCAATTAAAGGGGAAAAAAATCATTTTTACTTGTTTTTGAATATGTAGACACAACTTAGGAGTTACACAACAAAAACAGTTATCAGCAAGCACAAGCCTCTTAAATTCAAACATTTTAACTTACTGCCTCAAAGTAACTAAGTTTCAGATACAGAAATTAACAATACAAACACTGTATAATTACATGTCTCATACTCAAGAGCTTTAAAGTTTTTTTCCACAGTAAATTAACTTTTAATGACACTAGTAATTTCCACTTTTACCTCTCAGCTACTGATGACAGGATCTGTATCACCCCAGATCTCATCTCTAACAGGCATCTCAAAGTTCACACACACAGATTTTCCAATGCTGCAGTCACCCCATTTAGTTACTGAAAAAACACGCTAATGCTATATAACTATTGAAAACTATATTTTAGTAAAGTGTGACTATGACTCACTGTATCTTTAGACACTTTGGGCAAGTAAGTTCTCTTTTGTTCTTCTGTTCCATATGTGGTAAACAACCTATTTGTTAGTGTATTTTGGAGTTCACATAGAAGAGCTACAGCTGGATCAACTTTGGCCAATTCTTCTACCACCAATATGACTGAAAAAAATGAAGCTGCAGTTCCTCCATATTCTTCCCCAAGCTCAATACTCATCAGCTGAAAGGTAAAAGATGCAAATATGTCAGTCTTTCTCATTAGTTCTCACCAACAACTTGTTAATCTAAGCAGACACTTAGAGATTAAAAGAAAAACCATAGAATGTTAATATTTCTAGATCCTTCCCCACAGACCCAGCTTCCTTCAATACCCTTAAAAAACTAACAATTTATCAGAGAAGTTGATAAACAACTTAAGCAAGAAATAATGAACAAATGCAGTATACAGGTCAATCATCACTGACTAATTTGATTGCAATCTTCAGAACAATGGCAATCTAACCTCGTGACGAATATTTAGTCGTCATTGTATAAAGCGATGTTCTCATCACAGACAAGCTTTATTTAGGTTTGATAGCAGGAAAGGCTACAAGGAATGATAAACAGGTTATCTGCAACACAAGCCCTTGTGGTTGCCCAAAATGGACAGAGAGGACTCTTGATATCCTTTTCCAGCAATGCTTATTAAAGTCATGTTGGTTCTAGGATTCTATGCAATTTTGTTTATCCAGGGGGAAAAAAAAAACAAAAAGAGGTGGGCTAGAAAAGGAACTCAGGATGAAGAATGTGCTATGGGAGTGGTAAGATGGAAAGAATATCACAGTAAAAGATGGAGAGAGATAATGCAGTAAAAAAGAAGAGAAAGTTGCCCCAGTGTTGATAAACTCAAAATTTTCAACAATTCATCGGTTAATTTGACTTACATCTCTCAATCTAAAAATCTGAAAAGCAGACAGCTAGAAATCCCTATCAGCAGTGTCACTTTTTGATTAAAAAGTTAAGTAAAAGTGTGCAGACCCCTTGTTCAAACAATCCCTTTATTACAGAGTCTTCCATTTTCGAATTCTCATCCATTTTTTGCACCAAAGGTGCAACTCGTTCCTGAGCAAATTTTTTCACTGTAATGAAAAGAAAGAAACTGTGTAAGTATTCTAACACTCGAGGATCAATATAACAGTCATATGGTATTTCTGAGAGGTTATGCATATATTCTCTGACTCTTCCAGACAATTTAATAAAAGGACAAGTTGCCCAAGTGAAACAGAGTAATGTGCCACAACACTCAATTATCATTGCTTTCTGAACTCAGACACAAGTCTGTGAACTGAAACAAATACTTCGTATAGACTCAGAAATTTCAAAAGCACCTCAGCAACACTTACATGACAGTAGTTGACTAAAAAAAAAAAAGATAAAAATTACTTCAAATACATCGCTGTATCCTGTTCTTTATAAATTTAATGTACAGTTTGGGAAGATGGTCTCAGGCTTTAAAACATATTGAGTGTACAAGATCCTGTAAATAAAACTATTCCTGTTCAGCCTGAGCCTATTATAAGCTCTTTCCCAAACATACAGGTTCTCAGTCTTTCACCTTTGCCCTGAGGACTCCTCTTCTTCTGCCTGCATTGCAGACACATGGATCACATCTGTCACCATTCTGGGTATACCTGAAATCTCTGAAAACCAGCTGGAGCAGTTACCTGTAGCTGAACTAAGTGCCTGAGAAAGGGCACGAGTCAATGTCAGGCAACTTCACTGCTGCGACAGCAACAGCTTTGAACAGTTAATATTTATTTATGCAGAGTAAACTGCGCTATGGTATGTGGAACTGCGCTATGGTAGCATGGAAAAAGAATCGAAAGAACATTACATTCTTCTCTTGTGAATGAGAGCAGTTTTACAATTAAGCAAAATCAGACAAAATTTCCCTTCTTGCTAAACATTTCTGAACTTTTAGCCCCACAAAAAATAGGTACCCATGTTCTTCAGCATTGTTTCCTCTTCAGTGAATGTTTGAAGCGGAGCATAGACAACTCCATCACTGTCTAGTTTTGGCGCAAGTTCTGATTTGGAGGATCTAAAGACACACGGAGAAGCCCTCCACGAAGCTGCCAAGTATGCTGGTATATTTCTTTTCAGCTGTTGGAAACAAATACAGAACATCAGAACAGTTAATAGAGTTTGCATCTGTAGACTACTTTAATACTTCACATATTAATACCGAAAATACTTAATAAATACACTGGGTAGAACAGAATAGGAAATATAACTTACACTCAATCTACCTGACATCTATTAATACAAAACAATTTTCTTTCTTGAAGTTTAACACTTTATGCTACAAAATATTCAAAACATGAATTTTAGTCCGTTTTAATTTTTGTGGCAAATAAACCTCACTGATCGTACTTATTTTTGAAGACAATTTTGCAAGTGTGCTGCAATATTCATAGTATGAAATGTATACTTTGACAGAATTAATATCTCTACTGTATGGGGAAATGCATTTTCTAATGATTTTCTAAGATTTTGCATTGCAAAACCTTAGAAGCAATGAACAGAAAGCAGCTTTCAGGAACAAGCTAGATATTGTGATTGTTAAGTGGGTGGACACAGATAACGTGACAGAATTAGTTTTGCATCTTGGAGAGCTATAAACTACTTAATATTCAAATAATTACTCAGGTAGGTAACAGCATGCGTTAGAAAGGAGCCCATTTTTTGGTTTGAAAGTTAATACACTTTCTAACAGTAAAATAAGCTCTTAGGATTTAAAAAAGTTAGTATAACAAACATGAGCTAGCTCAAAAAGTAGCAGGCTAACAGTAACTACCCTGCTGCAAAACTTATTTTGCAGTATTGAAAAAGAACAGCTCGACTGCCTGACCTCAAAAGAGGCAAGACAGAAAAAAGGCTTTGCTTTCATAGCTCCCCAAACCCAACTAACTCTGTGGCTAATGTCTTAAGATCAGATCTTGCCTTGAGATTTCTTTCGCTATTGCTATGTCAGTCTGAAGTGCAGGCATTCATTTCTTATCAAGACAACTGCTGACAGAAACCCCTTGTAGAGACACAGCTGTGCCATAAAAATAACATATATCTGAACATTCTCCTGCCAACATACATTTTTGCTAGCGTGCACTCTTAACCCCACAGCGAGCAGACTGACAGGCTGTGCTGTAAACAGACTGCTACTTAGCTCATAGAACGCAGGGCAAGTTTGCAGTGCACAACGTGATAGTAGCATTCCTCAAAAAACAGCAGAAATTTTAGGGTCAGGAACTAAAATTTCTTTTGATCCTTCCAATAATTACTCTATTCCATGTTAGCTTTCAATACCTGTCACCCTGCTGGCTGAAGAACTGATATAAAACAGACTGTGGACTCCTTTTGTCTTAGAGACAAGATACCCAAGTCTATTACAAGTAAAGAACTCCAACTTTATCATAACCAGTCATGCATAGCAAAAAAGGGAAAAGTTGCAGTAGAGAAGACAGATATTGCTGTGAAGATTCAATGTTCATTCATATTCAACGCCACTAGCCAGATAAAACAAATACCGACTAGCAGGGCTGATTCACAAATACCAAGTTTAGATGATCAGAAGCGTTAGATAATTCTAACACGTTCAAATGAAGACTAAGTTACTGGAGTCATCACAAGTCTTCGGAGAAAACCAAAATAAGAGACACTTAAATAAAGGAAAAAATCCAAGGCAACTATGCTCTTGAAGCTGTCAGTGAGGAACTGGTTACACACAGAACATCCACCTATGGTAGGAATGCTCAAAACCTAGATGTGAAAAACTATTAAACATTTACCTGCCTAAGTCAGTGTTCTTGGTAAGGTCTACGAGGGAAAAAATATAAATATATACATATATATACACATGCATTTAACACAATGAGCTTCCTGAACAGTTATAGGACTACAAATCACACATAATTCCTGCATATAGAATGCTTCTTCCACTACTTTATTTCCAAGTACAAAGAAAAAAGTATTTTTCTTTCATGGTGGCATAACCAGTGACAAACCATTGAGTACATTTCATCAGTACTGACAATGAGCTGCCAGGAAAAATGCATAGCTCCCTTTTAAGAATACAAAACTTTTTGAAAAGCTGCAAGTATGTACGCTCATTATGCAACAAGCCAGCACTGTTGAAACAACTGGTAATGCTCTGGGCATCACCTGTACTTTCCTTTATTGCACTTGAAGCTGGGATGCAGAATTACCAACCATGCAGGTGAACACATCGCTAAACACACGCAGAGCACTCTACCCTGTGGGAAGCACAGATTTCATCATCCAGAGAAAAAATAACAGATTTTTCTCATATGTTTTCAGGAAAACGAGCAGCAGCTCAGCAAGGACATGCATGATTGTGCGGAGCTATACTGGCTGAGGTGACCTGCCACACACCTGGCTGGCACGTGGAAGCTCTGCAGGGTAAATAGTTCAGTGTTTCTTACAGGTTACAGCCTGTAGAGGTGTTTGCTACAAGTTACAGCCTCATAGAGATGGCACTAGGCAATAAAGGGAATTATTCATAACAGGGTTACCTCAAAAAGTCTTAAAACCAGCAGGATAGCCCTGAAATGAAACCTATACTGGCCACCCCCCCATATTCCTGTGGGTCGCCACTCTGTGCATTTCACTCCTGAGTATCAGCATGGTGTAGAAGCAACTGGTTTTCACTTTAATACTTAAGATTTTTTTTTAAATCAAGTATTACTTTTTACAATTTTATTCTTAGAAATCATAAAGTCATATACCATTGCAAATTCAGATAGGTAACGTGCATACACACTACTCAAATGCCCTGATACCTCTTCACTGCTTTTTCCTCCTTTTTTCCTGCAGGTAAGGCAATGATTTGTGTTCCTAGAAGATTCAGGCTGCCTGCCCTACTAAAAGCATATATTTGAAACGTGGTTGTTCCTGGGCTGCTGATAAACCGAAGAAAAATCAACGTTATCTCAACTCTTACCTTCACCTCAGCTCCCATAAAAAATTACCTTATCAGTTTCCCTTCACTTTTACAATCTGAAGCGAGGTTTTAACGCCGGCGGGCGCGGCAGCAGCATTAAGACATGAATATTAACACACGAAACAAACGCCACAGCTGTTTATTTCCCTGAGCTCCCTTCCCCGACGACTCTTCCCCATAACACGATCCCAGCCAGCCCCTTCCCACCACGGGCACCGGGCCGTGGGTTCGTCTCCTCTCTTTCCACAGCCTCATCGCTCCCCTCACCACCCTCTGGCAGCCTCCAGCCCCCCTCAGCGCGGGCTTCACCTTGGTGGCGCCGCTCCTCAGCCACCCGCCCGCCACCGCCGCCATCTTGTGGCACCGCCTCCCTCTCGCGAGGCTGCGGTGGGCAGGGCCGGGCCGGGCCGCGGGAGGCACAACAAAGATGGCGGCGGCCGGGGGCGGCGGAGGAGCGGGGCGGCGGCGGCTGTGGTGAGCGGCGCTGCGGGGCGGCCCCGGGGCCTCGCCCGCCCGCTCCTGACGGGCAGCACCCGCCTCGGGGAGCCTCGGGGTTATACCGGGGAGGGAGCGGCCCCCGTGGGCGAGTGGGTGGGTGGGCGGGGAGGGGATCGTTGGTGTGGCCGTGTCCCCCCCGTCCCCTCGACGGCGGCTGGTCCCGGCGCTGCACCTGCGGGCGGCCGGTGCCGCTGGCCCTCCTGTCCCCTGAGGGGGTGGTGACGGGACGAGAGTCCTTCGGGTCCTTCGTGTGCTGTGCTCCGCGTTTTAAGGCGTTTTTACTGGAAAAGATGAGGTTATGTCAGAGATACAGCCCCCTCTCTACCCCCTTTTCCATTACATCCCCCCCCCCCCCCCCCCCCGATCCCGTTAAAATAAAACGGGATGCGCACACGTAATCACTCTACTTTATTCTCCAACAACCATAATTTCACAAGTAAGATCGAGGTTTCCCCAAATGCATCGCTGCTTGTGGCTTTCTGGTACCCAACTTGCTTTCTCCAGCTGAATTCTTTGGGCGAAATACTCACAAGAACGCCTTTCGTCGAAGTACATCCTACAGCACCTCTCCCACCACAAACCTAGCCTGTACCCGCTGTACGTGGAGCAGGCAGAGCTGTCTGCGTGGAAAATGCTCTTTGTAAGGAGAACCAAAAGAATGCCTGACGTTATGGGCCCCCTTTCAAGGGCACGAAATGTGAGCCCTTCTGCTCAGGTTTTCTGATCATTAAAATTGCAGTTACTATCTTGCGGTAGTGACACGGCGAGTGGCTGTTCTTCACTGAAAAGGGAAATTATAAGTTGTATATCTGCTTTTTTTTTAAAAAAAAAAAAAAAGTATCACGGAGGGTTCTTATGTGCATGCGGATGTAGAGTTTTGTTGTCAAATTGTGGTAAATTACCTACACTAAAATAGAAAAATGGATGTCTACAAATTAAGTTGGTGAGATGAAGGAGGATCCCCCAGAATACTGTCTATTCTCAATCTCATTTCTTAACTTTATAACTTACTAAAAGATAGCTTGGTCAGGATTCTGCAATAAGTTGTTCTGTAGTCCTCTTCCATATCTTTAATTCATGACCTGATATCTTTCTGTTTTATTGCAGGAGACACCAACAGATGGAACACAAATTGACTTAAGCCTACATGAGGCTGGTGACACCGAAAAAAGGGTAGGCAAAATTCGCCTGTAACGATGTGTTCAAAACTAGTGCAACAGTATTAATAGCAATGATAGTTGAGGGTACCTAGGTATGATGTGAAAGAACATATTCATCTGGATACAGAAAGTGAACTAATGCTTGTAAATGACTTTGAAAGCATGGGAGAATGTGATTAAACATGATCTTGACCTCAGAACTGAGTTTTTGTATGTCACCTTTGTTCTGAGTAGTAAGTATGAGAAGACAAAGATATTCTTATTGGAAAGTGATTCTGATTATAATCTGCAGGAATAATAATAAAGCCTTTCTACAAGGCTTCTTTCTGGCTTTGATAATCATGCAGTCACTTCCCAACATGAGACTGCATTACAGTTGCTATGACTGAATTCCCTGGCTCTGGGTTTTCTGGAGCCAATTGTTCACCAGAGAAAACATGCAAACTATCAGTGAGATAAACATGTCTTTCTGTGAGATAGATAGAGTGGACAGAGTCTTTGACATACTTTTATGAGAAATGTAGACGTTCTAATAAAATTCATAGCGGTGGAATGTTAGAACTTGTCTTCCAAAATATGTACATACATATGTATATATAGTCAAGTTCCGTTCTTAAAACCTGTGGCAGTTGGGAAAAATAATGAATTTATTTCCTTTATTTGTTTTTTTCTTCCTTTCAGGGAAATTGGGGAAGCTGTGTTCTGTGCTTTCTGTCTGACGTAATGGGAATACATATTTGAGCATGCTTGCTACTTAGTAGGAGAAGTAAAGTTCAGGTACAATCCATTTTAAAATACGAAAAAACAAGTCGAGCAGTGTCTTGTTGACATTATGTCATTTTATCCAGATTTATATAGTCCTTATGTTACTGTTGCTGCAAATTATTTCCACACTAATACTTTTTAATGATCTTTAATGAGTTAAGAATTCTGAAAATCATATCCTTGTGGTTGTCAATTTAGGCACAATGCATGGTAAAAATAATCCCTCACTTTGAAAAGTTTGGTTTTATGATTGCATTCAAATTCAATGAAACTCATGATTTGAAAATATTTTTCCTTCTAGGCATAAGAGGTTTTAAACTTAAAGAGTGAATATGGGTGAAAAGAAGCCAGAACCTTTGGACTTTGTAAAAGACTTTCAGGAATATCTTACACAGCAGACTCACCATGTAAATATGATTTCTGGATCAGTTAGTGGAGACAAGGAAGCGGAGACTCTTCCGGGAGGTAAGCTGATTTCAGTGCTATGATTTTTTCTTTTTTTTTTTTTTGAGAAGGACTGCACTGTTTACATTCCAGATAATTATTCACGCTACTGAAATTGTATGGAAGCACTTCTAGGGGTAGTTTTCACATCATAAAAGATGTGTGTGTACCTTTATCTTAATCAGGGCTTGTTCCCACAGTTCTGTATATCTGATGAGCAAGGGCATACAGAAGCAGCGATGTTTGGCATATTCTCACAGCACAATAGCTAGTATCCCAGTGATTCTCTATTGAAATCTCTGTTGCGTTATTCACAGCTGGGACCGAAGGTGATCAGAATGGTCTGGATCATCCTTCTGTTGAAGTTTCACTGGATGAAAACTCAGGAATGTTAGTGGATGGGTTTGAAAGGACATTTGATGGAAAATTAAAGTGTCGATACTGCAACTATGCCAGCAAAGGAACAGCACGGCTCATAGAGCATATCAGAATTCATACAGGTATGCAATATTCTACGGTACTTTGCTGTGAGACATGGTGGTATTAGCTCAATGTTATGATTTGCGTTGTGAGCAGCTGGCATCATCAAGCAGTGTGACAGTTCTTAAGGTTATCCCAGAGTTAGACCTACTTCTTTTTTTAATGCCCGCTTAGCTTTATTGTTGCAGACTGCTGAATTTGAAGTAAGTATATATGGGAGTAAAGTTCAGCATGAAAGCATCGATGGTTTTGAAGGGCCATAATGGTAACTTCAAATTTTTCCGTGGTAATTAGAAGAGTTAGAAATGTATACGCTGCCACATGGGGGCTGTTCTTTCTCTGCTGTTTAATTAGGAAAATATTCCTGTTTTGCACAACATTGTGGATGTGAGAGTACTAAATGTAGTAATACGGGTGAGCTACTCAAGTGTGAGGTCACATTAAATAAGTCATTAAAGAGAGTAATAAAAAGGAGAAAACTACTTATGTGGCTTGCTTAAGTGCATTTGCCACTGTTGAGTTTTTAAAACTGAAAAGCAAAGCTCACAGTAAAGATAAGAATACCCGAAAGTGTTTGTGAAGTTAGCTCTAACCTCTTGGCAATTGAGAGAAAATAAGTGACAGGGCCTTTTAAAGTCTGACTTTGGTGTCTACGCAGTATGTTGCACTGATATGGAATACTTTATGGCTACTGATTATGGCAAGAAGGGGCTGGGGAGGAAGTCAGGTTCTGCAAAGAATGGGAGTTGTTACAGGTTTTCAGTCTGTTGTGTATAGGGACTGTCCAAAACTTCCAACTCTCACTTCAACTGTCTTGTGTAGGAGACATCCTGGGAATCACTTTAAAGGAAGCATATTGTAGTATCTTGGATGTAATCCTAAATCTTTTTAGGTACAGTTGTTGTTAGTCAGATGCTTGCTTTACTGTAAACCATTGTTTTTACATAGTAACTCCCAGGATGTGCTTTTGGGAAGTCAGTGCTACTTACATGGTCCTCAGAATGTTGACCTGTTTTTACAAGGCATAATGGAATAGAAGATGGCAAGCAACTAGAAATCAAGAGTTCTGAGGTTCAGACTCTGAAAATCTTTTAAGTTATTCCATAGTGAATTTTCATTTTCAAATTCCCAGTGGAAATTTTGTGCCCTTTCAATAGGGCATAAAATACCGTGGTTTGTTTACCTGTGCTTGACACAGTGTCAACGCAGGGCTTGCTGCCCACCTGCAAAGCAGCAAGGTGTTTTGGAACTGTTTTTTTGGCAACAGTTTTTGATAAATAAGTTACAGTTTCACCTGCCATTTGCCTCAGATGGTATGTGGACAGTGAGAGATTTTTCTTTCGACGGCTTTACTCTGTGCAGTGCTATTTCTGGGCTTGTGCAACAAGGATCATGTAGTAGGAGCAACTGTAGCAGTTTAGGATGAGAAATGGTATTTAAAGATGCAGAGGTAACATCAACTTTAAAATTTCATGTCTTTTCAGTAGTGTATAGCTATTGCCATCTAAAAGCTTGCATCTCTAAGCCCCTAGTCAGTTGTCAACATGAGCAGATGGACTGCTAGAGCTGTGATGGGAAACATAAATTGCTGCTAGAAGATGTTGGTATTGTATCGTGTGTTTGCTGATTCTTGAGCTGTCTTTAATGGCTTGACATGCATGGGATTCTGCAAACAATGACCGAAATAACGTGTTGTTACTTAACGTTAAATGTCATATATCTTTGCTGTACCAAACAGCAAAAATAATCTTTTCTTTTGCCAAGTATCAGAACGTGGATGAGGCTACAGTGCCAGCATTCCTTCTTATACTCTAGAAAGTTGCCTACCTTTTTTGTACTCTCAGAGCTTAGGTGAGCAGTTCATTTCTGTTCTCAAAAAGCCTTCTTACCCTGCTGCTGTTTTAGGAAGCGAAGGTCACTTAGTGGCTTGAGTTAGCAGACCATGATCATTTCAGTACGGTTGTGATATGCAAAAGCAAGAAAGATTCCAATTAAAAATTGTGATGCTGAGAAACATCCTCAAAATTTATTGACCCAGTGGTAATTATTCAGAAGCAAGCCTTCTTTTTATAAAGAAAGCCCTTTTTAGTGCAAAAAATAATACCTTGGGTTTCTGTCTTGGGTAATATCTCAACTTGTAGTATATGATATTTGTTAACATGATCCCAAAGTGGAACTTTTGGGTAGTAAGAAAGACAAACAGCCTGTAAAACTAGCACTGCTTTGTCGGCTGCTTTTTGTTTCAAATAAAATGGTGGCTCTGAATCCAAGTTTTGGGAAACAGTGGAAGAGTGGAGCTTTACGTGTGGGATATCTGTTCCCAGTGTGCTCCTGCAAGCGTTGTCAGTATTGGAGAGTGTGTGTGTGACTCATTTGATCAGCAAACCTTCACAAAGGCCCTAGGAAAATGTAGTTGACTTGAAGATATGTATTGCTGTACTACAAAGTCATGGAGTATGAATGTATTTCAGTTTCAGAAGGCTAACTAGCAGTGAGAGAAGGATCCAGGGGATATCAGCCTACTGTACATCAAAGAGCTTCTGCAATTTGGATGCATCTTCACACGGTGAATGCTTTATAAACAGAACACTGGTACAGACGTTTTTGATACCTACTGTAATACCAGTGGCTTCCTGGTTCACTTCCCTCTGCTAGTCTGCTCAGTCTTATCATACAGACAAGAATCTCAGGTTGCCAGAGAGAGCTTTTTCTGCATTGTCTATCCTTTACCTTTTTAACAATATGTGTGATATCCTTAATTTTAATACTGCTCTGCATGGTGTCCTGATGGCAAGGCTATTTTGCCGTTCCCTTTAATGGCTCTTTCAGAAAGCCCCACTTTGTTCTGTTGTACACAGCCAGGGAACTCCAGAAAAAGGAAGGTTGCTCTTTGTTTTGTTTTGTTTGTTTCCACTTAAGGGCAAGGAGATCCAAGACCTGAGTGTGGTTTTGCTCAGAAGCATGGTGAGGAAGCATGGCAAAGGGCTAAGACATGGATTGCATGGACTATGAAAGCTCAGAGTGAGTGAATCAGCATTATAATAGGGAAGTGGTAGCTGACCAGTAGCCCCAGAGCAATGTAAGTAAACAGATAACCTGCAAGTGCAGCGAGCTATCTGCTAAAGCAATGATGGTGCAGGCACCATCACACAACCATTATTAACTGTAACTTAGAGCAGAATTAAATTCACGCAGAGTCTAACAGCAGTACGATTAGTAGTTCACCAGCTGCGGTGTATTAAGGGCTTGTGACATGGGATGCAAATCTTTTTCTGTGGAGTGAAAAAAGAACTTGTCTGTGTGAATTGCCTGTCAGAATACAGGGAGTTTCTTTTCATTACATCGTTGTCTGTACCAATCTTTACATGTGTATCTGAGTACATGTGTATGCTCATCAGAAAATCGTAGTTTCAGTTGGTACAGAGTAGCACGGAAATCTCTTCCTTGCCTCTTGAGGAGCCAGTGATATACAAAAAAATAATCCTTTACTCACAACCCCTGGGTGTGATAACTCTTCAGCCACGGGATTCTTTTCAGTTCTTGTGTGTCTGCATGTATACATGAGTTACTTAGATAATAATTCCAGAATGTTTAAAAGTAAAAATGTTTGAAAGATAACAAAAGAATACCCTCCCTCATTGTTTAAACACAGTTACCAGTAAGAAAATGACAATACAGACATTACTGTAGCTTACTGCTTATGCGCTTTAAAGGTGGGGTGGAGTTTGGATCTAGTGAGAGCACCACACAGACATCACTGCATTCAGTGCTCGGCATTGTTGCTGCAATTCCTACTCAGGTTACCTGTTACGATAGTTCTGCTCACAGTTTTTTGATGCTCTCTCACTTGAGAGAGGCAGACATGTCTAACTTCACTCCACTGTTCCACCAAATACCCAGTTAAAGTCAAGACTAGCAGCAATTCTGAAGCTGCATTTGAACTGATTAGCAGCTCACAGTTAGCTACTTTCTGTTCCATGGAAAGCTTTTTTCAGTGAGATGCTGTATTATCTATTTTAATTTTCCAGGTGAGAAGCCACACAGATGCCATTTGTGTCCCTTCGCATCAGCTTACGAACGCCATCTGGAAGCGCACATGCGATCACATACCGGTGAAAAACCATACAAGTGTGAGCTGTGTTCCTTCCGCTGCAGTGACAGAAGCAACTTATCCCACCACCGGAGGCGCAAGCATAAAATGGTGCCTATCAAGGGTACAAGGTCCTCCCTAAGCAGCAAGAAAATGTGGGGGGTTTTGCAGAAGAAGACCAGCAACTTGGGGTACAGCAGAAGAGCATTAATTAATTTGAGCCCACCTTCCATGGTGGTTCAGAAACCGGACTACCTTAACGATTTTACTCATGAAATCCCAAATATCCAGACTGAAGCATACGAGAGCATGACAAAACCATCCCAGAGCAGCGGGTTGCCAAGAGATCCGCAAGACCTTATGGTAGATAATCCTTTAAACCAGCTATCTACGCTAGCCGGACAGTTATCTAGCCTGCCGCCTGAAAACCAAAATCCTGCCTCTCCTGATGTTGTTTCCTGTCAAGATGAAAAGCCTTTCATGATGCAGCAGCCTACTGCACCTGCAGTCGTTTCGGCTGTGTCGGCAAATATTCCTCAAAGTTCATCTCCAACCAGCCCAGACCCCCGGCCCGCACACAATCAGAGGAACTACAGCCCGGTGGCAGGGCCGAGCAGCGATCGCAGTGCCCACACCAGCACTCCCAGCATAAGCAACAGCCAACCAAGTACTCCAGCTCCCACCCTGCCGGTTCAGGACCCTCAGCTTCTGCATCACTGCCAGCACTGTGACATGTACTTTGCGGACAATATCCTTTATACTATTCACATGGGGTGTCATGGATTTGAAAATCCCTTTCAGTGCAACATATGCGGGTGCAAGTGTAAAAATAAGTATGACTTTGCTTGCCATTTTGCAAGAGGACAACATAGTCAACATTGAGAACATGCTTTCATTTATTTTTTTTTAACATATGACAATATATTTTTCATACTTGCTGAAGGAAAGCTTGCACGTTCCCATAAGGAATCTTCACGTTAAACAATTGGAAAAAGGAGGCAAACTTATTTCTTTGTTGTCATAAAACTTGCCAGAGGAGTTTTGTATAACATGTGGTTGTTATTTTATATGTAGCCTTTCAAAAAAAAAAAAAAAAAGGAAAAAGCAAGTGAAGGTGTTACATGAATTGGAATGCTTTAAGATGTTTTGGTTGCTAAATTTGAGTTGCTTGCATTTAAAATCCCAATAAACATTCTACAGATGTAGAAGCAGAGCACATGTCCAGAAACATAGGATGCAATTACAAGATTATTTACTAGGCAAGATAAAATGTTAACCATTAACTATGAAGGGTGAATGCAATGACACATGTGGTTACTTTGGAGACACACTTTTTCTTAAAAACTTAGCTACTGTCAAGCTGAAATCACAAACAGAAGCAATTTTCACGTACAAATTCAATTGAATTTAACAGTTAACTTTAATCTGATTAAGGTTAGTATGTTTCTACTTGGTATAGCACAAACTTTTCATGCTGGGGCTCAAACACTTATTTTTAAGACACCTCACAAAACAAGAATACAAAGGTTATTGTTAATTAAACTCTGGTAGGAAAAAAAGTTAAGAGCCTGGCTTTCACTAGTTGTATACAGAAAAATCAAACATGACAACTTGTTTTAAACTACACAGATTCAGTGAGACTTTAACTGCCTTAAACTAATTTGTACACATATTTAAAATTTGCACAATTAGTCTTCTGTCTTGCTGATAGGAGTTCTAATAGAAACAAACAAGAGGTTTACGAATTAAAAGTAGTTTGTTCAGTTTTACCTTGGGCTGAGCTACAACTGGTAGGTTGCATTTATGTTTGAAAGTCATGGAATCTAGGTTGTTGTAAACTTCAGCTAACTTGGAAGTCAGTTTGTCTTGTCCCCTCCCTAAATTTGTTATCCTTTTGGTGTGCTAGAAATCAGGGGAAGAGGTTGTGCTTTATTTTTTTTTTTTAAACAGGTCATGTAGTAGACAGGCAAAGGAATACTGGCTGGCTACATTTGGAGTCATTGTGATTAATACTGTAAGTGGCAAATGGTCACTAAAGATGTACACAAAGTCCATTGCACACGTTTATTTTTTTTAATTCTGTACATCTTACTTTAGAAGCACCTAGGCTAATGGACAGGCACTTTATATAAACTTAAATAAAACATCCTACTAAAATTAATAAAAGCTCTTGACATGCTACGTAGGAATTTGTAATGTTTCAAAAAAGGGAAGAACTGTTACTTTTCCCATATTTAGACATGCACTTTTACCTTAGTTTGTCTTACCTGAGACAAATTAAAGCTTCCCTGATATTTTTCAGCAAAATATGTCAGAGAATATGATTTGTTAAAAGTAGGAAGAAGATTTGATTAATGTTCTGGAAGTCAGAGGCTGCAATCTGAATGTTTGGGTTATTCAGATTTGTATTGTCATGGGAGCTAAAGCTCCAATGGAAGAACTTACGATGACTTCGGTGTAAGATCAATATGCAGGGGAACAAAATGCTGCTGGAAGTGTTGACATCGGAAGTAATTTTCAGTTGAATGGATTAGAAATTTGGGAACTGAATACGCTTCTCTAGATCTTCTTTATCTGCTGTTGAATTTTCCATGCTGAAATTACTAGTTGAAGGAACTGGATTCTTGTCCACACCTAGTTAAGGGGATTAGAAATACTCCGTTTCAGTGTTTGCAAGGCAGTGAAGGTTAAGGGTAACGTGCTGTCACTCCTAAAAATGTTTAATTTTCTGGTTTGTGTAACTGAGAATATAATTTCCATTTCACATAATGACATTCTTTATAATCCCCTAATATCCCTGTGTTGCTTTATACTTTTAAAATTTATTTTCAGAAGGAAAACAGCAATTCTGTACGCAGAAACTGATATGCAGAGGACCTGGAGTCATCTACTTGCATGGCTTTCTGCATGTTAAAGACTACAGTAAAGTTGACTAAACTGAAATTTAGTTGGAATTTATTGCTCCTGTACAGATTTTGTAACAAGACCCTCCCAGTGAAAGAACAATGTAGAAATGATAGATCTTTTGATCACATTTATACCATCGACAATCTAAATTTGGCTAAAATACTGCATTAGAACCCCAAACCTTGAACACTGTTACAGGTAGTAATTTATAGAGGCCATTTTCCTTGCCTTTTGACAGATGCTGTAAACTTTTATTCCTAGGTTTTAGCAGTTAAAAGGAAGCTTCTTAAATTGTTTTGCTACAAGGAGTAACTTCCAATTCTGAATAATGCAGATTGCAACACCAAAGTTATTCTTGGTTCATGGCTCCAGTCCTTGTCCCTCTCAGTACTGGTAGGGAGATTAACTCTGATGTGCACAAATGTTGGGATTTCATTCTTCCATTCTTTCCATCACTTTTGATCTATTAGGACTTTCATTGGCAATGCCCCCAAATGTTATAGACTTTTGGTGTAGGCTAATGACTTGGTGATTTAGAAAAAATGATTTCTGAACCATAATTCCCCTGAAAGAAATTTTAGGTAGGAGAACAGTTAGGTCACTAACAGAAGGAGCTGCTAGCAAGAGGAAGCCTGCATGTCATTATTGAAAAGGGGATCTCTGTTGAGGGGGAACATATTTTCTTCATAATAGAACTCATGAAAAAAAAAAAAAGGCCCCAAACCTTGCAAACTATTCTGTAGCAGTTTTTTAATACTGCTGACTTAATATCAGTTTCTACTTTGGATTTCCCCAAAAAAACTATCTTGAACATCTGAAAATGAACAATTACAAAAACATTTTTCCTCCCTTCTGTGTGCAAGCTCCGCTTTGTGTGGGGGTGGTTTGTAGGCAGCAGCAGCAGGCTTTAGTGTTCACTGCTTGATCCTCCACCAGATCTGTGGGGTGGATCCCTGTTACCTGCTTAGTCCTTCACAGTCAGCTTCTGGACTAGGATTCCTAGTTTTTCAGCCTAATACTGTGCGTTCAGTTGTGCCAAACTACACCTATTTCCTTCCAACTACCGAGTAGGTTTGGAAAGTATTTTCATATTAGTTTTTTGTAATGCTGTACATACTACTTACTATAATTTAAAGTGCAGAGTTAGTACTGGAAAATTGTTTTAGAGCATTATGATCCTGACAATTCCCATGCACAGGTAGGCCTTATTCATTCAGAGTCAATGTCAGGATCTGTAGGAGCAAGTCCTCAGCAGGACTTTCCATATTGAGTTCTCTGTGCTACACTGCATTAACTTAAACAAAATAAATGAATAATCCTTATCTTTTAAGGTGGTGATTAGCATCTTGTATTAACAGGGAAGTTTGGGAATGAGTTAATTTTTTTCTATAGTTTGACTCTGTTAAATTCCGTAGCTGCAAAACATTAACTTTGTGAGTTTTTTGTTTTTATTGTAATAGATTGTTTTATAGATTTGTTGACATTTTTAACATGCACTATTTATAGCACTCGTAATACAGATTTTGTATTTTGAGAAGGAATATTCCAATGAGCACGCAAATGTTAGATTGAATATCTTGGTAGGTTATCTCAGTTAATACTCTTAAACCTCAGTTAATACTCTTACCAACTGTGAAGCAGCTAATAGGGAATAATAATAGTTTGTTTTTTTTTCACAGATGCAATGTTTAGATAAAGTTAATTTTGACTTAAAATGTTGATTGGCATTTTTACATAAAACTTCAAAGATGTGTTCCAACATTGTTTCCTAGCAAAATGATCTCTTGCTATGTTTTCTGTTACAGAATGTTTTGGGGTTTTGCTTGTTTGCTTTTTGTTTCTTTTTGACGAAGGGAATGTAATTTAGAAGTCTTCACTGGCAAGTTTTCTATTAATTTTAAGCTTCTTTGAGAATCTACAGCAAATGGATGTTCTGCTGCAGGAAAATCTATCCCCTGCTGAAGCATTTTTCATTGAGCAATCTTTGTGTATGTGCTTCTGAGTACCTGCTTTGTTAATAATATGTATTTCAATGTAAAGAGCATATTTTGTATGCAAAACCGAAACCTGTTAGAGTTGTATTTTACAATTTTATTGTGTAGTGAATGTTTTCAGAAGACAAGGTTAATTCTGAAATAACTTGACTATATCTAGTGCAGTTCATGTTGTGGAGCTTTGCTTTTGTAAGATAAGAATAAAATAACACTTTCTAATTAAATTGGTGATTATATTATAGTAATTTTTCCCAACAGCTGGAACTGGTGAACTGGTTGTGTGTGACACTGGGCATCTAAGGTATGGCAGTTAGCTTTTGAGTAAGCAAGGAACAGTACATTGATGTTTGTCTTATTAATTGAAGATACTTGATTTTAGAACTGAACCAGGGCATTCTTGTTACTCTTTTCCACTGTTCATCTTTCATGTTTGTTCATCTTCCAAGTGCTTTGTTTCCTGATATTCTGATTTCCTTATTAGCAACAGTGCTTGCATGTCTGAAAGCACAATTTCCATCACAGTAAGGTAGTTGTCACTGTGCATGGAATTTATATGTTATTCTTTACATCTTTGAAGGCAGCACCAAATTTCAAGTTCCCTTGAACATCCAAGTTATTTCCACATGCGTGCACACAGTTCCCATAATCTCAGTTTAATGCATCTGAAATCTTTTGTTCTTTGTAGAGTTGCTGTGAGGGAAACAAGTAGAGAGCATGAGAACCTGATCTAAAAATTGGACTTGAGAAACTGAAGCAGTACTTCAGTGGAGCTTAGGTGTCTACATGCTGACGTTGGAACTACAGTTCACTGTCAACCCACCTCATGCTTAAAACGCTAAACTTCACCTCACTTGCTTTCATACCTTCCCAGGCACAAAAGAGCTGTAGGAACACTCAGCTGCATGTTTTGAAAGAGCTCAGCAGGTCTCCATCCAAGCTGCTCTTCAAAACCACAACTGGATGATGCTGTGAGAAAGCTGATCCAGCTTGAAGTTGGTCCTCTTTGAGGGAAGCTGGACTTGATGACTTCTTGGTGTTCCTCCCAGGCTAAACTTTTTGTGATTCTGTGAAATTTAAAACCTGCGGATGGCTTCTTGTTGGCTTGCCATGTGAAGTCAAACACCGTGTGCTAGCTTGTGTTTCTGTTCTGTAACATGGGGGCAAGAGTTATAGACAGCTTCCTTCTCTGGAGGCTTGAGCTCTCCGATATTTTTAGCAGTACTGCTGAAACAGTACTCTTTTTAATGCTTTTTATTCTTAAAAGCAATCCATCACTGTCATTTTTTTAAAATATACTCTGTCATTATTTTAAAATATATTTATTAACTACACTGGTTGCCTCACGTTGGAATGAAGAAAATACACTTGTTGCAGGGTCAAAAGAGTGATTTTGTTGGCCAGTTTCATTTTTCAGATGAGTTTCTTGCCGCAAATCTTCCAAAAACGCTGCTTTGAGTTTGTTGAGTTCTTCTGCCAGGCTCTTCATCTCACTTGGAAGTACATTTTTATCTTAAAGAAAATGAAAGCCAACATCTTTATATTAATTTTTTAAAAATAAAATTGATAGACTTTGGCTCACATTCTACAATTAACTTTGGCAAGACTTCTGGCGGCTCCTGCCTCAGCCACACCTGCACGGTTGGAATTCCAGTTTACTCTGAGGGAATTCCACAGGTTTAGTCTTACATTGCCAGCTAGCACCTACAATATACTTCACATACCTTTTGCCTCCTTCATTGTTTGAGAGATGACTCGTCGGCACGTCTGATCAGCTTGATGGACAGTACTAGCAGCACAGGCCACTCGATCTGCTTCCTAGCCACAATGGCCAAAAAAGTGAGAACACACGCAAACATGTTAAATTCATCTAGATTGTTACCAGCTTTTGAAGTACTCACTCTTCAAAGGCAAGAAACATGAACACTAACTCAGTGTCCTGCACAGTGCACATATGCGCCTTTCAATTCTGAGGCAGAGTGCAACTGTCAGACACATAAGTGACATTAAGAAGTTAATTTTATTTTCTTAAGTGTGACACGCCAGCTCCAAAAGGTATTCTTGTTACTGCTGTTGAACAGTATGCTTAAAAGTAGTTCAGACTTGATCTTAGAGGTCTTTTCCAACCTAAATTATTCTATGATTTCAAATAGGATCAACTTTTATGTACATGGTTTTGCAATCAACTGCTATAAATCAATCTCAGTTTTTGTCACTGGGATGATCTGAGTACAATTCACAAATAAATTCATTCACTATTATCTGAAAGAGGAGTGACTTTTAAAACAAATACTTCTACCTTCTGCTCAGTATTTTCCTCATTTTGCTTCACTGGATTTTCCAAAGCAGTGGCCAGCAAATTAATTATCTGCGCACTGAGGAAAAAAAAAATAGAGAAAAACACTGATCAAACAGGTTCGCTGAAGATTTTTCTTCTGTACTGATACCTCATGGCAGAAAAAAGGCAAGTTTTCAGTTATGAGGCAGTGGGTTAATCTTAGATAGCAAGTTAGATGAAAAACAATTACAAGTTAAACCACAGCCACAACCTCTGATCTTAACGTTTCAGATGACGTACATGAATTCTCAACAGTTTGGAAATTGACTTTTGTGTTGCTTCTGCAATGAAGGATGGCTGTGAGTTCCCAACAAGTGACGTGTGTCATGTGCAACTGCCAAAGACTGCTACATGGAGTGCTTTTAAAATATTGTTCAGATGCAGTAAAAAAGCCTGTTTGTGGAAAGAGAACTTACTAACAGTCCTTCATCAATACTGCATCGTACTCGTCCTCTGAGGGGCATTCAGAGCTTTTCAGGACCAGGCTGTTCTGCTCCCAGGCGTTTTTCCTGGGGTCTGGCGGTTCGATTCTCGTCGCCATCAGCCGAATCGTCTCGTCAGGGAGCGGGTGGCTCCTCAGGCGATTCCTCCGCAAGCACTGCTCCAGCGGGCCCTCCAGAAATAACTGGCAGAAGCTCAGGGAATCTGCGAGAGGATAAAGGGAGAATTTTACTTTATGGCTGTGCAAGAAGCAATTTCTGAGAGAAGAGCTCCGTGAGCGCCAGCGGTCTCATAACCCAGAACGCAACCTTAGGACGCCTCAGCATGCGAGTGCCGCCCCAGCAGCCTGCTTTTTGCCCCAAAAAGCCGACAAGGAAGCGCGATTACACTTGCGAGCCAGCTGGTACACCTCATATCTCATGCTCCGGTAGTAGAAATTGTCATCCAGGACGATGCAGAGCGGCCGGGGGGCGGCTCCCGGCTCCGGCAGCCCCCGCTGGGCGGCGGGGCCGGGCGGGCCCCTGAGGAGGCGCTCCAGCTGCCTCAGCACCTCCCTCCGCCGCCCTTTCCAGCCGGGCTCCGGCGGGCCGGGGGCCTCCTGCGGGATCAGCTCGTCGTAAACCAGCACGGAGCAGTCCCAGCCCTGGTGGGGCGGCAGGAGGCGGCTCAGGGCTCGGCTCAGCGTGGATTTGCCGGCGGCCGGCAGCCCGCACAGCAGGCACAGCACCACACGGCTGCCGCCCGTCCGCTCCATAGGGCTCTGGTGCCCCGAGCTGGGAGCAGGAGTAGGATTAAAAGGGGTGTTCCCGGCCCTACCGGCGTCCTCTGGCGGCTCGGAGGACCAGGGAAGGAAATATGAGGAGAAATGAGGGTTTTAGGAGCGCCGCCGCACGGCGGGTGGCGCCGCTGCTGGCTGAGGGGACAGGTTTTAACTTTTCGTGGTCATAAATCCGTCATATTAACCACATATTAAACACTGGTGATTGGTGTTGAATTCTGTTGATGTGGCACCGACACGATAGGGATGTTTCACTCGGGAATCACAGAATTGCCACAGAATTGCAGGGATCTCCAGGGATGCTCTGGTCCGAACCCCTGCTCAAGCAGGGTCACCCAGGGTCACCTCATGTTACATAGGATCACATCCAGGCAGGTTCTGAATATCTCCAAAGAAGGACACCCCACAACCTCTCTCTCTTAAGAAAGAAATCTCCCTTCCCTGGAAGATGTGCCTTGCCAACGCAGATTTTTTCCCACAGTGGATTTGGGGTCCTTTTGACCATTTTCCCTGCAAAATGACCAGCTTAAGGACTAGAAACACTTGTGCAAGATGATTCCGTAATTTATTCACTGCTTGTTCGTACTCCTAGAGACTACATGCAAACACAGCACGTGCTTTACCCTCTCCTCATAAAGGAGACCAGTCTGTATCCATAACTTTGTTATTCCCAGTGACATTTTCTCCTCCTTGTAGCAGCTTCTTTTCCAGGAGAGGTGGCTCTGGATCCCAGCGTGGGTACAGCGACAGCACAGGAAGGGCTCGAAGCAAGGCACAGAATGGGCTCCAGGCCCTGCACGTGGGGTGCTCAGCAGGCACAGCATACAGCCTGGAGGATGGCTGGGAGGTAGACAGGTTGTAGGCTTCCCCAGAGGACAGCCTATGCTCTGACTTTCATGTTAGCATGTAAATAAAGGTGAATAAATTATGTCTGTTAAACATCCGCTTCTCTTTTTGGCCTGCAGGTAAGGCAACACTTCAGAGGAGTCCTGTTCTCCAGTGCTGTTATAGATTTAAACTAACAAATGTTGAACATTAGGCTTTTGATTTGGAAGAAAAAAAAAAAAGAAAATAAAAAAGAGGTGAGGTACAAATATAGCCAGCAGCTCTTAGCAAAATAATGGGGAGTTAGAAAATCTGCATTCAGGGTCTCTTTTTCTGTGTTCAGTGTCTTTTGTTTTTTTCATAAGGTGCAAGGTGAGGACTGGGGAATTCCAACCTTTAATCTGTTTCAGATCAGTTTCTGGTCAGAACTGGTGAGGATTCCCTAGAAACTTCTCAGACAGCTGGTTTAGGTGGGACCACAGGTCGCTGAGGTCCTGAAGGAACTGGAGGAATCCGTGTTTGTACTGGCTGCCTGAAGTGTGGAAAGCACATTTAGTGAAATATTTCATGACTTGAGACACCTGATATTTGTAAACTGGTACTTCATGATTTTTAATCAATTTATAGCATTTATACATGTATTTCGCACACAGACACACACAAAATACTCTGGTAGCATTTACATGTCCCATTATGCTGGTTTCTATGGAAGTAGTAAAGCTGCACTTCTCCTTTAAGCGTTTAATCTATTTCATCTGATACGATGCTGCATGAAAAATGCCCCAGAGCAGGACATGAGCCATTAGGCATTTCACTTACATTGATACAGCAGTGCAAACAAGAAATAAAGAAGAGTTTAAATTCTACAAACCTTGAACCAGGAAAATGTGATATGGTAAAAAAATCAGGATTTGATGTGGCCGACTAGAAAAGATATTGCAGAAAATCAGGTTAACAGGGAACACATTACAAAGTGTGGCTCATTATTCAGTATAAAGCTAATGGTATTTCAGAGGTTATTTCCATTTCCTGTGACATTTCATACTCTTGCATATTGTGTTTTGATAGTTTTTATTTTCTTTTACCAGAACTAGATCCACAGCCTGGCTAAACAGCTTCTCTGGTACTTGGCTGCAGAATTCATAGTTCTATCTTGGCTGCTCTGCTGAGCAATAAGCAATGCAGGCAATAAGGTCCATACCTACCCAAACACAAATCTTGTCCAATTTAAATACTTGGAAATTCTGATGGGTTTAGCGTATCAAAACCCACAAAGTCATCAGCAACTACGTTAGAGAAAAGGCACTGTATAATTTGGATTACCCAGAATGAAGTAATGCACGTATGCGTCTCTCTTACCTGATTATTTCCTGTAGTATGAGCTGGTCCATTATTTTGCTTTGGTTGCTGCACATTGTTATCCCTGAAATGAAAACCACATTGTCAGGAAAATCCCCATTTGACTTGACAACATTAAGTTGAGTGCTTATCAAGGGACTGGGCTCAAAGGTCTCGATTCTGGTTTTGACTCCACCCATTCCTGGCTTTGGCAACTAATTTCAATGTTCTGTACCACTGTGTCCATGCAATACAATTATAAGTACCGATCAGGAAAGTGCAGTGAATATTGTGAAAAAATGCTTAAGAACTGACAACCTAAGCATTAAACTACCCACATTTACTATAAGCAGGGTAGTCTTTTTCTTTTTGGGGGGTTCTGATTCTTTGTATAAGGTCTGTATCCTGCTGAAGTTATTTGAAGCATGCTTCCAAGTGTTGAGATACACATTTGTAATAAGTGCAATACCTGTGTTGTCTTCTACTTTTCCTGCAAAACTTCCTTTTTATTGCATCGCGCTTAATTACTGCTATTACAGTCACAATCAATATTGGCAGCACAAGGAAGAAAAATATAAGCAGGCCATCCCGAAGTGATGTATCTAGAGAAAAACAATTAAATCATGTAAGATACTCACCTTGCTTAACCTCATATTAAAGTGTTTTCCCATTAAAAACTCTTTTCTGTTGTAAAAACTACAATCTTCAAATTATTATAAATCAAATTTAGTAATTAAGATTTGGACATATGTAAGCACAAGTACTTCTTCCTGCTTTACCCACCCCACATTGTATGACATACAACCTTTTTCCTTTTAGTCAACAAACAGAACATTTTGCATGGTCTTTCAGTGTAAAGGCCAGAAAAATCTACTCCATTTTCCCTTCGCAAAATTTCATGGCTCTTAGGTGAGTGAACTGCTAGTTGCTGCATGCATCACCTTAATCCTTCCCATTACAGTGAGACCTTTTCCATACATAAAGGCTGCTAGTTTCATTCTCAAGCTGTAGTCCTGCTATATTACACCCATTTTATCTGGTGTATAGTACCTAACTAAATAATATCCAACTATCTAAAAATGTAGTAGTAATTCTAAGCAATTAATGTTTTTTATCGCAGACAAAAGAGAGATCAACTTCTTCCTTGGACCAACTTTCTCGATGCCTGCAGACCTACACATCAAATAATAATGTTCATTCTCAAGTCATTCCATGATTAAACGGCCCATGCAATAGCAAAAAAGCTTTTGAAAAGAGACTGAAAAACACTCTGTATTAATAGATCATTTTAATCAGACACTGGAGGCAGAATGAAAGACAGTTTCAGTGTCCTACCTATGTGAGCTGGACCACTGTCAACACTGCCACCATAGCCCGGCTGGTTACAGAAGGGAGGTGCCCACCCTGAATGGCAATGGCAGTTCCCATTGTTGTTACACACCTAGAGGCCATACGAAAGGGATTAGTCAAAGGAACATCTATTTGATCTACTTTCAACCTCCAATATATATTTGGAGTTACACATTAAGAATTGCATGTGGAAATAAGAATATTCTGTAGTATTCCATAGAAATGTATTAAGTATAACCTCTCTCCCTCCAATCCCAAAACATGGAGTAATACTGATAACAATAGTCCATTCTCTGTAGAAGTTAATCTCTTCTTGATGTTGTTGTTATTTGCCTACACTAGGGTACCGTCCAAAGAAGAACTTTTTAGTTTTAAAACCTCTGGGCTCCTTTTTGATTTTTCACAGAGAAGTATGTAAATCACAGATCCCTAGTCTGTTCCTTTAAAAGGAATACTTTCCTTTTAAAGTTTGACAGTTCAGTAATATTCAAAGGTTCCCTAGGGAAATTTAGAAGAAATGTCTTTCAGTGTTAGTGCTAAGATGTTTACAGTATACTGGCAAGATGAATTGCAGATTAAAAAAAAAAAAAAAAGGATTTAACTTTTCATTCAGATCAGAATAAAACAAAGCCATCTGTCAGGTTATTGCTTTTATGGAGGGATTTTGCACCTATCTCTGTCTTCAAGAAATAGGGCATGAAAACACCATCTACTCACCCCATTATTGTTACACTTTTGCTTTACATCGCAGCTGTAGCCCAGAAAACTTGCATCAACACACTCAAAATCTAAACAGGCCTGGAAAAAATATTTAGTGTCTTTTACACACAAGACTTCCAAAAATCCCATCCATTTTATAAATATACTATACAAAAATATATGTTTACAAGTCTACAGTTCTTACTTAAATGTCAGGGAAAAGGGTTGATAGAACTCAGTACTTCACAATTTTATAGCTCTATTTGTCTCAAAGATTTCTAAATCTATGGATGCAGTTTGATGGAAATAATTTCAGTATCTCATACTGTAGCTCACTGATTTGTAGCGTCACATTTTTTTAAAGAGTTAATTAATTGTGTGTGTATATCTGAAAAAGCATATTTTTAATTATATTATAGCATATAAATAAGAGAACAATTTAATGCTTTTGAAAGTTAAGAACTTTCCACTTGGTGGAATATACCAAGTAATGCTGCTGTGATTCGTCTTACCTTCTTTTCTCCACAGGCTGTTCCATCATGAACTTGAGCAGGATCAGGGATATCTGACCCTAAGTCAAAATCAGAAGACCAGCATAAAACCCCAGATGCATTATTGACAACACTCCAAGCAGGAAGATTTTGAAGACTAACAGAAGTGCACTGGACCTTGCCACACAGACTATGCCTGCAGTGAACAGATGATACTCAGAGACAAGATGAACAGGAAAAAAAAAAAAAACAACACAAAAAACACACCACAATGTCAGTGCAATACACCATCCAGTCAAACTTAGCTTGCATTTCAAGCAAATATTCTTCTCTTAAAGCTCATGTTTTACAAGTTTATAGCAGATACTTTCTGTTGTGAACTTGTAGAACATGAGATCTCAGAGTAGAATTTTACACTGGATGTTTTAGGGGAGGGTTTTACTTGCTATTGACTTACTGAACAGAACATTTCTTGTACACTCCACCTTTCATTCCACAGTTTCCAAACCTATCCCCTTTAATATTGGCTTTTTCAAAGCATAGATTAGGTGCTTTTCGTGCCCCTGTGCGAAAAACAGTGAATCTTAGTAAGCCACCACACTGTCTTAAAAATATGAGCAAGAAAACAAAAACTATGAAATGTCTTGTAGAAGACTACAAGCCTTTTATGTTCAATTATAAATGTACCTTTTCCATATATAGCTTCACATTGTGAATCAAAACTCTGGCATACTCCATAGTAGCAATATGCTTTCATGTCATTGCATGGGTAACCATTCATGATATAAACATCATCTGGACAGTAGGCATAGCTTCCATTGCAGTATTCAGGTAGATCACAGAAGTCCATCTTCGATCTGCATTCTGTTCCTGCCACTTTAAACTAGAACCAGAGAAGAATGCCACCTCAGTATTTTGCAACAGCAGAAATTCAGTCATGAACCAATGACAGATGGGAATTTCCTGATAACCTTTTTAACACTACCACCACCACCCCAACCCCCAAAATCCAACCTAATAATTAGCATCAATTTAGCTTAATCAAATATAGCCTACCTTACAATTTTTGCAGCACAGTCCTTGAGCACATTGTGATCCAGATGTGAGTTTGCAGGTTGCAGCATCACAGCAAGGGTTAGTACATTCCTGAAGAACAGACATGAACAAGGGGACACAATGTTTTTACTTTGCTGTATAGCAAGGAAAGTACATGGTCAAACCAAGTGCATGGATGAACCAAGCATTAAATACTTTCATACTCTCTTTCATGTTCTGAGGTTGATATCCTCCAACATAAAGCAGCATACAGTTTAGCTGCATTTTTTTACAACAAGACATCAGAAAAAAAACATCTATTTTGACAGGTTGTGGCTCAAGAATATAGGATATGTTTACACTCAGTGAATAAATTTTTCCTAATATCCAATCTAAACCTCCCCTGGCACAACTTGAGGCCATTTCCTTTTGTCCTGTCAATAGTTGCTTGGGAGAAGAGACTGATCCCCACCTCACTATAGCCTAATTTAAGCTAAGTGTAGACAGAGAGACCTTTATTTTCCAAAGAAGCAGTAAATATATCCCATTCTTTGAGGGGCATTGTCACAATGTAAATATGACCAACAACAGCAATGTTGTTGTGGGATAAGTTTAAGAGTTACAGTTAGGAAACCTGTAAGTGCTATACAGACTAGTAGTCTCATTTACATAACAGAAGTCTCTATGTTGCTAATGTCAGCACAAAAAATGATGGCATTTCCACATGTTGTGCACTGAAATTTCTTTCTTAGGCATTGACTCAAAGTTCTGTGAAGTCCAGTAACATTTAACTGAATTCATATCTAAATTAAAGTATGATTTTAGGCTTTTTCTAGAATTTATCTTTATACAGCTTGCAAAAATATAAACTTATATGGAAAACTCCTCAGATACTAGTTCAAATCAGGTGCAACAAAAGGACAGTATAATACAACAAGTATAATACACAAGTATCCAGCTGAATTTCTTTACCTGTGGTTTACCACAGTCACATTCTTCATTGTTATCAACCACATTATTACCACAGACAGGTTCTTTGTAAACATTGCTTGTTTTGGGGGGGTTTCTAAGGCAGTTTCCTCCTCCATTTAGAATAAAGTTCTCAAAATCATCAGCGCTGCAGGTGCTGAAATTCCTGGATCCCCTGGAAAGCATAATATTATTTTTTATTACAAACATTTTGCTTGCAAAAAGACAATTCAACTCAAACCATTAGAACATTGTCAATCTATAATAAATACCACATTTCAGAATGTTAGGAGATCTTGAGATATTTCCTCTTTATTTTGTATTGGAGTACAGTACTTCTGGAAATAAAAATATAATACATATAACATAACTGCAAATACTTTCAGAAGCAAGAGACCATCAGATTAGATATTCTGATGTTCTCTATAAAACAGGCCTTTGAAATTCCTTTGCTGTTCTGAGTCCAAAAATGTCTGAATAAAATACACTTTCCAGGACATTCACCTTAACTGAGATTCCCAAAAAACTCAGGAATGCATCTTCTCATAGTAGTTTGGTACAGTGTTCAGTTATGCTGATTTACTAATATAAGCGTGAATAGATAAAATAATTTTATGATTATTATTAGATAAAGCTGAGCCAAAGAACAAATAAACTGAAACAAATATAGGATGAGACATTTTGTTTAAACTAACATTTAAGAGAATCTATGCAAAGGGGGCATGTTTGCACAAACATGGTGAATATACGCAGAGGATTCTCAGCAGGGTAAAAAACCCAACAGCAATATGCTATTATTAAAATGAGCAATTAATAAAATCCAAGTAAGTTTTAATGAATGCTACAAACAAAGAATGACTAGGTCAGAAAACAGGTAATGTTTTAACTAATTTGAAATTATAAAAGTCCTAAGTCAAAGAATTCATCTCTGTAATTAAACTTTCCATTCACAAAAGTTCTTTAGGATTCATGGAAGTTTCTCAGCTTATCTAGCCACTGCAGATTAAATAAAAATTAAAAAAAAAAAAAAGTTTATTAAAATAAATGGAAATCTTACTTATCTGTGCTGTACATAATGTAGGATGCAGGACACCTTTCATCATCATGTTTCATTCCAAGGTTATGACCCAATTCATGTGCAACTACTGTAGCATGACGTAACAAATTGCTATGATCCAACTAATGAAGAGAATCTGTGTTAAAAATTATGAATCTAAAGAAATTACTATGTTTCTATCTACTGAGTTATCCAGGCCGCAAGTTTCTTAGAGGCCATGAAGACAATATCAAATTTTATTGCAGAACAAAAGCGGCAAGAACAGATAAGTTGGGTATTTTCAGGTAGGGCCAAGTTCTGCCACTCTTTCTAGGATCATACTCTGAATAGTAGCACAGTTAATCAGTTGTGATATTGATTTTAGTGGGGTGTTCAAAGACAAACATACTATTAAAGAACAGAATCTGCTTCTAAGATTGTCCATTATGTTATGGCATCCCTATGATAAGGAACGGAACCTCAGGAAATACTGGATCTACCCCCAAGGGTAAAGGAGAAAAACAATTTTCTCGCTAGTTTTGCCATTTATTTATTATTATTATTATTTTTTTCCCCATTTACAGTCTCGTGGAGTATTCTGGACGCTTGAAAATATGTGCATTATGTTCAGCATCTATCCATACAAAGAGCGTAACAATGCACATGTGTTGTAGTTGCATTCCTATCCCCAAAATACTGTGCTTATGAACCTTAACGTTATGAGGATGGACTTTTCTTATACAACCTTGAACTAGATGAATTACATAAATGTGATTAAAAAATGATTTCAGGACTAAATCAGACAAGTGGATTGTAACATGAAGAAGACAGAAATTGGGAAATATACGTATTTGTATATAAGCATAAAAATGCGCACAAATCTTTACATAAGAAACCCTGTGGATAAAACCAGTCCACTCCAAGCCCAGTCTTCAACACCTGGGTGAGTTCACAAAGTGGACATTATCTGTTAGCGTGTTCTGAAGGTGTGCCTCTGTGGAATCAATGTCTAGCAATAAATACAACTCTGCGTTGTGTAAATGCACAATGCCTTCGTCTCACTAGCAGCACATGTACAATAGCAGCTCCTGTGCTAGTTTCTTCTACTAAGCACAACATTACGTACTTACAGTGCTGATTGACCCTCCCTGGACATGTGAGCAGACGGTACCTACAAAAGCCATTCCAATGGATCCACCGTAAGAGCCTCTCCCTCTGCAACAAACACAGTTTGAAGGTACTTTTGAAAGAGGGCCTGAAAGTTCATGATCACTACTAAAAGACACTGATAAGTCTGAAACAAATACTGCAAAGCAAAATTTGGTCTTATTGAAGTCAAGCAGAAAGTTGTCACCTTATCATGGTTTCACTGTAATTAATAGTGAACATGGCAATAACATAGATTGAAAACAATGATCAATCACCTAAGCCTGCTGTGTCAGTGATTTTGAGTTGATTAACTATGAAGAATTCATTATAGTTTCTTCATCTGTTTTTCAGGTCAAAACAGTTTGGAAGTTGAGTGAATTTTACTCATTATATTTTCATTCATGCACAAAATCAAAATCATTAGCAACACCAGCAGTGCTGCAGGAGTGGCATTTCCTCCAAATGAAAACTTACATTATGAGATGACTAACATCATTTCTTGATCGTTTTAGAAGATCTTTCTGTCTCCAAGAAACGAATCTACCCAGTACGTCTCCAGCTGAACCATCCATTACAGATATGGGGTTTGTAACTGTCCATATCTCTAATCCAACAAGAACAATTTGGATGTTTAATGCTCTATACATCTGAAGAAAAATAAATAAATAAATAAATAAATAAATACTGTCCATCAATCCAGTTCAACTGAATTATGAAAGATTTTTACTGCTACTGAGCCAAAGTCAGGGAGCACACAAATGTTTAAAAACATCTGGGCTGCAACTCTACAAGACTTGTGCATAGATTCATGACATGTCTCAAATGTTACAAAATGCTGTATAGCTTCCAAATACAATTTCAGAACATAACTGTACAGATTTACTTTACTACCTTACTTTGGAAAACTACAGTAAAGTAGAAACTACCAAGTATAGGTGACTGAACTGACCTACCCCATCAACATAATTAATCAGCTCAACCGTTTCCTTTTGCACCACAGCAGGATCCGAATTCTTCAGCAAAAACTGTAAGATGCCATATGCAAAAGTCAGAGAAAAAAAAAATAATCTAACAAAAAGTATTTAGCATTGGATGAAGTCATTACCCTGTTATTATCCACAACCATAAATAATTCCACATAGCTTTCCTGTGGCAGGACAGCTCGCTTCTTCTGCAAATTAAAAAGCACAATAAGTTAACATTATGAGTAATAAATTCAAGGCATTTAAAATTATTTTTCTCATGATTTTCATTTAATGCTTTTATAAAGTAATGATACATCTTATAATGTGTCCTCAAACGCCAATTTGCTTTAGATTTCCAGATCAATATCTGTGTACAAGTAACCTGCTTTTGGTCAGACACCAAGATGCATGAGCTGAATGGCAGCTTTCACACACCCACAATGGTCTTGGTTTGAGCTCTGCTTTTCTGCTAAATGACTGCTTCAAGCTATGTTAAATTGGCGTTGTGATATCCTTCTGTTTCAGGATTTCCTTAACCCTACTCCTACCAACTTGGGATCCATGAAAATGAGAGCAACAAGGTGGCCTGCTAAACCAAAAGCACCATGCTAAAGCAAGAGCTCCATAGACCATTGACATCTGGAACAGACTGAGGAGATTGCTTGGACTGTAGCCCACAGGAGAGAAACAGAAATGCATTTACCCTCAAAAGTTTGTCCCCACTCGAGGTACTGTTTGATGAAAGCTCATATTTCACAGACTGCTTCACAAACATCTTCATCTCATGATGCAGGCTGTCATTCTGCATACCACATCGGAAAGGGATATGCTCCATATCTTCTAACCGGTAAAACATGTGTTCAAATGTGCTGGATGAGTTGAGTGGCTCTATTCCATACCATTTGCCACCAATGTAGATAATTCCTCTACCAATCACAAAAGAATGGAAAATTATTTTTCCTTCACGGATATGACTAGGTGAATGAACAACAGGTGAATACTTAAAAACTGTAACTCTTCGTACCACTATTTTGACATAAATGATTATTTTAGTTTGCATAAATTTGTTGAACAGCCAAAATGACATCTCTGTTCTGCTTACTGAAATCCAGTACTACCTGAAATACCAGTAGTTTGATAATTTTATTCTTCATTTAAAGGAATGCCATGGAATATCTTTATTTATTGTGAGTGGCATCTCGCTTTGATACTATACACATGAAAGATATGTAGGTGAACTTTGTTCCATTGCCTCTTCCTGCTTGTCAAAAAGATACCAAGCTGAACAAGGCTGCTAGGACTGACAACTGTATCTAAATCCAGGTGATGAGCCAAACTCATTGAAGGCAGAAAGCACTGACATGCTCCAGGCGCATTCTGAGTATCTGCCTGATCTGCTGTGCATGCCATCTCATTTTGCCAGCTTATATAGACCGATACTGTCAGGAGAATACCTAAAACTATTATGCATTAATCTGCCACCTTCGTGTTTCTCAGATAAATGTAATTTTATTGTATTTGAAACACTTTCATTATTCTGAAAGCTAAATTCGAAATGCAGCCTATCAACAGTATCTGTCACAGAGGAGGGAAAGTATAAAACCTCCATAGAGTTTCAGCTTCATCAAGAGGCAAAATGTAAAAACACATTTGCAAGATAGGATTGTGTTTCCTTTCCAGGTGTATAATGAATATCAACAGTTTTTTGTTTGTTTTTAAATTGGTGATACTGCACAATTAATTATCTTGAAGTAAAAAGCAAGAAGTAATACCTCAGGCCATCGCATGTGCTAAGAGCAAGCATTGAGTCAGCCATTCCTTCAACAGTGCCATGATAATAACAGTGTGCCTGAAATGCAACAAAACCACATAATTAATAACAAAATAGGCCAGCTGCATTCAAATGCAAACTTATTTTGTTACTAACCCTATTATTTGCATGACATTAAAGCTGGCTTTTGCATATTTAAAGCCTTCCCTATTCTAAAATAATCCCAAAGTTCTTGGAGTAAAAATATTATTTGATGCGAGTAACTACAATAGCATTTGTTCCCTTGGTTCTAGAAAACAACCAGCTTTTTCGTTTAACCCATCACCATCTTTTAATAAGATCTTTGTATCTATATTGCTCATTGTGTTCTTAGACAGAATCCTCTCACAGGCTGATCTGAGAAGCTCTCCCATGTGCAAAGCAGTCTCACTAAGCCAATATGCAGTTGCAAGTAGAAACTTAAATGTAAAAGCATTCTTAAGGCTTGCTCAAAACTATAGAGCTTTGATGCTGCCATTGTACCTTTAATTGCATATTATGCAAAGGTGACCTACTTGCGTAGCTCAAATTTAGCCTTGGCATAATCACTTGGTGTCTCCTTTCACACCTTACAAAAGTGATGCTGTATAATCATATGAGGACAAGGCCACTCCCTCATAGAACACAGAACCTGATGTTCTATATCTCAGGGAATTGTTAAACATAAATGCCACAAATATGAAAACCTGAAAATCTCTCTTTCCTAGCAGGTATATTTTTCTTCTGTGTATGCACTTTATGTGCATCACTTGCATTTTCCCCTCCAATGCCAAAAATGTAAACAATTTTCAATCTTGTAGGATACAGACACAAAAAATTTGGAGTGAATGGTCTTGTACATTCACGTTCGCTTTGGAAACACATTTAGATGCATGTACACTCTTGTTGCTGTCCTCAGCTCTAACAATTTGTTAATATGACCTTCAGTTCATAAAAGTTGTTATTCCTGATTTGAGGAAACTCTTATGCAAAAGGGAAATTTTATTATGTACAATACCTTGATTTTTGATTGTGTTGCCTCCAGTGTCCCATTTTTTCTGTACGTATATAGCATAAAATCTTTGCTAACAAGGTCTCTGGAAACAAAAATAAACTACTGCTCTTTTAAGAGTCTATAAAGCAAGAAATAAATCAGGAATCCTAGTAAGTATTACATTGTTAGCAGCATACTCATGCTACATTATTATTAAAATTCACAGACATGAAACAAACTATCTTAAAAATGAACTGCACTATTTGGAAAATAAGTCATTTTGAAATATTTTAACTAAAACATCCATAGATTATGACCTGAGCAGACTATGTCATAGGAGGGCCTGGATTATTTTTGATTCTGGAATGAGGAACAACAACAGATATTTTTTTCTAAATACAACACTAACAACCCTCCCCTCCTTGCCAGTAAAGAGCTACTGTTGAATTTTCCATAAGGATTTTCTGAAACTTACTGGTTGTGGTGCTAATATAAAATTAATCTAATTTCTGCGCTAGAATAAAAATTTTAAAATATTAAAAATATTTTTACAATCTAAAAATACTTGTCTATATGCAACAAAATTCCAAGATGGATCGCTTACTCAGAACACTATCACATACTTATTTTTCTTCAGTGTTAGGAGGTACGTTCCATTTCTTGTTTTAATTGAGTAAGAAAGATTGTCATCTGAATGCTCCTGAAAACAGAACAAAAGTTATCACTTAACTATATTATTTTCTATTTGGGCGTGTCAGTTCCATGTTTTCTTTGATAACAGAGATCCAACTACTATACATCTTTGAAGTATTTACCAGATTCACAGAACACGCACTCCTAATCCTCATGCTCTGTATATAACAAAGTTTCAGCAACACACTCTACATTCTTTCCTATGGAAAGTTTAAATTCTATTAAGCTATGAATTTTCATATGGAAGACATAATGAAAAAGTACAAAAACTACACAAGAAATTATGTATATCTGCCATTAGAGACTTGTACAGGGAATGTAAAAGATATGCAGTCTATAGAAAAATGAAAAACTAAAGCTTATGGTATTAAAACAACAAAAAAATAAGAAGAATCGGTATACCTAAACCTAGGCAACCATGATAGTTTTATAGGCTCAGAAACAGATACTCCAGAGACACTAGTGAAGAGGAAGTAGACATAGCTTGGATGAAGGTTGGCCAGATTCAGGTTCCCAAGGAGGGCACAGCCCATGTATTTTTTTTGCTAAACTATCACATAAAGTTTTATGACACTCCTTATGTAAATCACCTGTAGCCGGATGAACGACTCACAAATTCTTCCTTTGTTAATCACTTTGCACAAAGATGACTCATGGCATTTTATTATCAGTTACTTCGGTAATTAAACTCTGTATCCAGTGCAAAGGGTAAATGACCTTAGAACCAAAGAATTAAGGCTCAGACCTTTCTCTCTTAACTCATTCATTTGCCTGTACGACTTTATGGAACCTCTTGTACAAGGTGAGCATCTGCCCTTTAGCCAATACATGGCTGAAATCTTCTGGTTATTCGAAGACAAGGTACGATGAGCAAAAGAACACATACAGCACAGACAGTAGTTCAACAGCTAATCACACTTGGAGGAAATAGAAATATTCTCCTTGTTCTTATTTCTCTCTAACAAGGCTGTTAACAGGACTAGAAGTTTGAAAGGCTTTAACTTAGAGTTGCAGTTACAGCCCTTTGTGGAAACAAATTTACTCAAAACTACTTGAAAACACTTAAGAATCTGAAGAAATAGCACATTTCTTCACAAAATAATCAATATATAACATACACAGTGTGTGTGTGTGTGTGCATTATAGGACAATATTGTGAAAAACAGCAATATCAGAAGAAAAAACACTGGACAGAACAACAAACCTCATGAAAAAATGTGTGATGTTTCTCTTTGCCTGTCAGACGTTGAGGAATAATTGTTTCAAATGTTGAAACTCTGGACATCTCTTCAGAAGATACCCCTAAAAATAAAGTTTGAAATTTCTAAGGAACCAGAAAGGATGATTAATAAATATATTGTGCACAGTGGTGATCACTGAAAAATAATTCTGCTCAGGTCATAGATGAAGAAAGAGTAATTCCAGCAGTACGGGACCCAACTGTCCACGCTCAGTTTGGTAGGTTCTGTCTCTGCCAGAGTTCTTGGATTATGCTGAGAAAATCACAGAAATCAACATTTTCTTTCATGGCCAAAGTTTCCTTTCATGGAAACTTCTGCTTAAAGCTGGACTCTTCTAGAGTACATAAAGAGAAGCTATCAAGTTACTTAAACAATTCTCACATATTTTAACCCAGACTGTTAACTTTTTATGTTTGTCTATCATTTCTGAAACTCCTCTTTCTTCCATGACCTATACTTTTAACCTGAAGCAACACGGAAAGTTTCAGTAACTGTCTTCTCTGTCCACCCACCTGCCCCCCTCCTAGTGATTTTTGAGGTAGATGGCCGGTTAAAATTAACTGTGCAAGAGATTTTGACATCTCACAATCCGTTAAGTTTCTCTGAGTTTTGTGAAATCACCTCACTGCTATCAGGAACAATGTGCTGATATGTGAGTAGATAGCAGGGCTCTCTAGAAATGGCTGATGGATGTTTGTTCAGCAACACTCATGTTTCTCCTGCATTCTTTGCAAAATGTTTGGAACCTTTTACATTATATCAGAGTTATCTCCATAACTCTGATAACTCTGGAGATAACTTCCTAACTAAGGAAGTTAAAGATAAGAAATCTGCTGAGTATCTGGTTTCAGCTAAATGGTTTTACAGAAAACAACAATCTCTACTGACTTTTTTTTTCTCCTTTCCTTTTCCTTGTCTGCTCATCAGTCTGATTTCACTTTCGTCAACAGAGACATAACCATTGTTTTTAAACAGGTTACAGAGTCAACAATAACATAACATGGGTTATAACAACCAAAGTAGCTTCCTACTTCTTAAATTGTTCTTTTATAAGGAAACAAAGAGATTTCTTCTCATTTATAGCAGTACAAAGTTGACCTCAGCTTCCCAGGTTTCTGTGAAAGAATTTCATAACTGCAAAGAAGCCACAGAGCACTCATGAATCACCCATTCAAAGTGAGGAGGAGGATTCCTCAGCGTAATGATGATCTCTGCCTATCAGATAACATCAGGATTTTTGAAAACTGGGTTCAGGCAGCCTATGATCAACATTAAATACTGTCATTACAATCAAAGCATGGAAGTTGCTATTAACAAACAGGTCTGCAAGTAACTTTGGCACTCCGTATTTACTTTTATTTTCATCAGAAATAACTCGATTAACTAAATGGTAAAATCTGTTCCGTGAGTTAAGTATATGTGGAACTAACAGTGGAAATGTGGTCCTAAGAGTTTAAGTTTTGACACCTGAAGGCAGGAAAGCACTAGTACAGTCACCAGAACATCACCTTCTAAGAAATATTTCAGGCATTAAATCTAAGTCTAAAATATGAAGCCAAATCATAAATGTACAGGAGTTAATGAGGAAATAAAACTCAAGGGAGTTCCCTCACATTACTGAAGATCCAAATCTTTTTCTAGACTCTTTACTATTCATCAGTAACAGCAGCTACAATTGTCACAACCGTGTCCTGTATAGAAGATAATGTTTTTAAACACCTACTACATCATGGGGGGAAACAAACAAACAAACAAACACAAAGAACTAAACTATAATTTTCAAACTACAGTGCTTTTTTTTTTCTTTTTTTCTTTTTTCTTTTTTCTTTTTTCTTCCTAAACTGAAGTTTTCTTGGTTAGGAGATCTGCTAACAGCCTATAGCCCAGGGAGAGCTGTGACTGGTTTTGAGAGTTGTGCATATTTACCATCAGAACCAGGCACTACAAGAAGACTTAGAGAAACTGTCTGAACACATAACAAAACCAAAAAGCGTACCTTTTATCCCAAAAGAGTTTCCTGTTAATGTTAGTCCAACGGTGAACAAAAACAGGCTGTGTTTTAGCATGACCAGATTTCCTGGAGAAAGCACTATGGTATGCGAGGAGGCACGGTGCACTTGGCTCTCAGCTGCCCGGCACGGGAGAACTAGAAGAACGAGAACGCTCTGCTCTGAAGGTAAACAATCGAAAAAGCACTCCGATACCTCACCTCTGCCAGGGAAACGGGAAGTAAAATTTCATCCATTAGGCTCGCGAGAAAACTGGTTAGGCAGCTTAATGCAAATAAAAAGCAGCACACTCTGAAATACTGATTGGAAACGGGCAGATAAATTGTGTCAGGACCAAACTGGTTCATTCCAAAAGATTTAGGCTGATATCACCTGAGATACAGTTGGAGATTATATGAGATGAGGAACATAAAACGTTGCTACCAGTGGATATTTATACTGGCCACTGTCAGATCAGTAAAATCTATTCTCTGAAATTTCATCTTGCTCTTTATTTTTCATTATTTTATCTTTACTTTAAAAATATCAGAAATGCAGTGCATACGAACATGTGGAAATCCCACAAACATATATCACACAAGGATTTTAGCCAGCCCCATCTGCATTAAGGATAATTTTCCTCACCCAAAGTCTGTAATTTTTAGGACCTCATCACTTTTCTGGGATCAGAATAATCTTCTGAGGCATCATGCAGCCACATCATCATCCAAAGCAGAAAACAAATGCTTCTAAAGCTGGATGAATTTGCAATGCACTTCAGAAGTATCATGCACATTTAGAAACTCAAATAGGAGGCAACATAGTACACAACACAGTATTCAAGCTAAAGCATTTGTATTAATTAATTTTAATTAATTCATTTTAAATTAAAATAGAACAAATCCATTATTTTTTCCAGTGGTAATGCACATAAAGGAATGGCTTAATTATTTTATATATATATTTTTTAAAAAAGCAGAGATGCCAACAGTGTTTGTAATATTGTCTTGTGTAAAGCTTGTTCAAGTCCATCTTCCTATTTAACGCAGCTAATTAATTTGCTTCAGCCAAAGCACCAGGCAGACTGGGAGACTCGATACCCACACTCACTGGGTACATCTGTACCATAGCATCAAGAGAAACTTTCCCCGACTCCAGAAGCCGGGACCTTACTGAAAATTAAATGAACCCAATCTTTAATTTATATTCCCTTCCTCCGTGACACACTACTAGCACACAGCTCAGGAAACGGGGCTGCGGTACTCCAAATTTTCCCATTTTATCAAGTTCTGTACCACCGGCACGCTTTTAGGGCTTTTTTTATGTGTCCGGAAGAGCGGTTTCAGGTTGTTTGTTTGTTTATTTATTTATTTTTACTGACAGGGACCACGGGCGCGCTTGCCCACACGGAGCACCGAGCCCCCCGGTGTCCACAGCAGGGGGCTTTTGCTCGCCACAGACCCCCGGGGGGCGAGAGGAGCCTGGAGCCGAGCCCCTCACCACAGACCCCGGATCCGAGCCGTGGGCTCGGTGCCTGAGGGATTAATTGCCTTGATGAGGGTCGCCCTGACATCGCCGCCCTCTTGCCGCCGCCTCACACAGCGCCCACCCCCAGCGCATGCGCGCGGCCGCCGCCATGTTAGGGCGCCCTCCTCCCCCTCCATCCCTCCCCGTCCCGGCGGGGCGATGGCGAGCGGCTGCGGGGCGGCTGCTCCGCACCCCGGCGGCCCCGGGGAGCCTCCCGGCGTGGCCGTGGGGTGCTCGTGGCCCTGCTCGCCGCCGGGCGAGTTAGCCCGGGTGCTGTGCGTGCGGCGAGGCGAGGCGGCGGGGCCGTGCGGCGCTTCCCCCGGCGGCAGCGAGGCTGTGGTGGTGGTGGCGGCGGGAGGCGGTGGGGGCGAAGCGGGCTGCGTGCTGCAGCTGCAATGCCGGCCGCCCGGCGCCGAGGAGGTGGCCGCGGTCGGTGTGGTGAGCGAGGCCCGCAACATGGAGGTGTACGCGGGCGAGGAGTACTGCGGCACCGGCCGCGGAGAGAGCCTGGGCGCCGCGGGGCCGGGGGGGTGAGTGAGCGGGCTCCCGCCCCGCCGCCATCTTCGGGCCGCGGGCGGCGCCTCAGCGGTGCTGGGGGGCGAGGAAAGGGGTTGGGGGGGGGGGAGAGAGGGGGAACGTGGTTTTGTGGCTCTGCAGCCACCGAAACGCTTCAGTCGCTATAAAATCCTACTCCGAAGTGCTGCTGGGTGAGACCGCAACAAGGGTACGTGATCTCTTTCTGTCCCGTTTAACCTTAGCGGGGCTCTCCTAGCAGGTGCTTGCCAGGAGGTCTCGCCTCTGGTATGCAGTCACCTCAGGCTTCAAGAACAAGAGAGAAAGATAGAAAAATAAAAGGATTTGTTTTCCCCGTCGATGTTGCCTTCCGTGCTTCACCGGGGGAGTTAAAAACAATGTCTTTTCTCTTTTGTTTTTAAGTCGTTACGTGGCACATCTGCTTAATTAACTAATTAAAAACAACCGACTCAGAGCCTCAGGGAGGATGTGTGAATAACGTACTGAACCCCAAAAGCTGCTCTAGCAGATAATGTACGTACACATACAAATCGCTTCTTACACACCTGTCTGATCGGCTTCAATACAAGTTGAATATAAGCATTAAAACTGCTGTACCACAGTAGAAACTTGTTTGAGCCAGTCATGTTTCTTATCTGAATGTCTACTGCTACTGTATATTTCAATGAAATTAAAAGTAACTTTATATTAGTGATGTTACAACTGGCTTATTTTATTTTTGTAGTGAAACTGAAAAGGTTACTTTATACAAAAAGTATCTGAAACTGGAATGCCCGGCAGCCTCCTGTAGAATTAAGGTAGGGAGTTCAACATAGTTGTTTAATTTTCATTGTCTCTTTAATCATTTAATTGACTAAATTGCATTGCTCTTACTCAATTGCAGATATTTTTATGCAGTAATCAGTTCATATAAAATGTAAAATCAGTTACATGATGCATAGTCTTCATAGGTCTCTTAATTTGGGATCATGATACTCTTTTTAAGAAGACCTAATATATATGATCAAAATATCCTATTAGAGAAAAAGAAAACATAAACCAGATAAATTACAGGTAAACTATAGTTGCTATATAATTAGAATTGTAAACTCTGTGCTACTGTATGCTAGTAATAATAACTCTGTGATGCAGGTAAATAATCTTAGGAAAATCTGTGCAGCTACTGCTTGTCTTAAGTACTTTGAAAATGAGGAGCTTGTTGATCTTAGGATCGTACAACCTCCTTCTGTTCCAGTCAGAATTCTCCTAAGAGTAATAGCAAGGAGAAATCCACTTTATTTCCCTGGAAAAGAGTTCAGCATATTCATACAAAGAAAACATATTTTTTTTCCCCTAACCAAAATACTTTTTCTCCTTCTTGTGATAGCTGCTCTCCATTGGTGAGAAACAAAGGGTACTCATCAGTAAAATAATTGTAGAAGTGAAAACAGTGTCTGCAAAACTAGCAACTGATTTTCCTTCACTAGGATCGAGCATAGATCTAGACAGAGTCCAGACTATAATGGAATCTATGGGATCTAAGTTGTCTCCTGGTGCTCAGCAACTCATGGACATGGTCCGATATCAGCAGAAAGTAAGTTATTGTCCTGTTCCATAAGCATGAATAGTATCAATCTATGACTTTGCCTTCCATAATGGTCAAGCATGTTCCAAACAGATTTGGTGAATAAGGTTTTTTACCTAGACTTCCCGCTACCTTAATCCTGGTTTAATTATTTCCCTCTGCTTTTCCCTAGGAATATAATTCACAAATATTTTTAAAGTCATTGTATTATACTGTTAGAATGCTGTAATTACTAGAGTTTTGATGTATATACTAGTTGTTATGGTATAATTTTCAGTCTATTTTAATATTTAAGTCTATTGTTTTTTTTCTTGCCATCAGAACAGTTCACCTCTTGGCGACAAACTTAGTTGGATCTTTGGGAAAAATTCAGACTTTGGAGATGAGAATCCAGTAGATGGATTACATGGTGCAACTGTTCAGATGTCACAGGATCAATCAGACAGTGAATCTTTATCTGTCAAAAATCCTTTAACAAGCGAAACAGTATGTGAAGATTCGAAAATAAATCTTGATCAGAACACGCAGGTACCTGAAAGAGAGAACGTTTCTGATTCTGGAGGACTTACTACCCAGCAAAATACAGTTGACTTCAGAAACGATCTTAAAGTCATGGGATCTTTGCTTATGCAGGAGCAAACAAACCAAAATGTAGCTAGTCCACAGGTGCTTCTTCCTTTTCTTCAAAACATCTGTAGCCAGGTTAATCATCTTCGGCTAAAAGACGGTGATAGGCATCTCAGTAAAAATACGGTGACTAAAGAGGAAGGCATTCAGGCTGTTCGGTAAGTTAAGTTTGATATGCCTAGTGTAGTAATAGTTTGTATGAACAAGTTTTTTGTTTTTGTTTTTTTTTTTTTTAAAAAAAACACATTTTATTCTCATTAACAGCAATAGCGAGTCTTAAAATATGTGATTTTGAAGACTGTGGTGACAAACATGACTACAGTTCTTCAGATGAGCTGCTCAAAGATAAGATTTTTTCTAAAAGAAACCACAAAATCATTTGATTTACTAAATTGTTTTTGTCTTCTTTGTGCATCTTTCCTTTCTCCTGCCTTCCACCTTTTATGGTTTAAAAACTGTGTGGTCGTTCTGTTCAGTTACATGCATTTAGTATGTTTTTCTCCTCTGTTAATGCATTTTCACTTCAACTGCTTCTGTCTCCTAAATTGTCATCCCGTCCTTGTTTTCATATTGTGCCATGATCTCTCTGCTGTGCTCGGTGTATCTCATGCCATCAGTCTTTCCTATACCTCCTCGCTTCTTTGCATGTACAGTGCAAACTTCATTCTAGCAGTGCAGCCAGTTTGATAGATACCCAAAGAACAGTAGAAGAAATGGTGAAATGTAGGAGTGTTGCCTAGGATGCAGAGTTCTAATAATGCTCGAATATCTCCGGGGCCTGGGAAAGTACAGTGCTTTTAACGATTACTGATGTGAAAATAAATAATGCATAGTGTATGTAACTCTGGAAACACTGTACTTGGAAAGAATTAAACCTGTCATGCTGATGCTGTTTGAACTTTGTTCATACTGCTAAGCTATATGGAGTTTGTTATTTATAACTGCACCTTCTAATGTATGACTGAGCCTTTTTAAAAAATAAGGTAGAAAGGTGGTGACTGTATATCTTCTTGTTTATTAAAAAAAAAATCTCACATTTAAAACGTAGCAGACAGGAAAGATATTTTGCTTATGCTAAAAACCTTATCCATCCAAAACCCATTGTCTACAAAATGAGATGTTAGACTTAAATGAAGTTCAAGTACACAGATTGCTATTTTGCCCCTTGTTAAGAAATACTGATTCTTAACTTGCTCTTTTTACAGAGTAGAACAGCAGCCTATTTGCTCCTATTTGGAAAAGATCATCTCAAAAAATATGGATCTGATGGAGAAAAAACTAATGGACTATATTGATCGCCAAATCCAGGCTCTTCAGACGCACATAGATAATAAAATGGTTCTGTTAATGGACTTGGTTCAGAACTCAAAGCAAAACAAAATTTCACAAGCACACTATGATTCTAGTGAGGGGTTCTCTAATGGAGAAAGATAAATGTATATAGACGTAGAACTCCAATATAAGTATTTTTAAGGGCAATTACTCTTTACAAAGCTAAGTATTTATGGAGTTATAACCATAAAGAACCTCAGTGTTGTTAACTTGCATTTTGTTACTGTAATTCTATCCACTATTGTACACAGTTGTTAGCTTTATGAAAGATCATAAGAATGTGTGGTTTTCCTAAATAAGAATTTTGTATGCCCTTTGTGGCTTATTTATTTAAAGAGCATTGCTAAAAGCCTTGTAAAACACAGTTTCCCACTTTCAGTTTGAACAATAGAGAGGAACACTCTAAATAAACCGAGTTACAGCTTCTCTCTTTAAGTACATGTAATTAATTCAATTTTCTTCTGTCTTGTGTGTAATGTGTTACCCCTGGAAAGCAACGTGGTTTCCTTGTGGCTTTGGATTGTTCTAATGGGACTCCCCTTGAAGTGGTTTATGACTCCAGCTGTGAAAGGAATGGTAATACTTGTATTGCTTCATTTAAACTCTGCAAGAAATCAGGTGTAGAGAGGTAGAATCCTTAACCTGGGTTTGAAAGCTCTCCTGGCTGTACAGGCACCAAAATTAGCAATATAGGCTCCATAAGTGATGTCTAAAATGGGGATGTTAGGCTTTTTCCTTTATAAATGAATTGAGCCATGCAGGAACAATTGTAATAGATGTATACAGAGCAGACTTGTATTTATCCATGTTTTGCTATCTGAAGAAAGTATTTCATTCATGGTCCTTCCCCAGGAATGGACCTATGCAAAACAGAACGTGCTGGGTTAGGCTCTGCTGTGTTTCAGCAATCTTAGGCCAAAGAAGTAGTCTTACTGTGTCATGTTTACTGTAATCTCTTTGAATCAGATCTGCTGTCATTTGAGGAGGTACAAGTATGTCTCAGAGGTTTGTCTTCATACTCCATTTTGATAATTGTTCTTTGAAATCTGGGGTGCACCGTTTAACTTTGACTGTACAGGGACTTAACAGTGGACTCCTAAATTGAACACAGAGTGGTTGCATTTGGTGTCTTAAAATGCTTTGAGCAAAAGCTATAGATGGAGAAGCAAGTGTTGAGTGAACAGGTGGAGGCATGTAGTAGGCACGTACAATCCAGGCTCTTTACCTAGCTTACCTAAATTTTTCTTCTACTCTAAGAAAACTGATGTATTTTGAAGACAATCAGCAACCCACAAAAGTAGATTGCAAAGACAGGACAACTTGTATAGAACAAGTATCTCATAGATGTCCCTCAACATAACTCATGCCAAGTACTGTTTCAAAGTGATTTGAAAATACAAAAAGATTTTTTTTGAAGAGGGACCTAAATTCTCATACTTCAGAGGTATAAAATTACTTCTAAAGTTACTTTTGGATGCTTTCTAAACAGTAACACCCTGATGTAGACACCAGCATTCTTTCAACTCAATTTGAGATACAGTCGAGGTGATTCTCTTTTTATAATTAAAAAGGTTGAAGTGTTTCCAAGCATTGTTGCATTCTGGGGCTGTTAGTTTATTGAGTATGTTTGTTGGCTTGTTTTTTTTTGTGTTTTTTTTTTTTCCCTCTCCCCTCTTTGAGTGACAAATCTGAACAGAAGTTGGCACAAATTCACTGCATCCTAAAGTAGTTAATATGAACTCTGGATTTTCTGGTAGCCATATGCTGGCTGGCGTCTGTAATATTTTAGTATTGTAGCTGCCACAATAATAACATTTGAAATCAAAGCCACAAATGAAAGAATGTAGAAACTCTTTCCTTGAAGGTTTGAGGTTTCTTCAGCATCTGTTTTAGTGAGGGTTCCTGTGTAGAGAGAAAAAAAGAAAGTGGCATGTTTAAAGTTTTCTGAATACTGTGTCATTTCAGTGAAGGTTCGGCATTTTTCAGATATTTTTTCTGAGGGGTTGACCATACTGATTTGCAAATACTGAACTTGTACTGAAGAGGAGCTGTAAAATTTTATAATAAAATGATAATGCATAATAGCATCACAGTGTTGTTAAATACTTTTGTATCACTGCTGTCAAGTTCTTGCCCATCAGTGTTATCATTATCTTTGGAAATGGGTATGGGATACATTGCTGAAGCAATGCTGGGCAAAAAAGGAACTTGCAATTCTAACCCTGTACCTTCTAAGAGTTGACTAGATGGTCCTTGGTAAAGCTGGTTATTTTTCTGTAAATCATGAAAAGGACACTATGGGAATTAATATGTTTTATAATACTTTGAATGTGATCTGTTTGCACTAAAACTTTTTCATTTGTAAATGTGTCCTGTTTCTAGCATGTGGTTGCAAATTTTTTCACCCATTAAAATAAATGGGAATATGTTTAAAGTGCTGCTAAAGTTGAGAGGTTAATAAACGTTTCATGTATTAGTATTAAGAGCCTGACTAATGGTAAAGCATATGGCCTAACACACTTTTCTCAGGTGAAGGTTTGTGCTTGGATTTACACCAAGGAAGAGAGCTTAATCAGATTCTCAGTTTATGTACCCCTCTTACCTGAGTGATCGGCAGCCCTGAGACCTCTCTTCAGGCGGATAGGACCCACTACAGTCTTGGCTTTCCAAGTGTATGAAGAAGCATCTCTTTTCCGCCTGGAGATACAGCCTTCAGTACAGCGAGAGTTTATGGTACTGTCACAAATCAAAATGTCACACTGGAGATAAACTGATGAAAAGCTCCGCAGGAACCTGAAGGCGTTAAATTTGAACCTTCCGTAGTGCTCAATGGGTGGGTAGGTTACCACAGTGTCATCTTTATTACAACTGCAACAGAATTTACAGATATGTTAAAGTGGTCTGCATACATAAAACATTCATTTAAATTTTCTTAGCTGCAACCAAAGCATTTAACTAGGGCTATTTTTTTTTAACGTGGGCATATAGTGATGCTCCCCTCACACTGCAATGTGGTAAGCTTCTTTCCTGGCATGTAATGCCTTTATATTTCTATGAAATTTAGCTTCCATCTATGGTCTCCTGAAGACAAGCGGAGAAGAGACAAAAGAATGACATTTGATGTGGAGGTTACATTTTCTCACGTAGTATGCGACAATTGTAAAGTCTTACCCGCTTCTGATTAAGTCATATGTTACTGATCCAAAATCAGGTTGTGGAGATGCTACGCAGGTATCGACAAACACCAGAAGATCTGGGTCGGTGGAATGAAGACTGACTTGAGCAAAAAGAGTTTGGTTCAGCTCTACGTAATAGGGGGACTGAAGCACGGGGTTGGAGAATGAATCTGAGTCGTAGAAAGACATGCTAACGTTGTATCTTCCCACAGAGGTCGTGTTCTTGATTAGATTATTTTCTGTTACGTAAATGACTTCTACAGTTGAGTTGTTTTCCATTATGCACTTTGCAACAATCTGTACCATCTTCTTGCGTGTGATAATTGTGTCGGTTTCAGAGAGAGTTACGATGTTGGTGTAAGTGATGCGGTGACCTTCATCCTGTAAAAGGAACAGTATGAAGTAGCTGTGATTACGTGGGCACTGCAGTGGAAAGCAAGTGTGTTAGGAAGCTGCATGAAACATGTTGCAGCCAAAAAAATCATAGTCAGCCCTCCTACCTACGTGTCCCAAATGCTGAACAGACCCATGCAGCAGGTTAAGGAATATTGCACAGAGTGTGGGAATTATCAAAGCTTCATTTCAGTCACCCTTATCTAAACGATGCTCTTAACAAGCTCCTAGGAACCTTGCCATCATTGGGCCTTTTCCGTCTCCTTGTGACTTGTGTCACTTGCAGGGGATGTTGGAGTTTCATACCTAGCCTTGTGTTTCTTTGGATGATCTGGATGTAGAGGAAATGAAGCAAAATAAACTGTTCTGACAAGCTCTCGTCATTCCCGAGCTATTGCTGGCTTATTCACAGAACTTTTTTCCCCCTTTACCTTTTTAATTGTTCCACAGCTGCTTAATGGGAAGGAAAAGATCACGGGATCTGTGGACACTGGCCTGCAGGTTGGGTCGTTCAGGTACAAGTGAGTTTCGTTGTAGCCAAGGGAGTCCAGGTAATCCTTGCTCAGCACAATTTCCAGTCTGTCTGAAGAGCATGTAAGCGATGCTGCCATTGAAAGAGAAATATAAAATAAGTTATCACAATCTCTGCTGTGGTCGTTTCTCACCTGCTCTGGATCAAGGCCTGTCCTTGAGCCTGTTGCGTGGCTCTTGAGCTGTCAGAGCCCAAATCTGAAATGGCTCGTGCACGTTTAAAGTAATACAAAATTTCATGCTTGACTCTCAAAAATTATACAAGGGAAAAATGAATCAAAATGCCAGTGCAGGATGGCAGATGAGGAAACTGAAATCAAGGTTTTAGAGGCAGCCCTTTCCACCTCACTTAAAGCGAAGAAGGGTCTGCAGGCATAGAGAACAGATAAGGAAAACTGTCCAGCTCAAGGGCAAAGGAAATTAAAACACACCCAACCTCCATTTGACTGAGTACCTGGGGGAACAAACATGTTTAAAGGAACCAGTCAGAAAATTTTATCTTCACATCTTCAGGAGGGTAACAATTCTGTTGTGTCCACACAAAAAAACCCTCAGAGTTTCAGTGGAGCCGGCCAGAAAAAGGACTAAAAAGACCGAAAAACAAGCTTTGTTTTGCAGATAGGTCACAAAATAACTTATGTTCTATAAGTGAGACTAATGTGTGGTGGCTTTTTTTTGTACTTAAAGAGTGGCTACCACTATGAAGGCTTAAATCCTCAGTCACTTTTGTCAGATCTCTGTATTTTTTTACAAAAGGGAAGGTTCATATGTGGAAGTGAGAAGCAAATACACTTACTGTCAGGCTCTGGGGGATCCGGCAGAATGCTGGTATACCGAGCAGAAAATCCTCTGTAGGAGTTGGCGTAGTCTGTAGACAACACAACCGTCATGCCGTTTGAAGAAGATTGAAAGGTGGGCCGAGAAACACCACATACTTTTCCAATTAAGCCAGTGTTCGTGGTGAGGCCATCATAGACTGCCAGAAAGTCAAATTGGCAGTTTTGATCCAGCTCCAGGCTGTAGACAGAGAAAAAATAATGATAGAAAACATGAGTGTAGAGAACATAGCTCATATCGGATAAAGGATTCAGTACCGATAGCAGCTGACGAGTCCCACTCAATTAAAATAGAAGAGTGGAGAATAAAAGAACACACAAATCAATGTTATTAAAAAATAAATGAAACGTGGAAAACTCTTAGGTAATAAATAATTAAGTGCATGATTCTACTCTCATTGAAATAGAATTTTTGCTAGTGCTCTCAACAGAGATAGCTACATTTTTGTAGTTCTGCTACTATATATTGAAGGTAAATTACTTAATAAAAATAACCACACCTTCAAATATATTAAGGGAAAAAAAATCACATTACAATAAAGAAGAGCTTTTGAAGTGTGATCCACTTTTTAAAGTGGATCTCTGATGCCTCTTATGTGTATCACCAGAGGAAAAGGAAGGCTTTTGTCTTTTTTATGTTTGTTTTATGCATGTTCCTTATGTAGCAAAAGCAAAGCAAAAGCTTGATACTTTTTGGATTTAAATTCAGGCTAGCTTGTGGACACCTCACAGTGAGACACCTGAAAAGCTTTCTGTGTTTCACTGAGTACAGTCAGTAAATCATATTGGTTTTACACGTCTACAGATTTCTAAAAGCACTTCTGCTTGCTGCATTTAAAGCAATGCTTCTAAACAAAATGCCAAAAGAACAGTTGAGTGTAGGGCATTTACTCACAACAAATCCTTAAACTCTAAGTTTATCTTCGATTTTTTTGCAGTTTGTATGTTCCAGACGCAGTACGTAAATGGAGGGTAAGACGATGGGTAGTTGGGACTGATAAATGTCCCGTTGGGACCTGTTAGGCTTCCCCCACAATGTGCTGAAAAGAAGAAAAGACACATTGGTAACACAACAGTATACATAACAATAAAAAATAAACTCAAAAACTAAAGCTGTATCACTAGCAGGAGCATTTCTTCAGGATTCCATTCCTTTGGAAATTATTAAAGGTGCTAAATATACCGTTTCTATATATTTTAGGGATTTTTTTTTTCTTCAGCAGCAAAGTTAATTAAATGTTGGAGCAGCATAAACTATGAGGTGGGAATTTCTCTCTCACATATAAGTCTTTGAGAGTTTAATACCATGCCACTCAGGTCAACAGAAGCAAAGGAACGAACTAGTCACAAGCTAAGGCTTTTTCTTTCCTTCTTAAGAATAAGAACAGCTTGGACAAAAATGGGATGCGTCGAATGAAGACCATCACTGACTTGTGTCACAAGTCCTCGGATGGAATTACAACAAGACGGCCTTATTCTTTTTCTGGGCAAATGCTATGTCATCTGCAAACTGAACAAATTTAGTAGATGCCTTTAAGTAAAATTAGAGTCCCATAATGCCTTCTTTGCAATTATATTTTTTCTGAGTAAATCTGCCTCTTTTAGGCTCTCCAGCAAATGTGTTATCGTTTTGTTGCCTCCTTCCTTCTGCTGATTTTACCCAAACCATTCCCTAAGGGCTGAGTGATTAATTAAAAATTCTGTGAATAGCCTCTAATTGTCATCCCAAACTTTGCTTTACTAATCCTCCTTTAATAGTACAATTCAAATGGTATTGATTTTATTGCATTAAGTTCTGACTTACTTGTTTCCGGTGAAAAGAAGTAATAGAAGACAAAGAAGTTTCGTGCGAAAGCCACAGAGTTTGTTTTTATGAGAAAAGTTAAACTGTTTGAAGATGATTCAAACATTGGGACTGCATCAGTGTTGTTACATACTTGTCCAAGAAGAGGTGAATTAGAGGAAGGACCATCGTATACATTAATACTTTCTGTTTCACAGCTTGAAGATGGAGAAAATCTATTAAAAAACAAAACAACAACGAAAAACATGGTGGGAACTACCTCAATTCACTGAGAAATATGCAGACTCTTTGCAGTCCACAACACAGATTCAGTATAGCATTTTACTTAAGCAAATACAGAGAAATATTTGGAGGCAGCAATACCTTAAATTGAAATTAGTAAGAAATTCAGCTTAGCCATACTAGTTTATTTAAATTTTATTATGCATTTTCAACATTTTTATGTTCAAATTCATTGAAAACATACCAAAATGTATGGAGGGAATACTTACTTAAAATAGGAGAAGATGAGCCTAATCGTTTGATTTTCGTTTCTCTGAATTTGCCAGACACAGTTTGCATTTGAATTTAGGTTGATCTTTAAAGGTTTGTTGAGGTCGGTGAGTGAGGCACCACAGTGAGGTGCACCTGTGGAAGAAGAGCACCAACAAAGAGCTTGCAAGGCTGGCCCTCCTGCAGTAAGGTCTCACCCTCCTCCATGCCATGACCCCAGGACAGCCCACCACAGAGCAAGCATGCAAAGAATTCTACCATTTGGGTTTTTTGTTTCTATTGCACCAGTTTGTGAAACCTGAAGTATCAAAGAACATTGGAAAGTTTTTCTTATCCTTATTTTCATTAGTAGAAGACAAGAAAGTTAGGGAAACACAGATCACAGGTGAAGCCAGTGGCAAAACTGGGAACTCCAAGTGACAGAGGACACCTCAACAACTCCCTTCTGCAAGGCTGGTCACCACAAGCATCTCAAACCTCAAACCTTCCACCTACACTCTTTTCCTGAAGATCACTGTATCGATTTCTGAGTTTCAGCCCTTTACGTCAAAGCACTCAGAGAGGGAATAATAAAATAATAATATAATAATCAGATTTGAGTTTCTGAAGGTTAATGTGCGAGACTACTGTGTATTTAGTGCTGCCTATGGTTCTAACCCTCCATCTCCAAATGGTACTGCTAAACAGGAAAAGCTTTAAATGAATCATCATTTTTGATCAAAGATGATCAAAAGTTTAGAATAATTTCCAGATAAATAATAAGTAAATGGACTAAAGCAATTTAGGTCAGAAAAGAGAGAAATGAGGAGGAAAGGAAGTGCTAGAGGTCCATACATTCATGCCAATAGTTCTCTTCCAATACAAGAACTCAGTGGACTGAAACGAAACCAATAACCTGTGATTTTGAAAGAAACAAAAGAAGCTGGCTCTTTGCATGTGGATCTTTGCTGCAGGGTGATGTGCATGTTAAAACATCAAAACAGCTCAAAACCATGAAAGAAAAATACCTTGATAACAGTTAAACACACATATAGCTCTCCCTGTCTGGTTCAGGATATCCTGACCCAAATTTGTTGGTGACAGGGAGAGCGTTATGGGGAGCTATTACTGCAGGCTTGTCTCCATAGTCTTGCCTGAGCATCCCCTCTGACTATTACTGCGTTTAGGATTCGGGGCTGGGTGAACATGAAAACGAACAAACAAGCTGAGTTTCTATATCTAACATTACTTAACGAATGTTAATTAGTTATGAAGTACTTACAGTAATGGGCATTGTATAGGAACCTTTAGAGAAAGGTTATTATCCCGTTTGAGCTTAAGTTTTCTTTTCTGCCTTAGCATTATCTAAAAATAGTGGTCTCAAACAGCAGGAAAAACCTCCTAGACCATGTATGCCATCCCAGCTAGAGAGGTCAGGCTTTCTGCTGAACTCCAGAGGGAAAAGAAAGGTCTAGGAGAGACCTTTCTGGTCACAAATGAAACGCCAGCTGGAAGAGCATTACGAGGTCAGTTTTGCCCTGCCCTCACTCTACTTCCCTCTGGACGGTTCCTGTAGCCCAGCTATTTTTTTTCATTATCCCACAGTTGCTGCCCACTGTTACACATGCAAATTGCGGATCTGAAATCCCAAATGAAGCAACGAATGACTGCCTATTGCATCTCATTGAACATGGGGAAAAAATGCCCCAAACTCTTTTAAAAAGCAGCAGTTTTCCCACAAGTCAATTTAGTCCTGTTTCTCCAATACAATATTAACTTACACATGCAAATTTCCATTCCAGAGTAAAATCTCTTCAAGTTCTTAAGTAAAAAAAATGTCATAGGCAGTCATATATTGCAATCATTTTATTCTGATACTCTTATACAGGTATGTTTTACATTTTCCCCTTCAGTTGCCTACAGAATAGCTTGTACAGAAACTAATAAAGATTCACAGAAGAAGAAAAATGTTTTATTTTCATACCCAAGAATTCTATTGAGTTGTCTTCAGCAAGAGTTAGAGCAGCTAAGAGAGGCAGAAGGAAGAAGCGTCTGAGCGCCCGCATTTTGATGGCAGCTGGGGAGGGTCGGGATTTCTAACTTTTATACCTCCTGCGATTTCATAATCATCTTGTATTGCATGGTATCGTGGAGGGAGGTCTTAATCTCTCAGTTACTGTTTCCTTTTAACAGATAGAAATGAGAAAGTAGCAGGTGTGCCCATTTTTTTTAACGTGTATTGCGTAGAAGTTTAACCATGCTTTCATCAGCTCTGTGTCTCATGGGTTCAAAGCACGGTTCTCTGTTGATTCGCTGAGCCTCTGTGCGGGTGTGTTGTCATTAGTCTGACCCGAACAGAAATGTTTGGGGGGGACTGACAGACTGTCCCTTTGGGGACCAACGTGTCCATCTCACAGCGTGGGGCAGAGGGAGCTCCGTGGTTCCCACCTCTATTTTGACACCCGTCCTTTTGGGTTGCATGGGCAGAGCATTCAGTGTTCCTGCTGAAGATTCCTTGGGTTATAAAGTGGGACTGTCATAGCGGAGTTGTCCTGAGTAATAATTTCCCATTGCTGAAGCATTCATGGGTGAACAAGACAACGTTAATGTTACCCACAGATTTAAAAGAGCAGCATTGCACTGCGGCCACATTGTAAGTAAAACTTTTGCAGTCCCACAGCAGAAGGCACGAAAACGTTCCAAGATCCCCAGTTCCTCTGAGCACGAGCCTAATGAATGTCTGCTCCAATATATATACACTACTTTGTCTGCCTTTCTTGAAGGACCAAAGCTCCTTAAATATGGAGTATTTCCTACTGCAGCAGCAGATAGCCCGTGTTTAAAGCTTCCACAGGCTGTGCTACTGCCAGTGCCACAGATGTGCCCTTCCCCTAGCCTTGGTACCCATGTGGGGTGGGAATAGCCACGGAAAATGGGAGCCGAGCTGTGAGACTCTTTCCAATGCAGAGGGCTGGTGTTCCACAGCTGTGCAAACAGGGGTTCTTTCAAGTTTCCTAAGTCAAGAAGAGTTGTGGTGCAGACCTTTTTGAAGCACATCCAGGTACTTCTCTTTTATAACAAATTGTTTGTATACAAACAAATTTGTTTCTTTTCTACACAGATTGATATGGAAATATGATGCCTCTGTAATGATGCTACCTTTCTAGTCTCAGACATGTACCTTATTTAAAACAATCCTGTCTATATTTTTATCCTTTAAGGACTTTGAATGCAACCCTTTCTTCCTCAGGACAGGGTATTTACATTGTCTTTAAATGTGAGACATTGAATACGTGCATAAAGGCACTGCAATAGTATTTGAATTCTCTTTTGTTTCCAGAAATACTACATTTGCATTTACTCTGTATAGCCTTTCATTTCTTAAACCCACACGCATATGTGCAAGCAATTTTCAAATGCTAACATCCACTTTTTATGCATTTAATTTGTGAACTGGGGTACAACGCCCAGCCAGTCATCACTTTGTCTATCAACTCCAAGAAAAAATACACGATACGTCCGTGGCTATGATGCTCTGGCAAGCTGGTAGGTATGGGTTGGTAGGCTAACTGCTGGTATTACTTGTGTACCAACGATGAGGAAATTCTCCTGCTCTGTGTTTGCTCTGGAGGGACTGGACCCCTGAGCCCTGTGGATCTGGAGGGCTGAGTGGGGCTCTGGTGCTTGCAGGGATGGCTCCGAGCACTGCAGCTCGTGCACCAGATCTGAGCCTTCAAACCATTTTCCAATCCCCTGTGTTCACACACCGTGTTCAGACAGTGTGATGTGCTCACATACCAGGTGATGCTGAAATATTAATGGCACGCTTTGAGTTCCCTCTTCCACCTCAAAAGAAAATGGCCGTCAAAGTCCTTTAAAATGAGAACAGGATGACTGTATGGAAAGTATTTTAAAATAGCTGATCCTTAGAACAAATTAGTGTGCATTTTGGAACAAAGGAACAAGCATTCAGCTGTTGTGGATCTGTTATTTACAGGCACTTTCCCTCACTGCCTGCAGCTGAGATTTCCCTGCAATAGCCAGGAAAATGTGATTTCAAGCACTTTAAGTCATTACCTGTGTGAAGCAGAACAGCAAGGTTACAAGTGCAATGGATTTTGGTGTGAATTACGTGCAATTAGGAAATATTCTGGCTCAGGACTAGAGTTCTGGCCATTTTTTTACAAGGGCATTACAGTCCCACAGGGTTAGGGCTTTGGCTGTGAGCCCACTTGGCACTACACAGGCAGGGGCTGAGCCACCAGGTCAGAGATCTGGTCAGAGCAGGGACTTGGTGTGAGACCTGCAGGAGTTTGTTGTCTGAGAGCTGCCTAAGTTATTCATGGAGAAGCTGAGTTTCAGAATGATTGTAATCCTTTTTTATTTTATTTTTATTTTTATTTTTTTTAAGGGCTGAAACACAAAAAGTTGTCTCTTTCTTTATTTCTTTCCTTCTTTCTTTCTTTCTCTCTTTCTTTCCTTCTTTCTTTCTTTCTTTCCTTCCTTCTTTCTTTCCTTCCTTCTTTCTTTCTTTCTTTCTTTCTTTCTTTCTTTCTTTAGGTCTTGTATTTCAGACTCTAAACACTAGGCATCTTTATTCCCTACTGAGCATCTCATTATGAGTTTGGGTAACCTGTATATAGTATATATTGGGTAATCTGTATATATTCACCATGTAGAAACTGATTATTGTTCTTGAAGATCCTTTTCACACTCTGAGTTTAGATGCTCAAAAGATTATCACCAGATTATCAAAATTTAATCCATCTCTTTCCCTCAATTGACTGCTGGGCTACTGTACAATCTGCAGTCAACTGTCATGATATTTTTCTCTATTCTGAACTGAAAATTATAGTTTTTTGTTTTTTGTTTTTTTTTTTTTGTTGTTGTTTTTTGTTTGTTTCACTAAGACATTCCAAATAACACAATTTAACATACTGAATCACAGAATCACAAAAACACTTTTTTTTTTTGGCTCAAAGTGATTTAATTTGAACAGATATTGAAAGGAAAATGATGAAGCAAATGCTTGTAATGAAAAAAAAAATAGATGTGCTATAGTTCTAGTCTCCAGTAATAAAAACTAACATATGGAAGATTTTAATAGTTTATAGGTACTGCAGGGATTGTATCTCAGGACATGTACAATATTTTTTTTCCAATTATTTCAGAATTCCTATTTACAATAATTGTTTAGGCATTATTGGTTGCAAGGGATTCTTATCCTCTGATTTAGGTCTCTTCTTGAGCTCAGAAAGCAGCACAGCTGCTTACATCTGTAAGGCAGGTTAATCATTCCTGCATGCTAAGTATTTGAGCTATTCAGTAAAATGTGGAGAACTGTAAGAACAGTAAGAGGAAAACAGCTTTGATGAGAAAAATCAGCCAGCTGATCCAATTACACTTTGTCAGGGAGAGTTTTTACTGAAGCTTAGGCTTTTACAGATCTGGAATATAGATAAAAATATCTGAAATTAAGAAACACAAGTACAGTTAAGATTACAATACCTTTAGATTTACGCCCCCTATTAAAATTTACTTTTAGAATTTATTAGCAGGTGTGCAACACACTGATCGTGTATGTAAGTGATCAACATGATATTATAATTAGAAGAAGCATTATTGGTGCTACTGTAATCTGGAGACCACAACAACGACGTCTTCATCGCTGTCACTTGTGCTTCTTTTGTTTCTCCTTATGCAGCCCTGGTAGCATCGGGAGGAATAATTGTATCTGTTGCACACTGACATTTTGCACTGCAGGTAAACGGATGAGTATCTGCCGATAAAGCTGGGGGCTCTGAATTTGAACTGGACAATCCTCCTGTCTGGTGAATAGTAGCTCCTATAAGTTGGGTCTCTTACACACCTGAGAAAAGAAAAAAGGAAAAACAAAAATACAATTATCATATAAAAATTGTGACATTGTTACTGTGTCATTTGTTTTATCATTTAGAAGCAATTTGCATTCAGAATTTTTAAACTGTGAAGTTAATCACAATTCACAGCCCAGAACTCCTGAACACAGATGGAGTTATATGGAATTTATATATGTAACTTGGTATATAATATGTAATGCTACATATATAAATACCACACACATATGTAGACATATAAATGTAAAACATTGGATGAGATTTTAAATATATGAGCAAGACCTGTGCAGCCCTATTATCTTTCCAAAGTCATTTTTTATTTCAACCTTAAACTTTCTAAGAACTGTAAAGGACCATACCCATATCCCAAAACAAACAAAACCACTTATATGAGGAGGTTTATCCTTGTCTAAATTAATATGTTTTAAAATATAATTTGTGAAATACCTTCTTAAAATTTATACTGATTTCTCTTCCCTGGCAGAATATAACAGTGAATTAAATGTAAAATGCCACTAAACAAAAGTGTCCATCCTAATAGGTAGTTCATTTAAAATCTAGCTGCTTCTTCACAGAATCACAGAATTTCTAGGTTGGAAGAGACCTCAAGATCATCGAGTCCAACCTCTAACCTAACACTAACAGTCCTCCTCTAAACCATATCCCTAAGTTCAACATCTAAACGTCTTTTAAAGACCTCCAGGGATGGTGACTCCTTCTCTGGGCAGCCCGTTCCAATGTCTAACAAGACATTCTTGCTAATGGGTAACTCAAAAGTGCTACAGAACTGTGGATTTGTGTTACATGTATTTGTTATTGACCTTATCACGTCATTCACATGCAAGAAATTATTTGGAAATAGTTGTTGAGATATTTTCCTTACCCATTTCTTATTATATCAGATGCCACAGTTGTAAAGTCATAAGGATTTGGAGAGACCACACACGTGTCTGCAAACAGCATCAGATTCGGCTCTGCGCCGTAGAGGGTAGCACGAACAAACAAATCCCGGCTTGGCAGAACGTAGTATGGTGGAGCCCTCACTACATTGGAAAAAGACGGTGAATCATAAAAGGTAAACCTGACAACAAATCGTCCAGATGGAGTTTGCTGGTACGGAGACTCTCTAATGCTGGGTAGAGCATTGAAACCGGGGTTGCTGTATATTCTGCAGGCGAGGTTCAGCAGCGAGTTCCTATTTCTGCTGTAGAGGTTGCCAGACATGGATCCTTCCACTGTGTTGGAATAAGTGATGGCTTCACGCGTTATCTGTTAAAATATTAGTGAGTTTAGAGGTGCAAAGAAGTGCAGAACCATTTTCCTGAATGCCACTGGGAAGCTGGGGGAGCTGAGGGATAGCAGGGCCTGGCCCTGCTGGCCAACCTTGGCCTCAGAGCTGAGGGAAAGTTTTGTTCATAAATAACTTTGACACCATCTTGGCATGTGATAATTTCAAGGCTAGACTTTCTCACCAGCCTCCTCGTGCCACAGCCGTTGTACGGTATGCGGAAGGTGACGTAGGAGTCGGTGATCACAGGCCTGCACCTGGGGTCTTGCAGGTGGACGCTCCCTGCGAGGTACCCTCGGGAGCTGAGGTAGGATCTCCTGATGATGGCCCGCATGTAATTAGGCAGACAGGTGAGGGTTGCTGGAAGATAAGAAATTTAATGTTAATAAACCAGATTTTAGTATACATTAATATGCAGCATGCATTAAATACCAGTGTGCTTCACAACTGCAGATGTGGGCTTTGCTGACTAAGCTGGAGAAAACAGCTGAGTGGAGAGAAAATGAATTCCTCTCTTTCTTCGCTGGTGCCATAGCTTATCACTCCCTCCTACAGCTAACCCTGAGGTCACACACGTCAGCAATTCTGCAGGACACAGTGAGCTCGCCACGACAACCCCTGAGCTGCTGCTTTGCTTTCGAGGTCCCTGCTGCCACACCTGGCCAGCAGCCTGGCAATCCATGGGCAGGTGTTTCAAATGTCTTTTTTTCCATAAATGTTGCAGACGTAGACCAGCTTGTCCTGCTCGGGCAAGCCCCTGCTCTACGTCTTAGATGCTGCCTGCCATAAGCTGCCAGCCCTCTCCAGCTTGCATCTTGCCCAGAGTGCAGGGCACTGGTGAGGGAAAAGAATTAAAAAGAGGAAGAAAGGAGAAGGCCCTACCTTGGCTTATAGGTGCTGGCCTTGATTTTGGAGGAGCTTTTAATGAAAAAAAAAAAAAAAAAAAGAAAATAAGTGAGAGTGAATGATGAAAATATGCGCTTGTATGTAATCAGTTAATATCCACTGTAATCAGCTGAATGCAGTCAGACTAGAAAATATTAATATCAACAGAGCTGAAGAACAGAGCTGTCATGGACAAAAAAGTCATGTTAAGAAAAGCATGCAGGCTTGAATGATGACATATTACTAGCAATAACAGGAACAAGATTTAATTCTGCTTATTCATTTGTTTAGGCAGATGACTCCATGCTCAAATGAAGACTTTTTATCAGAAGTTCAGTTTTTTGTATGTCACCAGAAAAACAGAGTTAATTTACTGATGCAGTCTTTTAGCAATGTGAGGCTGATAGGGCCAGACTTAAAAACAAGACCTTAGTCTGCCCTCTGAGCATTTGAGGCATGATATTTGCAATGTCTGAGCAGAACCTGAAATTCAACTTTCTTCAAAAGTTAAATCCCATTGTCAAAAACTCTATCTAAGATTCAAAACAAATACCACTGAAAATATCAGAAATTCTCACTGACTCAGTTTCCAGTGGGGATGCAACTTTGGCAAGTGCACGAGGCTGACTTTCTAGGCATGAGGTGGGAAGCATTGTCAGACCACAATCAGCTGACTAAGCACTTAAACTGGAATAACACTGCACAATTTACAAGTGGTAATGCCTCTGTCTATAGGAATTTGAAGGACTGATGGAGTTGATGAGATTGTTACCATGAGAAAAGAAAATATGAAAGAAAACATTGTCTGAATCCTAAATAAATTCATCATTCGCATGAGAAATAATAAACGTGTACCCACATGAGGTAGGCCAAGGATTCCTAACATTTTTTGCCTGAGGACACTCCATGGTCCCCAAGCACCATCCCTGTGCCTCAGTTTTCCTCCACCCATTTGCAGTGCCTGGCCCTCAGCTCCAGGAGCTCTGTCCACGCTGCACGGCCAGGCAGCGCCGCTGCTCACCGGGCTGCTGGAAACGAGCACCAACAAGTACCTGATGTTTCTGCTGCTGGGGACTCGGTCGGAACTGCCAAAGAGAAAGCAAAAGCCAGGCTTCAGCCATTTTCCCATTACTGCACGAGGAAAGAAAAGGCTGCTGCTTGTGGAGGGAATCAGCAGCGTTCTGCCAGGCTTCATCCTGGCACCAATTCCACACAGAATAAAGTGGTCAGTACCTGGTACTGGAGGCGTGGTGGTTTCATCAGGGACTGGTGAGGCAAGGAAGAGAACACAAGTGCCAGTTAGGAGCTGCCAGAGGCCAGACAGGCAGGATGAACCCACGCCACAGCGGAGCCACAGGCTCCTGTTTCAAGGGTGGCTGTGTGCAACCCCAGGGGAGGCTGCTGTAGCCAGGGCACAACCATGCTCAGCTGTAGGGTCTATGAGCAGGGATAAATACCTGGTGTTTCAGCCACAGTGGTCTCAGTTGGGGCTGCCAAAGAGAAAGCAGAAGCCAGGCTTTAGTAGTTTTTCCATTACTGTGTGAGCAAACCAAAGGCCACTGCTGTGGAGGGAATCAGCAGCGTTCTGCCAGGCTTCATCCTGGCACCAATTCCAGACAGAATAAAGCGTTCAGTACCTGGTACTGGAGGCGTGGTGGTTTCAGCAGGGGCTGGAGAGGCATGCAAGAGAGCACAAGTGCTGATTAGGAACTGCCACAGGTCTGACAGGTGGGAGGAACTCGCGTCCCCCTTTGGAGGGTGGCTGCACACTGCTGGGGGAGGCTGCTGCAGCCGGGGCACAGCCACGCTCAGCTGTAGGGTCTATGATCAGGAATAAATACCTGGTGTTTCGGCCACAGTGGTCTCAGCTGGGGCTGCCAAAGAGAAAGCAAAAGCCAGGCTTTAGTAGTCTTTCCATTACTGTGTGAGCAAACCAAAGACTGTCAAACCAAAGCAAAATTAACATTAAGGTGCCAGTAGGCCTGGTTTAATCAGACCCCCATTCCAGCTACATTATAGATGTTTACATTATCCCATAATTTGTTATCTGTTTAACACAGCTTGTGGCCTTTTCACTGCCCTTCAGGGTAGGTGAAAGTCATGCATGGGGTATGTGTACCCCTACAGAGGTCAAAGAGCTCAGTGTTGTGGGACACCTCTCCCAGCTCATCACAACCACTGCGACAGCATCAGGAGTTTGTGTGCCCACTCACCTGCGTGCTGTGAGCTTCTGGGAGCTAACAGTGTGTAAGGGCTTTCTCACCACCAAGCAGTGTTGAGCTTACAGGGAATCAGCACTCCATGATGGGAGAAATAATGTTTGACTAAGCCTGAGGTGAATAAGCTGGCAGTGCAGTGCTCCCTACCTGTTGTGCCAGGTGTGGTAGGCTCCAGAGGGACTGTTGGGAGAGAAAATAAAAAATAAAAATAAAAATAAAAAATAAAATAAAAAAAGAAAGGCAGATCAATGTTTTCAGTTAAGGGTTCAGACAAGCAGCAGTACGGTCAGGGCTCTTCCCCAAACCACAACCTGGAGAAGCCTGCAGGTTGGTGTTCCTGCCTCCATTTCTGCCACCCACACTGCAGACCTTTGCCAGGAGAGGAGCAGTGATGCAGATTTGGGAGGGACAGGCAGTGTTTCTGTCCTGACTCCTCACGCAGGCTGAAATGTGGTATGAATTGCTGTTTGCAGGGGAGCAGCCCCAACACTGCAGTGTTTATCAGGGCCAACAAAAGCCTGGGAGGTGTGCCAGCCAGGACTGCTTTCAAATAAAATAAGTTACATCTAGCTTGGGATGGTTAGCTAGGAAGCAGTAAAGCCTCTTGATACATCCAAGGAGAAATCATTTTCAGCTTGCAAACTACAGAGGGCTGAGCAGGGCTGAGTGGATTAGGAGTGTGGGCTGAGAATCTGAACTTGATTTCTCCTTCTTAAAGGCTTCTGTTGCTTGCAGCTTGTGTGCAGCACATCAGAGATTCATTACAAGTGTTTCTCAGTAACCATCAATTAAGAGCAATGTGTGGTAGCAGTAAAAGGGGAGAGGAGAATATTTACCAAAAATAAAATCAGGGTCAAAATATGTGCCTTTTCAGAGTGGTAGTAGAAGCCTTATTCATTTCTTCAGCACTGTAAGTCTCGAGGCTACTGTTATTTGTTATATCACTGTAGTGCAATACAACAGCACAGCATGAATGTCATTTCCCTAGAGGACCTCAGTCTATCTTAGACAGAAATATCTAAGTCCAAAATGATTCAGTGGCCTGCCAGCTTACACTGATGTCTAGTACCAGACACATCATGTTCATGCAGTGTCAGATTCTCCACCAAAACAATTTCCTTCTGCATCCTCAGCTAGCAGGACATAAGCTCAGTGTGAGCTCTGTTTTCTCCATAAGTTCACGTGATGCAGATACCGTCTCTTTAAATGTGAGTATGAAATCATGAAATAGGAGTGCATTCCCAGGAAAGAAAGAATTAGAAGAAAATATATTTACAAAGCTGCAAGTCTGAAACAAGCAATTTTAGGCCCAAATAGTCTTTGTTCCAGAGACAAGTTCCAGGTCGGGCTGCCAACACCTACCCGTGGGCATCTCTGGAAAGAAACATCTATAGCTCTGCTCTTCCCTTTCTGCTTGCATGACCCTCCAGTAGAGGAACCCCTTGTGGGAAGGAGAGGATGGCTCCAGGTCACCTGCAGCTCAGGGGGACCGGTCTGACTCATGCCCATGGGGCCACAGCCAGGGATGCCCATTCACAGCTCCAACCTTGCACCGGGCTCCTCTTTTCATCCATGCACACTTTCATGCATGTCTTAGGAAACTTGATTCACATAAAATAAAATGGAGAAGGTGTGTACCTGCACAGATAACACCAGCATCTTCCTTGTGGAAGCAGTCGTGTGTGCCCAGCCCCCTGTGGGAGCACTGCTCCAGGGAGGACTCATTCCCTGTGCATTTCACATTGTCCAGGAGAATATCTCCTGTGCCTTCCCCAAAAAAGGCGTTAATTTTGGCTGAGAGAGCATCACCACAGCCCATCTCTCTGCACACAACCCTGGCATTCCTTATATCCCAGTCATCATCACAGACAGTTCCCCATCGCCCGTTGTGAAAGATTTCAAGGCGCCCTGAGCACTCATTGTCTCCATTCACCAGTCTCAGGGACATCTCTTGGAAAAGGAGAAGGGAATTCATGGTCACTCAGCAGCCTCAAAAACTGGCAGATGCATTTACCACGTAGTGACAGCCAAGTAACCATATGCAGTATGTCAGACATGAAAACTTTGAAAGATCTGCCTAGGGAGAACTCACCAGATGGGACGGGCTCTGTCGGGCCTGTGGGAGTAACTGGCTCTGGAAAAGGAAACAGAAGAATGAATTTCTGGTCTTGCTACAGAGGATGTTTGATAACATTCTTCAGTTACAATGGAATGTAATATGACATTCTTCAGTTACAATAAAGGAAAGCAGTAGTGACATGGAGCAACCCCTTCATCTGTGGGAGCATCATCACAAAAGGGAGAAGAACAAACCCTTTTTAAAATGTCAGCTATGACTGGGTCTGGGTGTTAATGGTTGCAGTTATCCTGCAGATGTAATATTCAGTTGTGTGGGACACTTTAATTTAGGTGTGGGACATCCTCACCCAAGAGACACACATCTTTCTGGGTTGTTTAACTCCACTTGAGGTCTTTACTGAAAAACTCTCTCTTTAATAAAATTAGAGCGGGAGAAAAATTTCAGAAATGGTCTCACTTCTGTTTTGTGAGAGCACAGCTAGAAATCAGACACTTGCACAGCTTGGACTCAACCTCTGCTAGAGGGAGGTAGGGTAGGACTGCCAAGGCCACTTGTTTTATAATAATATTAAAGTAAATAGTGTCAGAGTATCTCTCTTGTGAAGTCCAGTAGGCATATGGCCATTTTCTTGCCAGGAATTGAATAGCACAAACTGGCAACCAGTTCTTTTGGAGAGAATTTACAGCAAATTCTTTATCTTTTCTTCCTCCTCACTCCTCTCGCTTCCTCCCAGTGCCATTTCCCCAGGTTCCCAGTACTCTTTCTGGGCTCTCCAGCTGCGCATGTCTCCAGTCAGAACAGAATTGCTGGAAAACTGGGAACTGACTTGAAAGACTCCTATAGAAAGTTGCTAAGAATAACTTCCTGCCAAATCCAAGAAGAGGAAACTTGATTTACTACTTGTCATCGTTCACATGGGAAATCAGCACTGACACGTGCCCGTGTACCTGCGCAAATGACGCTGGCGTCTTCTTTCGGCTGACAGTTGTGTACTGCTATCCCTCTGTGAGAGCACTCCCACAGGCTGCTTTCGCCCCCTCCGCACTGCACTTCGTCAAGGAGGATGTTCCCGGAGCCCTGCCCAAACTGGGCCTCGGGCACGGCCAGCAGAGCTTCCCCACAGCCCAGCTGCCGGCACACGACCTTGGCGTCCGCTAGGTCCCAGCCGTCGTCGCACACCGTGCCCCAGCTGCCGTTGTAATAGAGCTCGACACGGCCCGAGCACCTGCTGTCGCCGTCTGCGAGTCGCAGGGACTGAGCTGAAGCAGCTGCTGTGGAGGAAGAACACCGCACGGCGCTGCCATTTATCCTAGGCTGTGCCAAAGCCCATCTTCAGGCCAGCCAGCACCGCGGTGAAGACAGGAGCGGGTAGCCCGCAGAGTAATCTGCTGCCACAGAGGATCCTCCCCTGAACCTCAGCGCTCTTTTAGGACTGATGTTATAAATTCTTGAACCTGTTTTTCCACTGGTTGATACTATATGCAATATCTGACGGGCATGGACAAAGTCATCTTCCACAACATGCTGATCTCTGGGGAAAATGATCCTCATCCCTACGACTAGCAAAGTAGAAGGATTTCTACTTTTTCTTTACCATCTTTCTCACCTATATAGTAGTTCTGTCTAAACAATTAACACAACTACCCAGAGCCAAGCTTTTCCTGAGATACCTTGCAACCTGAAGGCTGTGTTTTTTTCTTTTCTTTCTTTCCTTTTTTTTTTTTTTATTTTGTTTTTTTTTTTTTTTGTTTCTTTTTACATTTTCCCCCCATCTTCTTTAAATAATGCCTGATTCAGCTTCTTTTCACTCTGGCATAACAGATGGTTGGCACAGCATCATTTCCCAGGAATAGTAGCAGAGCTATTTCTACAGATCAGGCTCATTTCTGAGAGCTGGGTACTTATGGAATAACCCACACATTTATCTCACTTTCAGAGGGAAAGGCTTTTAGAGATCTGAAGTTCCAAATTAGTTTTATGGGTCTGGAGTGTATTTTTCTTTCAGAGAAAGAAATCAGAGACTCTGCCGACAACATAATTGAGTTCCTCTGAGTTTGTTGCCATCATAAACTGTACCAAGTACACACAGCTGTCTTACTTCTTGGTTGGTCTGTGATTACAAGGTTTTCATTTCGGGACATTTTGCTGTCACCTGGCAGTCATTTGTAACCAACTAATGCACATCCATTCAGAATGAGTGCCATGTTTCCAAGGACTCTCTTTGCCCTTAATTCCTTTTTGCTGACCATGATCAAAGCTCCTTCCATCTGAGTACCATGCTTATCATTTCCTTCTGCAAAAGTTGGCTGTAAAGAAATGTCAGCAGCAATATTCTTGGCTCGCTTCCCAAGATCAAGGTCTGAACTTCTATGAGACTGCCAAATATGATTTCAGGGATAAGAAAATAATTGAGACAAAAGATAACTAATTAATTTGTTGAACCAGGTGTTGAGCAGTCACTAGCGATAGTGAAAGGTGTTACATAAGTTTAAGAACTGGACTTCATTAGCTATCTAGGGCTAGGAGCGAGGAGTGAGGAAAAGGCAGATTAAAAAATATATATCTAGATCTTGACTTAGATTACAGGCAGTAATAAATTCATTGTGATTCAGCTGATATTAAAAATAGCTTTACTGAGGGGGAGGCAACCTCTGAATTGGACTTACTAAGTAAATGAAGTATTTCACTAATCTGAAATATGAATGTCAATCCGAAATAAAGGACCGATTAAGTAGCAGCCCCAGGAATTGTTAATGCATTCTTGTGGGTGTGTCTAGACAGATGAAAGGCAACTTTCTGCTTTCAGCAAATGAATAAAAGAAAGCATTAGATATTTGCTTCTCTTCAAAGTCAGTGTTTTGTGCTTAGGTAAGTGTAAAATATAATCAAAAGAAATAGTAAGCACTTAGTTTCCCTGAGCCATTAACCCAAAGAGCCGTTTATCTATGGTTGGTGCAAATGAAAGTAATGAGATTGTTAGTTACAGCTAAAGAGGGCTCTTTTTCACTTTAACCATTAAACAGCTTCCTTGTTGCACACAGTGTGCATAAATAGGATGAAATTGTTTGCTCAAATGCATGGTTGAATAGACATAAGCATAGCACTTAAAAGTAGTAATGAAGGTATTCTTGGAAAACCATATATACACCTCATATTAGGTTCCTTAAACCTGTATTGTAGTCAACTGATCAGTCATTTAAGAAGAAATTCACATTCAACTTCTGAAAGCCAAGAAGATAAAAGTAAATCCTGAGGGACCACGTTCATTTCTCAGTTTCTCTGCTGTGTGCTAACTGCAAACTTCTTTTCATTCATCTGGAATAGGTCCCAGTCTGAACATGTAAGGTAGGCTGCAAAATCTGGTCAAAGCACTGTAAAATATTCTTTAAAGCGGGAAAGTTTTCTTTTCTATCCTTTTGAAATTGGAATGACTGGCAGCAAAAAGGTAGAGAAACACTGACTTAAATTTCTCCTTTGCTGTACTAAAGATTTGTCTGTTAATATCTAAGACAATTAACATTTGTAGAAAATAGGGTGGATAGACCCTAGATCTTGAACATGAATGTATTGTTAAAAATAAGGTTGATGGGTGGAGCATTAAGCAGATTTGTACTACATTTCCTAGACCTGCTGCCACTGGTATTGAGACACAGCTCTGATCTTTTGAGAACATAGATAAAGCTGTAGAAGAAAAGAAGCTCTATAAAAGGTTATGAAGAGAAGAATTATCAGTTGCCTCAGTAATTGTTTGTCATGTTATGCAGCATCTTGAGCTAACAGATGGTATGGGTGTTAAATAGCCAGCCACAGCTACTGTACTGTAATGAAACCCTCAGCCATTAGCACTGACACTTTGGAACAGGACAGATAGAGTGACAGAAGGAAAGGCAAGATTTGTGCGCTCTCTGGAGGACAGGATGAGAATTCAAAATGATCTTCATAAACGGAGTAAATGTCAAAAATCAGCAAGTTGAACTTCAGCACAGACAGATGCAATGCACTGCTCATTGCAAAGAGAAAACCGAGGCACAAAGGCAAAATCATCCTCTTAGCTGGCACAGGAGGGCCATGGAAAGACTGGAAGTCAACAGTGTTGGCACTGCACTGAGTCCAATCTCAGCTTGCTCTCAGAGTGATACACTAGGTCTACTTATCCTCCTTGGCACTAATGAGCCCTCAGCTGCTCATTTGGTGACTGTACATTTAAGAAAGAGGTAACAGGGAGAACTTGGATTTAAGAAATGTAATAGGCTTGAAAATCATGAGCTCTAAGTTTAAAGAGCTGAATTTAGTTTATATGGGAAGTGTCTTTCAATATTCAGAAGAGGACTCTAAAGAGGATTGCCATGAATTTCCCCCTGGAATCTGCAGAGAGCTAAAACAGCAACTGTAGGCACTACAGAAGATTTCTATCAACAAAAGAACATCAAATGTAGCGTTCTACACATTTTTCCTGTGTCTTGGAAACATCTGTCAAGCCCAGAGGCAAAGTGTACATATTCATCTTCCCCAATGGAGATTTGCTTAGGAGTTTAAAGCCTACTGTTGCTATCAATTTCTTCTTCATCAGACGTAGTGGGTAGAGAGGCCCCCCCTCAGCTGATGGCTGATGCAAAATGGCCCTGTCTGGTGAAACTCTGGATTTAAGGTTTGTAAAACTTAATAAATTATTTCATAGACTCATTAAAACAGCTCATTCTTCAAAAGCTTACAAAGCATCTTAAAAAAAACAGATGCCAGAATAAGATTTGCCCCAACAAAGAGAATGGAGAAAAGGTGGGACACACACACACATTGCAGTGTGATCAGCATTTATATGGGGACCAAAGCCCCACATAAGTCAATTTCCCATCCCCAAGAGGGACCTCTAACAGATGCTGAGGGGGAGTATAAGAATGGGACAAGCAATCCTGGTTTGCATGGGATTGTCTCCTAGCTGCATCCTCTTGCATCTAGGAGACGCTTTTGCTCCTGAACCATGTAAGGCAGACAGCTTGTGTCTGACTGTTCCTTACCTTCATTTGTTGTAGAGGGTAATGCTGGAGTTGTGGCTGGCTCGCTGGTCTCTGTGACTGGGGCAGATGTGATTAAGTCATCCAGTTCTGTGGTAGAATCATCAGTTGAAGCTTTGAGGGGAAAAAAAAAAAAACAACAGTAGGAACTATGAGCAACAGTGACAAAATGTGAATATAAACCAGAAATCATTTTTTAGTTAAAACAATCAGGATTCATCATTTTTGTAGAAATATGTGAAAGTACAAGAAGGTTTTTTTTCAGTGAACAAACTTGGAATTGTCCCTTGTACTTCAGTCCGAGTCCCTATACAGCATCACATAATACTATGATAAATAAATATTAAAGCTTGGGATTTTTAAGCTTCTTGGCTACTTGAGAATGAAATAGCATGTTCTTATCCCTCTTTATGAAAACTTCAGTGCACATATTTTCCATGCAATATGTCTTTACCTGAGCTCACCTAGACTCAAAACTGATCTTGGTACTACACCATCCAACTACACCGCTGGTTTTACAAGCTGAATTTACTCAGGATTCTTGCTATAGATACTGCCTCAGTCTCATCATTCACTGAAGTGTATGCACAGAAGGAATACACAGGTATAAACATGGGGATCATTAAAGAGTGTTTGTTTTAGATATAACTTACAAAATGGCCATTCTTACCTTCAAAAACTGTGGTTGGGATTTCAGGGGCCAATGTGGTATTTTCCGCTGCGAGAACAGCAGGTGCAGAAGATGGATCTGAGGCCAAGAGCAAGTCAAGGAAAGAGGGAGAAGAAGAGAGAGGCAGCAATTAGGAGTGAACGCGTGGTCTGAAATCTTGATGAAAGTAAGCAGGTTGGGGCTTAGCAGCGAAGCAAGTCAATGTGTAGCCCTTCATTGTTACTGAAAAAAGTCTCTCACCTTCACTTAACCTGTAACTCTAAAGATAGAAGATACCTGTGCTATTTCTGTCTGTGTTCTTTTACTGCTAGAGGTGCAATGGTCATTTGGAAAGATGCAAAGTAGCCATTGTTAGGGAAATAAAGAAAGAGATTTTTACTTTTTTTTTTTCTTTTCATTTTTTTTGGCATTTCCTGAGTGAGTGCTAGCAGACAAGTGCTCCTCACCTTCCTCGAGGGTTGTCACGGTCACTGTAGCAGACAGTGTCTCTGTCCCTGTTGCGTCTGGGCTGGGTGCAGAGGAGGAAGCTGCAGAGATGGGCAGGGGTGAGGGAATATGTTACTAGATGGAATCACCTGAAGGGGTTGCAAAGGAGGAATATGTGGGTGTTGAAGGGACTGTTAAATTTAAGGAATTCATTACTGGAGCAAAACATCAATCCATGATAGAAACTGGAGCTGAAGTTTGGTGTTATGAGTTAGCTTATGTAATCTAATTTAAACAGGAACTTAAATGCTATTCTTAGATTTTACAGCATAGTGCTTGTTTTTACCTTCAGGAGCTGTGGAAGGGATTTCTGGAACCGAGGTAGCACTGCCTGTTGTAGGTGGGGTTGGTGCTGTTGATGCTTCTGTCGTGTTTTCGGAGGTCGTGACAAGAAGGAAGAAATGAGGAAAGGAGAGAAAGAGAGCATTCAGGTAAGGCAGAATGGCTGAACTCAGCTGTTGATGAATTTAATTGGTTTCAGACTTTGTAGAAAAGGGTGTCTGTATATTATCTGTCATCCAAATCCACACATATGGCTCCGAAATGGGTCTTCATGTTAAAACTTTGCATTACAAGTGTCAGGAAAGTTTCAGACTTTTCTCACTGGGAGTGAGGAAAGCAAAAGGAGTGTGATAAGCAAAAACAGAAATGGGTGTTGTAACTTGGCAGTAACATATATATATATATATAACAGTATATAGCTTCCCAGTGCGGCAACACAGAGTGTTTTATCTACTTCATTATGAAGTCCAAAATGTGAAATAACAAAGGTATTTTGTCTCTCTGTAGGAAAAAAATTATTACAGCCATTTCTGCCTTATCTGACTGAAAGTCTTTCTCCCAAAGTTGTCACAGTCATTGGGGAGGAGAGGGAGAGTCTGTTCAGACTGTTTTTTCTGCAGTTCCCTGCAGGGTGTCCCTGAATTGCAGAGCATCACCACAAGCTGGTAAGAGGTGTGGTGGAGAGGGGAGGCTGGTGGCAGAGCCAGCTCTTGCACCCAGCTTGCAGGGCTCAGCCTGTGAAATGCTGGGCCAAACGTTGGAAGAGGCTGAATCTGGTAAGACCATAACTAGAGGTTTATAAACTGTTAAGAATCCAGATAAATGTTGTTATAAATGGTGAGAAACACAGACTAAATGGCTTTATCCCAAATCATGCTTCTAAAAAAATAATATATATATATATAAAAATCATTATTTCATTCTGATTCTCTCATTTAAATTCTGCACCATTCAGCTTCACTTGAAGTGAGATTTGCAAGTAACATTTGCAGCTCCTTATTGGAGTTGTGGTCTGAGTGCTGGTGGCAGCCTGCCCATGCTGCCAGAAAGCCAGGGGTTGGCACCAAGCAAATGGGATTCAGAGACAAGCATTGGTGGCACTGAGAGATGCTGATTGTGCAATATTTCTTGGCATGTCCTCTGATCTCCCCTCATAACCAAAACTTGCATCCAGGTATTAATTCAGCATTTTTCTAACATGCTGCAGGCGGTGAAAATGCCCGTTACCTTCCTTTGGTGTGGTCAGGGTTTCTGATGTCCTGTCTTCTTCTGTAATGGCAGTGGAAGCAAAGGAGGAACCTGTGCAAGCAAAGGAGGCTATCAGAAGGATGCGAAATTAAATGTCTGCCAGCAGCAATTAAAGGCAGATGTGTGCTTTGAAGACTTAGGGACTCTAGATCTCAGGCTCGATTAAAAGCTGTGTTATCAGTGTGCTAAATAGCTGGAAAGGCAGAGGTCCAACTCAGGAGGTGAATTCAAATGTTTGGCTGTGCTCCTTAATGGTTCTGGAGCTTTTATGAAACTTGGACACACAAAATCACAATGATCTGGACACTTCTGCTTTACAAAACTATACCTGTAGTATTTATAGCTACAAGCTCAGGGAAATTAATAATTAAATGCATATATTTCTACTGTATCTGACAGTTTCATATTTTTTAAGTGAAGATGTTAAAGTGAGGGTTGCTCCTTCACAGCAATATTTAATTTTCATTGGCTACTGTGACTATTTTACAGATTCATATGGTCACATCTTCTTAATCCAGTTGAAAACAAACAAACAAACAAACAAACAAAAAAAACAATTAACAGAGTGTTTATTTTAGATATAACTTGCAAAATGGCCATTCTTACCTTCAAAAACTGTGGTTGGGATTTCAGGGGCCAATGTGGTGCTTTCCTCTGCAAGAACAGTGGGTGTGGAAGATGGATCTGAGGCCAAGAGCAAGTCGAGGAAAGAGGGAGAAGAAGAGAGAGGCAGCAATTAGGAGTGAACGCGTGGTCTGAAACCTTGATGAAAGTAAGCAGGTTGGGGCTTAGCAGGGAAGCAAGTCAATGTGTAGCCCTTTATTGTTACTGAAAAAAGTCTCTCACCTTCACTTAACCTTTAACTCTAAAGACAGAAGATACCTGTGCTGTTTCTGTCTGTGTTCTTTTACTGCTAGAGGTGCAACAGGCATTTGGAAAGATGCAAAGTAGCCATTGTTAGGGAAATAAAGAAAGAGATTTTCACTTTTTTTTATTTTTTTATTTTTTTGGCATTTCCTGAGTGAGTGCTAGCAGACAAGTGCTCCTCACCTTCCTCGAGGGTTGTCACGGTCACTGTAGCAGACAGTGTCTCTGTCCCTGTTGTGTCTGGGCTGGGTGCAGAGGAGGAAGCTGCAGAGATGGGCAGGGGTGAGGGAATATGTTACTAGACGGAATCACGACCAGGTAAAATAAAAAACATTTCAGGGCTCAGTGAAATCATTAGTACTTTGGGCTTTGTGGAAAGGGAAGTTAGTTAACCAGATTTTAACTTTTGGTAATTGGTTCAGAAGAACATCTTCTAATTAGTAATAATAAATTGATGTAGTAGTAATTAAAAGTGAATTTGGGAGACTGATGAAACTGGTATACCTCTTGTCATGGTATGAGCACACCTGATTGCCATTCCACCTATTCACTAACTTCAGAACCTGGAAATATTAGGTCAAACTATTGAAAGAATTGAAGATGAAGAAAATATCCAGATAAGAGTGCCTCAGATGATCCAATTGTACAGATCTCATCATACAGTCTTGATAATTATATTGTAGGTAGACTTAATCATGTACTTGTTTCCTTTCCAAACACATTTTCCTGTGAAAATGAAGATGGTGTTGGCCATTGGCTCCTCCAAGGCTACTTACATACAGGGTTAGATAATGAAATATTTTTACTGAATTCCAAGTGTTCCTCCTGTATGCTTCTCAAATTGCATATTACCCCAAATTTTTGCAGGTGCCATTTACAGCTTGAGTTTTTCCCTTGCCTTTGCCAGTACAAGTCGGCAGTTCTGTGGTAGAGGTTACGGTGCTGTCTGTGGTAATTGTTGGTGATGAACTTGTAGTTTGGGGATTCTCTAAGGATGTTGGAAGATAGAGGAAATAAATTATTAGGGAACTATGATAATGGTCATGAGAACTGAGACACTGGTAAAACAACTTAAATGTCAGGTTTCATGTAGCAGTGGGCTAATGCACTAGACCTGGTAGTGTGATTGCTGTCAATTAGTGACAGTTCTAAATGAACTTCTGAGATATATGTGAGTGGTACCGTTAAGGCAGATGTAGATGCTTAGAATATGCAGCAATAGATCAGTGCTACTACAATGTGGTTTTGCTGATAAAGGTCTTGAGGAGAAATTATTTAGGGAACCAGCCTTTCACTTTTGGGCAAATGGTTGAGAACTGCATTTTAGTGCCCACTTCTTTGTGCACCACAAAGTTCATTAATGATTAACTCAACACTTAAAAAAAAAAAAAAAAAATCATGAGAAACATGGGTGGCACCTATATTTTAAGATTTCCTATTTCCATTATTCCATTATTTCAGGCACACGGTGGTGAAAAAACAAGAGTCACAAGCTTATACCTGGAGTGTAAAGACTTGTTTTATGTTTTCCTAATTGTTAGCAGTGTACTGGGTCTGGCTGGAATGTTAACTTTCCCTGCAGATGAAAGGCAAATACAATTCCTAAGGGCAATCCAAACAACAGAAATAATTTTGGGATAGATGAATAACTAGTAATGAGGAAAAATTAGGAACATGCACCGTTCTAGGATACTGTCTGCCAAGGAACGCTAATCATATGATTTTTCAAGTTAAAAATTAGTCTCTGAGCATTTAAGGATACTGTGAAGTGCTAATGGATTTATGTCTCAAAAACGCTGCCTTACCCGGTGGTGCAGTCGTGGGGGATACTGCATCTGTGAACACAGAACAAAGCAAAAAATTGATATTTACTGTGGAGTTATTTTTATTGCTTCAAAATAGGTTGCTTCTACCTATGCGATTGTTGATTTCAGCTATGTTTATGACAAAAAAATTAAAACACTTTTTCAATTTAGACATGTCTTGGTTCACATCTTCTGGAAGTACTTCTACCTCCAGTTAACTGTTTGCCTGCCTTATTTTGGGAAGAGCCTACAATAAGATGCTGACTAAAGTGTCTTGGACTATTTTCTTTTCAGCATATTCATACTCAGTGCTTGTTGCTGCTGGTCTTGGTATTTTGTACAGAACATCCTTGTGTTCCTTGATCACTTGGTTCAGCCTAAGTACAAGGAGCCTCTGCTTGCACACAGTTCAGCTCCAGTCTGATTTCTGAATGTTCCTCATTTTTACAGTTGACAGAAAAATCCAAAGAAAGTTTTCTAAGTACAGATTTATATATTTTTTTACCTGAACAGATGACACTGACATCTTCATTGTGTCCGCAGTCATTTTTGTTCCAGCCAGCGTGCGGACAGTCCCAAAGGTAAGATTCAGTTCCTGTACACCGCACATCATCCAGGAGGATGTTTCCTTTGCCAGGGCCAAAGTAAGACCATCCATAGACAGAATCAGCACGGCCACAACCAAGTTGTCTGCATACAACATTGGCACTGTTCATATTGAAGTAATCATCACAGACTGTCCCCCATTCGCCTTTGTGGTAAACTTCAACCCTTCCGGCACATCTGTCCCCACCAGATGCCAGTCGCAATTGCGGCGGATCTTCTAAAATGAAAGCAAACATTGGCAGGCAAACATCTCAATCTGTTTATTACAGAAAATGTAAACTTCTCACATCTGAGGCTGCATCCGCCTCTCTGCAGGGATGGGCTGTGCAGTGTTTCTGTGTCCCCAGTTCCTGGGGCTCACTGGGGAACACCTGCAGTGCACAAAAAGCATGGGGCATGGAGCCAGGATCAGTGCTGTTAATTCTGCCCAGTTCACTCAGCTCTGCTTCATGCAGGAGCTGTCATGTTAGGGTATTGCTGACTGGGTGTGTTCACACTCTGGAGTATGTCTCACTCTCTTACCTTTAGGTCCAAATGTGTTTCTCATCCATTCTAAGAATCTTTTCCATGCTGAGTTTGGATCTCCACCTCCTGTGGGCTGCCACCAGAAACCACTTGCTGTATCAGATAAGAAAGCACATTATTAGCACTGACATAGTTCTAGATATGTTTTATGGTTTTCTGTCTTGACGCAGAGATGGACAGTTAGTACTCTTATGTGGGGTGTTTTCAAAGCAAGAATAATCCTGCGGTTCCTCCCTGTGCCTGGAAGGACATGTCCATTCTCTCGTAGTTCAGTGGAAGATGATCATAGAGAACCTTATTTCATGGCAGCACAAGAGCAAAGTAATCCAACCCCACAAGTCCTCATGTACCTCCTGTGAAGACACAGGCGACTGGGAGCTGAGCTTTGCCAGATTTTACTGGGGCAGTAGAAAAGGTTACTCATCTTTGCCATGTTTTTGCCATAATAGCAGGTGAGATTGTGGAGCATTTGTACAGACTGTGACAGTTGCTTTGGCTGACAGCCCAGCGAGTTAGCTTAAAGTGCTCTCTTTGCAAATACCTGCTCAGGTGTGGTCAGAGAGCCCAGGCTTCATCTAACTCAGCACTGAAGAATACACTACACACTGCTCAAAGCATTTCAAAATGTAGGTTTGACTAAACCAAAGTGTGGCATTAAATATTTGTAGGGCAGCTCTTCCATTTACAGTCTGCGTATTTCTGGCTAGTTCTGTCAGGTGTAGTGAATAACAGGTATCCATATACTCATAGGCAGTCCTTTGCTTCCTCTTGTACAGTGAAAGTGCAAAGAGTAAGTGGTAGTCTTCCACTCTTCTTTCCCACAAAGAAGCAGGAAAACTCTCGTAGGTCCCATGCCAAGGAAGAAAAACCCAAGCCCCAGCATTTTAGTGTTTCTCCAGATTTCAATGTGATCATGCAGAGATGTACACCAAGAACATGACAGAATAGGAACAGTCTTCTTTAAACCCATTAAGAGATGTTCACAGGCCAAAATTGTCCTCCAAAAGAGGATACAAACATTTGGGCTGATCATGTGGTTTTGGTAATCTGTAGATTCAGTCACATAAATACCTTTGAAAATCTGGCCCTACGTATATTCAATTAAAGAAAAAATTATTTAGGCTGCCAGAAGTCAAAGCAATGTTTTCAAATGGCAGCTGTTAAATATCCTTGTTCTTTTGGAATTAGCAAGCTCTGAAGAGCTGTACCTGATTCAATCACTAAAATCAGGAGAAATTTCATTTGGGGCCTTTATTATTATTTTTTTTTTCCTAACTGCATTTGGTTTTCAGCCACTTGCTTTCACAGACTCTTACTCTTGTGAATAGATCAGTGATCCTAAAGTTTTGGGTTTGCAAGACAGGACCCTAAGTGACTTTTCCAGTCAAGTTAATCCAGCCTACATCGGGTCAAATTGAAGACAAAAGTGAATTTACTGAAGAGACATTAAAGGTTTGCTGAAGTGTTGGGATTTGACCACCTTCTGGAAATGCGGCTTAGTCCTCTTTGATGCTGAGCTCACCTCTGGGCTGCCTTTTCTCTTGTCTATAAATAATTCAATATAGCCAACCCCAAATCTACATTCTATGAAATTCTCTCTTATGATTGATAAGCCTTTATTCATGGTGCCCAAGCCGATTATTAAAGATCAAAGTATCTCATTCAAACTAGCAAGACTACAAGGAAGGTTTGGGGTTATTTTTGTTTGAAGTTTGAAGGACAATAGCACTGCGTCAATCCCAAGTCTCAGCAGAGACTTGCAATTGTAACATGTATTTCCACCTGCGTCTGACAGGCTGCTCTTTGTTTTATTTTATTTTGCTCTCTTGGTCTACATTCTTAAATGTATAGTGTAGAAGAATTTTAGTTCAAAACTAAAATATTTGAAGAAGAATGTTTGGAAAACAACTTCCCCTTGCAATTCCCCTCACAGAAGAGAAACAAAGAAAATACTCTTTAACATACCCCATTTTAAAATCTAACCTATGAATTTGATCTGAATGTTAGAATTAGAAGACAAATTAAATCAACAATTACATGATATAAAGCTTGTCAGCAATTTCTAAGGGAACCCAGCCACCACTTCCCAACAAGTCAGTCTGTATGAGTACTGAATTTTGTCTTTAACATTTCCCTGCAAGCACAAAAAAACATACTCACTGTACCTGGTTCACATAGGAGAGAAGCACTTAACAGAAGCATCCAAGTGAGACTCACTTGAAGGTCCATTTTCTTTGTGGTTGTCTGTTCTAAACCAGGGAAGATTCAGAATTTATACTAAAGGGGTTCTGGTCTAGACCAAAGGTGTGTGCTGTGTAATTTGATCTCCCTGAAATTCCAGATCCATGCCAAGGAAGTGATTTACCAAGTATTTTCATTTCACAGGGTATATCCAGACATCCGGATAAGCAGATCCAGATCACACCGCTGTTCCGGACTGGCTACTGAAATCTTCCCACTCTACTGACACCTTTGCAGCCATGTATTGATGTGTTTTTTTCCAGGAAGCAATGATTTATTTTTGGAGATTAGGCTGTTTGGTAAGGAAAATTTACCTTTTTTTTTTTTTTTTTTGTATCATCAGTTAATTTAGTTTCCAACATACAACTATGCTAAAACAGATTAAATTGATGTGATAATTGTGTCAAAAGATCAGTATCCTAAAAAAGAAAGCCTCAACCAAATGATCTGTGTTTTGTAAGTATTATCCCTCTAAAAAGGAGTTTCTACACTTTTCCATATCTCTTTGTGTCCTCTTTAACCTAGGTTTAGATCCCAACAGTATGCTCTGGAACTGCAGTCAGTTCTTTCTCACTTGCAGCCTACAGAGCAATGAATCAGCTGTAAGAGATATCAACCAAGGCATGGTTGAGAGGGACAAACTGTTTTGGGGGTACAGCAGCAGGGCAATTGCTGAAATACAGCAACCAAGGAGAGCAGGATAGGGACAGAAGGTGTTAAACTAAGCTAAAGCTGTGAAAGTCAAAGAATCTGTATTTAAAGAGAGGCATGACCAGCTGCCATGCCCTGCTGTGGGGAAGACCAGTAGACTCCACTGACAATTTACTCCCAAATTAGTCTGAGATTTTCCCCTTCAAAGGACAAGGAAACATGCTGTCTGACAGCTCTCTGTGTTACATCCCTCATAAGCTGACTGCACAGAGCCAAAGGAAGTGCAGCCTTTGTGTGCTAGGACTTATGAGACATGGTTTTGGGTCTGTGAGACGCTACACGAAAGAATCGAGGCACAAAATAATTTTCAGGTAAAGGGGAGAAACTACTAGTAGGTTTTTATTCTACTAGTAAGAGATATGAGACCATGGGATAAGAGGCAGAAGATATTCTAGTGCTAGTAGAAATACAAATTAGTAGAGGAGTAAGTGAAAACATTAAAAAAATAAAAATAAAAATAAATCATTGTGAATAGGAAATTTACACCAGGACTTGCTGAAGATAATAGTTTGCCATTTGGTTTCATGCTAACTTTTCAGATTAGGAGGCTTGCATGGAAAAAGGGTTCCCACCTAGAAAGGCCATGCTACACAACTGGAAAAGATTTGCCTCTAGCAAAACCATGAATCCAGCAGGATCCCTCCAGCAACACAGTTTTCTCCCTGGCACGAGGTGGCGGGGTCAATACCCTGTGGCTGCTGATATCCCAAAGGATGCCTTCAGCTCTGTCTTACTCAGTACTGGCAAGGAGAAGGTGGGCCTCAGCTAGAGAGAGGGAAAAAGCAAAGCTAGAGGTTATTAGATGATTTGAAAATGAACATCAATTGATTCCTTTGTTCTGTGAATGCTTTTCTTATTTTCTCAGCACACTGTGATGCATTGTATCTATCTAGATGTCCATGTTCTTACTTTCCCACTACCTTCTTGAGCAAAACCAGTCATGTCAAGTATTTAAAATCCCATTTCCGCGTGTGTGGATTATTTTAATTCTGCTGCCATTTCCTGAAGAGACTAAGTGGGTTTATGGTAGATCCTTATCAATATTTCTATCCAAATAACTGTACGCTGTACCTGAACAGTACAGTATATACCAGTTTTCTTTCCTAACAGCAATTAAACTATTTTATACAGACATTTCTCAGTTCTGAATGAAAAAGAAATTTCAGAAACAGTCCAAAACTCCAACTGAAATCTCATGAAGTTTTTATTCCCAAAACAAATTCTTTATCTCAATTCTTTATGAGAGATTTTACTCAAGTCTGGATGAAAAGATTTGGATTTGAACATTATCATATAGAAGACACAGAAGTCTAATACACACATGCTGTTTCAGAGCTCTTCATATTCATCCTACAATGAACAAATTCAGAGTTTGGCTGATGCTGGACTTTCAGTAATCTTCTCCCTAGGAAATGTAGAGTCCTGTAGAAACAGCTAATGCTTCATTCTGGTGACTCAGGCCAGACAGTGTGGAGCCTAGTTAAGAGGACGGGAAGATACGGGGAACGCAGACTATTAGCTGTCTAGCCTGTGTTAGATGCATGACTGAATTAAAGTATCTCAGCTATGAAGAAGCATCAAGATTTGCTTTTTCAGCATTCCTTATGAAGGAATGCTGAAAGAAAGGTCACAAAGAAGCCACTGGTCCCAGCAGACGTGCCTGGGGCTGAGGACTCCACATCCCTGCTCTTGCTCAGAGAAGCTGGATCTTACTGCAGGCTATTTTATGTATGTAAGAAGTAATGGAGGTAGGTACAAACGCTAGCGAGGGCAGCAGGTTTGTACAGCTAATCCATAGTTACAGGTGACAAGGAACAAGCAGCCTCCACATTAAACACTGCAGCCCTTGTCACTGACATTGAAGGTGCCATTTTAAGGAAGTGGCGAGCCTTCAGTCCAAAGCTAAGCAAGCAAACTAATCCCGTGTGGCAGGAAGCAGCAGTGATGACAGTGGGGGCTGACCTTTGTGGTCTTGTCATAGCAGTGCTGTTTCTGAGAAAATCTTCTTAAAGAAATCTCTCAAAATTCACTCTGAAAACAAAGAGTATTTGTTTTCTGTGATATAGTGAAATAGCTTTGTGCTGGAAGGTGGGCGTTAAGCTTTCCTCACAGTGCTGGAGCTTTGCTGCCCTGGCGAAACTACCCCTCCCTGTTCAAAGCTTTTTTTCAGCCTTGTCAAACTACATTCGATTTTCATGGAATACTGTAGTGGATCTGGTGGACATAGTTTGAGGGGCTAAAAGCAATCAGAAAATGTAAAGCTGTTCTGGAGGCTATTACCACTGGAGGGCAGTGAGGCACTGTCCTTCAGGAGTGAGCAAGTTACTGGATAAGATAGATGGTGTAACGCACAGTTCTTTTGTAGGGTCCATAAAGAGGTCTCAATTTTAGCAAATACCTTAAAAAGTAAGCAGACAGCAAAACAGATTGTGCATGAGACAGCTACAAAGAGCAGGACACTTGTTCCCATTCCTCAGCTGTCTTCTACCAATGTCAGAGGATATTTCTTGGCCAAATGGTGCTCAGGAGAACTGGCCTATTTAGGTGGAGGCCTCAGGACCCTCTTCCCTTGCAGCTCTTTACACACTATCACTTATCGAGGCTGTAAACCATGACATTTGATAGCTCTCATAACTAAAGTTTGCAAGGAATTTCTCTGAAATATCTTCGAAGGAATAAACTAGCACCAATTGAATTTCTCCTAGACATGTATTTCTTGTACAAATACTTATTTGTATTTCTTCTTCCCTGATAAAGAAAACACCTGTGTGTGAAGCCAAAAGATGGTGCACGGGTCTACTTTTGTTTTGGGTCATATTAATAACTTTTTCAGTCAATTGTCCACTGTAGATTACTCACTAATGAAGTGTGCAACTGGAAGAATTTACTGAAATGCCCCACAAGATTACCACTTGAAAGCTGCCGTAATACTTGCCATATACTCATCCTTGACTTCAGTCAGCCTGGGGATTTGGCTGATGTAAGCCCGTGGCCCAGTGTTGCTTCAGGCTGCATTTGAGGAAGACAGCATATTACAGATAAGTGTGCAGAGCTTGTTTATGGTTCACTGCACATTGCTCCGAGGAGAGACGTAATGAAAGATTCCTGCTAACTGTAAATATACTTACTATGCTTTTGAGAACATTTCTTATGCAACAAATCTTGTTTTTCTGCTGAAACCATCACATTCCCAACAGGCTGTTTCATTGGTTTTACCTTCTGTTTCTAAAAGCAAAGAATTATGAACTTCCAAATAACTTTTGAGACCTTCAAGACACACATGTAAATAAAAATTCCTTATTTTTCTGCATTGAGAAAAACCTTGAAATTAACATGAGTGAAATAGTGTGTTCACAACAAGCATGCCCAAGACAATAGCAAGGGACACAGCAAGAGGGGATGATGATGACAGTGACAAGGATGATGATGAGGATGACGATGATGATGGTGATGATAAGGAGGCACAGGCTTGTCTAGAAGACACAGGGCCCCAGTACAGCCTGGACTGAGGAGCAGTGGGCAGAAGCTTTACATGTCAGGAGCTTTTCAAGCTCTCTACAGGCGTCGTGGCTTGGAAAATCTGCACAGTCTCCTTGTTTGGGTCAACGCCTCTCCCCAGAAGCTTCTGAAACATGGGATGTTCCTTCCATGAGGAGAAAAGTTTGTTGGCTGGTTTGGTTTTCCAAAGCAGTCCCTGATGCCATGATAGGGCCTGCTCTGTACAATGAGAGGTTGTACACTCCTCAGAAGGAGTAATCACTCATCATATCATGCTGGTTTACTCCTATTGTAATGGTTTTTACTGTCTTTCAGTTGCATGTTTAACTGAAAATGTTTTTTGCACCTTTTATCCCATTAGGAAGCAGTTCCATGTTCTGATCACGTTGAGAATAAAGAACCTTCTCTGAACTTTGACCCTAAATGTGCACGTTATGTATGGCTATCCACTCTCAAATTGACATTGTCCTCTGTCCTAAGCAGTGTCTCTCACATCTCAGGATTTACAGATTTTACTCATTTCTGATATGTGAAGTTTTCCTGGAATCCTGATGGCACTGAAAGGATTTATGACCCTATAAATGCAAGGGAGGAAAGATGCAGTAGGAAGAGTAACTAAGCAAGGGAACCAGACACTGTCTTTTTTCTGATTTCTCAGCCTCAGTCCCTGCATCTGCTTCCCTCAGAGGTAGCAGAAATTACCTGATAACAGCAGTCCTTACTCCTGTGTACACACCTATCTAGTGGATAGGTGTGTGACAAGGGATGATGAACAGGTGTTGTGCAGCTTTCTGTTATGATTTACATCTGGAAATGCAATAAGTTTCAAGAAATGCAAAGAAATTTCAAGACCCTGAGTACGTGTCGGCTTGCTTGCTCCTAATGAGGCCCATGATATCACATTTTCACTGCTGCTGTTACCCATTCTGTCTGTATGAAGCTACCATATGGTAGCGTGTGGTATCCTAACATCTGTTGCTTAGCTATCCAGACATATTCTCAATTATAATTAAAATGTATATTCTTTCAATTCTTTCTTTTTTCATGTTTCCTCTCTGCCAGCCTTTCTACCAAAATCAACTTCAGCAGGTTCTGAATTACATTTTGCAGAATGTAATAGAAGAATGTATAGAGAAAAAGGCAAAGGCAAGCTGAAAAAGATCACATCCCTGACAATATAACCTTTAATGGGGTTTCCCACATTTATAGTGAATATCTTGGTAAACCAAAGTGGAAACTTTACACATGAAGTCATCTTCTGTGGACAAAACTGAGTACTGAGTGCTGGTACAGCTTCTGATTCTTGTAGACATACTGTCTTGGAATAAAGATGTCACCACCTAGTCCCTGTAAGCCCCAGTCCACCCCCGTGAGTCCTGTGAGGGAAAATCTTTGTCAGAAATGAAGGCTCTGCCAATGTAAATGGGTATCAATTATTTTGGCTCTGCATACAGTACTACAGTTCATTTCATCCTGTTACCCAGATAATTTAATTGGCTAACGCTCCATGTCAACATAGGTTGCTTACCTTGGCGTGTGCTGTGTTCTTGCAGCTTTTCCTGCTTTTGATGTTTACATGGACAATGGTATAATCTTAATTAAGACATTTTCTCAGCTTCTTTCTCCATTTCAAAGCATATCCCTTTGATTTCAGCAGGTGCCATAGGTAGAGATCACATAGCGTATCACCAGTGCCTTTTGAATAGTTCTTGCTACAAAAATAGAAGTGATCTTCTGGTGTAATGGGAGTGCCAGGGGTGAGGTGTGACTGGGACTGCCTTTAAGCTTCTTTTACTTAGGTTTTGATAGTGTGTAAAATCATTGTAACAAGGTACATGGATAGGTGACGGTCCAGCCAAATCCTAAATAAGTCAAAAACTGTTTTACTCTAGAAATAAGATCAATTGATGAAAGATACATTTATTTTGAGGGTTTTATTTCCTGAGAGTTTGGAGGGATCTGAATGATTTCTGACGATTTAATTCATAGACACCTCTAAGTATGAATAATCAATACACCACTGATTAAAAAGCTGAACAGAGACAATGCAAAATCCAGCACATAAATGGTCAAACCGCAGCCCAATCAATTCCCAAATTAAAGTCATCAAAGTTCAAATCATTGAATAATTGAGGAAAAATTTGCATCTGCTTCTCTGCAGGAAGCACTGGAGTTGTGCCTGCATAAAACTCCAGGATTTTTTATCCACGTTTTTATGCCACATTAGAGCTCTGGTAAAGGATCACAACATGGCCCTCAGATGGCTCCTGCCCCAGTGACACCCAAGGGACCCAAGAGAACAGGTTTTGCATTTTGATTTTCCTCAGGAAATTCATGTGACATTCCTCTGGGTCTTGATTCATAAGATAGCTGTTATTAAACATACCAGGTACAGGCACAAAGCAGCATCAAATTTTGATACATATTTACTGGATATAATAATGATAAATAGAACTGATGTTGCCCTACCTTTTCTTTATTAGCTACTAATGACAGATAATGAAATGAACTGTTAACAAAAGAGCAAAAATGAATTACTAGAAAAATAAATAATAAGAATTAATCAGTCTAACTACATCAATTAATTAGCAAAACTTTCCTGCATGAGTCATCAGTGGCTGGGAAGTAAAAGGAAAAACTGGACGTAAAAGAAAAGCGTAGGTTGCTTTTGTTTGTACACTGATTGTTTTTTTCTTTTTTAATTTGACAATGCAGTCATTCACATGTAAAGCTATCCAAACAAAGTTGCAGTTGGTGTAGCACCTATTAAGTGACCAACAAAGAGTGTTTCAGTGGGACATGTTGGAGTGACACTGTCTCCCGCCCCATTTGCCAAAGAAAACCACATTGGTTGGGGGTTGGTTGTGAGAGGCTGGCAAGGGGTGACTCTGCTTTCCACAGGCGTGATGTGGAAAAGCAGGTGTCCTGTTTAACTGTGACATTTGGACAACGAATGCAGTCAGAGTCTTGGTATGGAAAAAAAGGATGAGTAATAATCAATATTGTGCAATGAAAGCATTTATTACTAACTGATTATATCTTATAGTCACATCATTTAATACGTTCACCTTAGGTATGTAAAGAAAATACATCTGACTATCTTCAGTCCATGTATTAGAGTGATCTGTGTTGATTCTCTGTCGCTGGAAATGTTTCTACTAGATCAGGTTGTAATCAGGCTTTGTGTTTATTTGAATGTCTGACTGTTTGCAAGCATGAAAAGAGAATTAGAGCACAAGAACAATGCATTTCCAACAGAATGGGGTGAGATTACTGGAGGAAAGATTTATTGTTAGATGGATTATACAAATATATCGTTTTCTAAAGAGTGTTTGGCATGAGTAAACAGCACCATCAGCTAAAGTGAAAAGTATGTAAGGGTAGCAGTGTTCAAACTTCACATCTCCAGAGGATCCTCAGTCTCAACCCAGAACTGTTCTGGTTCTGTGGCTGAGGCCAGCAGCCTGCGATGGATGGCAATGGAGCCATTTTTATCTCTTCAGATACAGGAATCAGAGGCATGGAGTGGTGGGAGAACACCACAAGCACTACTTCTCTGTCCTCTCCAAGAGAGGGGACTGTTGTGGACATAGGTGTGCCAAGTAGATCTCTACAATGGAGGAAGGTCGTCATCCTTTTCTGACTCCAGACTGAACAAGTCTCCTGTGTCAAATCTCCTGTGTCAAACCTCTTTTGAGACAAACTTTGTTTGTCTCAAAGTTTTCTTACTGGGTACACCAAATCGTAGTGGACTTTATAGAGCAGAAGGAGTAGAAACAGCTTATATTCTGCTATGTGAACTAAAGGCTGAAAACAGAAGTCACAAGAGTCAGCTTTGGGAGTGTCAGGCAGGTAGCGGATGCAATCACTGAGACTTTGAGTTTGCAACAGATAAAAGTGATTGGAAAGAAGCTTTCCTCATTACTCCACATTGAGAAATCCCGTTCTCATGGAGACTTCACAGATCTGTAAGGTGAAAGTGCCTGCTGAGATTTCTTTAGATGCCTCAGAAATTTACAAGCGTTAAAGGCAATGCAAATCTTTATCCATTCTGCTTATGCTGCAGGCCCTGTAAGAATGAGCAAAGAGAAAAATGATCAAATGATCTGGCAAATAGCTATGAGATTCATATTTGTTTAGGTCTCTATTAGTCCACAAAAGTGAAGAAAGAAATGATTTTTCAACATGGGCTCAACTGCTAATGATTTTTCAACTATACTTCAAGATGTATCTTATGGGAAATTCTTGAAATGAATAAAACAAAGCAGAAAGTACCTGAGCAGACAACGCTGGCATCTTCATTGTGGCCACAGTTATGTATTGACCAACCATTGTGGGAGCATTCCCATAGGTAAAATTCATTGCCTCTGCACTGTACATCATCCAGGAAAATAACTCCAGAGCCTTCCCCAAACTGGGCAGCTCCTGGTGCCGACATGGGCTCGCCACACCCAAGCTGTCTGCAAACGACCTGAGCATCATTGATATCCCAGAAATCATCGCAGACTGTTCCCCATTGTCCTTTGTAAAAAATTTCGACACGCCCCTCACATTGATTATCACCATTCTCCAGCCGCAGAGACATTTCTAGCAAAGACAGAGCAGAAGCAAATTACACACAGCCCTAATTCTAACCTCACACTTGTGCCAGGTGTGGGATTGTGTTACAAAATGACTAGAGAAAAAGCTATTGTGCCTTTTGGAGCAGGAAAACCTCCCTCTGATGCTCTCACCATACTCACCACACTTGCACCATAATTAAACAAGGAGATACAGAGACCAGATTTTTGTAAAAATGGTGTTAGTGGCCATTTGCTCTGTAGAAGGTCAGTGAATCTTTGGAGCACCAGAATGAATTAAGGAAGCCTGAATTCCCTGAGAACAACTCCTAGAGAAGCTAAGCAGGCACATGTGACTGACACTTTGCTCTTCTGCCATGATGAATTTCTTAAAGTGTGCCCAAGATTTTCCCTCCTTGCATTGTGGTTTGTTGAGTGGTGAGGTAGGCTAGGGGAGTCTGATTTCCAATCAGTAACAAGTTATACATTACACATCTTATACTGTTTTAAGGTGTTTTCCCAACATTTGAGCCATACATAATCATCTACAACTTCTGAAAAACTAAAGTATGGAATTTGTCCTTCCTCCTCAAATAAATGTTATTTTTTCCCCAAGACTTTCCATCAAACAAAAGCAAAATGCGTTAACAGTAAATACCCAGTTTTTAGAATGATCAGTTAAAGAAATGATAAGACTTACCAGGAGTTCTGTCTCCCCTAGAAGCTGTGGATTAGGAATAAATATGAAAATTTTAAGGTTAGTATCTTCAGTTGTATTTCAGCAGAACAAAGATGAAACAAACTTTGCAACATTTGGTGAGAGTCTCTCTCTTATATTACTTAATTTGTTCTAAAACTAATTTATCTTTTTATAACCTATTATAATCAAGGCAAACACTTCAATTTGCATTGAAAAGTCAAAGCAAGAGTTAATCCTTTAGGAATGGCTTCTGAGAGGAAAAAAAACCAAACAGTTAAAAATTATGTTCTAGAGAGGCATCCTGGGAAGGGTTCAGTTTGAACATGCTCTGAAATCTGTGTATCTGTGCTGTACCTGCTGGCATCCAATCGCTTTAGAATACTTATGGGAGAGCCATGCCCATGAAGCCCAAAGTGTGATGTGCCTGCCAAGCCACCAAACACTTCCTCCTCTGGTACCCTGTGTGAGATATGCTGTGCCCCCTTTCTGCCCTCCCATCAATGTCTCCTGAGCATCCCAGACCAGCAGACATGCTGCCCTTCCTCTCACCAGTCCTCACCCCCTGTAACCACCTCTGAAGCATGCAGAGGAGAAAGGAGAGAGGCAGTCAGGCTCTCAATTTCTGCCCTCACTGTGCTTTTCGTTTGTCACACTCCTATAGCTCTACTGGCTTTGTTGCTATAGCCCTTGCCTGAGGCCGATGATGAGATTTGCAATTTACGCAATTCACAGTTTTAATTTCATAAATAAAAACATCCCAAACGTACCTGAGCAACGCACACCAGCATCTTCTCTGTGCCCGCAGTTATGTGTTGACCATCCTCTATGAGAGCATTCCCACAGGTAAGATTCACTTCCAAGGCACTGCACATCATCCAGGAGAATGTCCCCTAGTCCTGGAGAGAAGTGGGCATTTCCCAGTGCAGAAAGAGCTTCTCCACATCCTAGCTGCCTGCACACGACCTGTGCATCATTTATGTCCCAGAAGTCATCACAGACCGTCCCCCAGCTTCCTTTGTAGTAGACTTCCACACGACCTTCACACCTGTCTCTACCATTTATCAGCCTCAAGGACACTTCTGTGAAAGAGAAGAGAGAGGAGATAAGAGTGCAGGCTGCCAAGGTGATAAATTATAATCCCGGAGTAGTTCTGGAGCTGGTTCAGTATGTTACGCTGGCTACTGGATTCTCTCCTGGCCTTTCATCTCCAGGGAAGGTGAGGAAAATGCTGGTTATTTCCAGCAGGCCCAGTGTCATCGTGTGGCAGTTCACAGACACCTGCAGCTTCCTGGCTCATGCTTTGAGTCAAGGCTTGGCAAGTGTTCACAGCTGCCTAAATAAGATTTTCCTTCTCATTTTAATAGAGGCTGTGAAATTAATATTAATGAAATAAATGACCTATGTTAGCTAAGCACTAGTGGGTATTTCTTTATCAATATATCCACAGCAAAGCATTGTACTCAGTAGAAGGAAAATCAAGGTTTTAATCATAGACATGGGGTGACCGAGAAGCAAGGTTCATCAAGCCAAAGCAACACGGTGGGACTAAGGCTTTATAATAACTAAATTATCTCTTCTCCCTGAATTTTAATATCACTTAAGGGTTTCTGAGTTTTATTAGAACATGGAAAAAGTTTATCTTTTAAGAGTGTGATGTAGGTCCATCCAACAGATGGAATTATTGAAATACTGATTTATCTAATAGCTTTTATTTTAAAGGACCTTAGACTTAAAGCAACCTAGTCCAGTGAATCCAGTGAAACTCAGAATGTCCCATCATTTCGGTACTCTACAACAAACAGCTATACATTTCAGCTTCAGTTATGAATTCTCTTTAAAGATTAAAAACCCATGGTTATGTTCATAAAAACTGTGTAGATCAGTATTGCTACTTTCATTATGGTCAAAATACACTACATTTTAAGAAGCTATTTTCATGTATAAACTACTGAATAAACTAAATGAGATTTACGTTTTTAATAATTAACAAGAAGTTGCTTTTGCTATAGAAAATTCCAAATAGAAATGATTGAATATGAAATTTAAATTACCAGGTATTTCAGTTCCTGTAGAAGCTGTGAGAGAAGAAAATAGAGAAAAAGAACATTTTAGCCATCAGTGTTTATAAAATTAACTAAATTTGTAGAACATAATACTTTTTTACGAAGTCTACTTTTATTTCAGAAAGCATTCAACATCTAGTTAATTCAGCTGTTTGCAATTCGTGTGTTCGAAGATGATAAAAATGATAAGACATGAGATTATAAACTGACTTTCCTTACTAACAACTTGAAAATCAGTGGAGAACAGGATAAGACTTCGAAACTTTTGTTACTATTTGACAGATGTAGAAAAATTTGTCAGGGTTACAACTGGCTGAGTACCCAAGACCACCAGAAGTCTAAGTACATCCTTCCTCAGAGGGATCTGACAGAGCCCTGGTTCCTTCTCCTCCTTGCTTCCTGCCCCCCAGACTGCAGAAGAGTCACAGCTCTAAACCTCTGGATTTGGTCCTTAGTATCAAACTCAAATAAATAGTCTGCAGACATTCAGTAGAAGCTTTGTCAAGGAAAGGCATGTGGGATTAGGACCTGAGCTCATGAGAAGTCTCCTGTGTGAAAGTCTGTTAGTGCTGTAAGGGCAGAATGTGCCTTGGGATTGGGTTTTGGTGCTACTCTCTAGTCTGGTAGCAAGCAAATAGGATTGGTTAATGCAGATTATTAAAATAATATGATTGTTGTACAAAAATACTAGATGTACTCTGAGTGACACTGATTAAAATACTCTAAAAGTTTTCACAGCTTATCTGTGCAGAAGTTTGCAATAACTGATTTAGATCAAATTAGGAAAGAGGGAAATTCTCTGTGTAGGAAAGAGCCTTAGTACTTGCAACAGAACCAAAATTCTTCTGAGAAAAGGGTTTTCTAGTTCAGGGGAGCAATTTTCAATTTGACAAAATTTAAACTTAAAACCAAAGCTTAGTTTTAAAGTTTAAAAGTTAAATAAACTTAAAAGCAAAATTTAAATTAAATTTGAATTAAATTAGAGTACTTCTTATTGTGACTCTTTTTGATAAAGCAAATATATCACTGTGTACCTGAGCAAATGACACTGGCATCGTGCCGGCTGTCACACTCCTCTCTATACCACCCCCTGTGAGAACACTGCCACAGGTAGTTCTCATCCCCTCTGCACTGCACATCATCCATGACAATATATCTCGGGCCGTGAGTAAAGGCGACATTTCCTGAAGATGATACAGCATGTCCACAAGCCTGCTGGTAACAGACAACGTCTGCATCATTTATATCCCAGGAATCCTCACAAATGGTGCCCCAGGTTCCTCTGTAAAGTATTTCAACACGCCCTTCACACTGGTTCCATCCATTCACCAACCTCACTGACATTTCTTTGAAAGAAAAAAGAGAATTTCACTGAACCTGGGATATTATTATTATTATTTTTGCTAAGGAGGAATTAAGGTGGAACACGGCAGGTTAGAGGACAGACAGATTTCCATGCCATGATTATTTCACTAGTTAGCCATGCACACACATTTTCAACCTACCTAGAAACTCCTGCTTTTCAGAGTCCCTGGGGTAAAACCATGCTCCTTAAGCTACTACCTACCCTATCTGAAGACAGTGAATCCTGAATAGTTCAGTCTCTGCAACACAGGATCCACGGCGCTGATGTTCTGAATAAACTGTAGTTGGGAACTTTCACGTAACTCTGCACGTACAAAGCCATGCCTCGTTTATCCAAACCTAACATTTACATGGGTATAAGTTGGGGAAGATCTTGACTTTGTTCCATGTTTTACTCTAACAGAACAAAAATGCTGAGCATCTGTTTGGTACCTGGGCTACAGTGTTGTGTTATTTTAAAGGGAAGTCCCTTCCAACATGAAAAGAGCAACGTCCAGGCTTTTTGATTAACATCCATCGGCGTTTTTAGCTCTACAAATTCAGTTCTAAAACATCAAAACTTGTTGATATTAAAGGTAATGACACAAATTTAAGAAGCTTACCTGTCGTTTCAGATCCTGTGGAAGCTGCAGATGAGAAAAAAAAAAACACAGTTCATTTTTAGGTGGAATTTTCAGTCACCGCAGTAATAATTGAATCTATTGATGAAATATGAGAAATTGCACATTAAAAAAACAGTAATACACATAATAATGTTCCTTTTGTCAGTACTATTACACAGGCCAATAACAGAAGCTAGACCAGTTCTGAGATATATTAGCTTATGATTGTAAGGAAAATATGAATTATAAATTTATAAAGTTGTTAGTGATAAAAAAAAAATGTTATAAATGAGACGATGTAATCACTAGGGAAGAACTCCAAGGTAATCAAAATAAAAACAAGGGGTTTGATTTGATGTGTTTGGAGTACTACAGATGTTACTAGAAATGTTACTAGAAGGTAGAAATATTCTCAGAATTTGAAGAAGCAGTGATGGCCATTGTTTCTTTTTTTGATGGTTGCTTGCTGGCTTTCCGAAGACTTAGGCTAATGAGGAAGCTCAGGTAGCAGCAGAGAAAAGAGAAAAGCTAAAGGTCTAAGGTATTCTTTGAAGTACAGCAGTGAATCCTATGTCAAGGCCAGGGGTTTCTTGTAAGGTGTAAGTTCAGGGCACTAATTTCCTTGTAGACCTGTAACTGACATACATTTTGGTGCGGTATGGGTTGCGTTATTACAGTTAACCAGTAAAGGGTGAGGACGGGCTGTTCAGAGTTCAGCCGATCGATGTCCAGGCAGGCGGTTACTCTCAGTGACCGTGTGAGCCACTGTTTGTACCACCGCTAACACAATAACAACTTTGTGTTAAAATTTGCAAAGATAAGCTGTGCGGGGTGGCTCAGACACCAGGCTGGACCTGCCCTGTGTCTGCTCTGGCACTTCTCCCATGGGGTGGCTCCCTTTGCTGCGTGCCGGTTATCAGATAACCAGGCATCAAAGGAACCTCCACATCAGGGGGAGCAGGAAATAATACCAGGTGATACACAGAAGCAGTTAGCTAAATGGTTTTACTGCCCCTGGTAGCTCTGTTGGACCGTTAGCCTATTTTCACTGAAAGACCTAGCCTACACTAAAATACCTATGGGGCATACGTAGCAACTTTTCAACTTATTTAGCAGATTTTTTTAGTTCATCGATGTGGAAATCATTAACAAGCACCGCTGCATAATAAGAAAAAACAATTATTACACTGGACTGCTGCAGGAGGTGAAAAAATAGCTTCAAACATGCAGGCCCTGCCTGGTTTGCTTGGGGCAGGCAGCAGTGCAGCAGGATGCCCACCCCATGCAGCTCAGCCCTTTGGCTGGCCATAGCTGTGCACCAGGCAGGTGAGTGGAGGTTCTGGATGAGAGGAATAAATCAGCAGGTTTTTGAAATAGTGGGATGATTTTTTCTGCCTACATTCAGCTTGGGGTCTGCCCGGTGAGGTAAGGCTGCTAAACGCACCTGAGCAAACGGCGCTGGCATCTTCCACGTGCACGCAGTTGTGGACCAACCACCCTCTGCTGGGGCACTCCCAGAGGTAAGCCTCGTTCCCATTACACCGCACATCGTCCAGAAGGATCTCTCCTGAGCCTTGACTAAAATTGGCATTTCCAGGGGCAGAAAGAGCCCTGCCGCACCCCAGCTGGCTGCAGACGACCTCAGCATCCCTCAGGTCCCAGGAGTCATCGCAGACGGTGCCCCAGCTGCCCTGGTAATAGACCTCGACACGGCCCTCGCATCGGTTCCTCCCATTCACAAGCCTCAGGGACAAGTCTTTGGAAGGCCAAAAATGAGAGAGTTATCTGTGAGGGATGCTCCCACACCACCAGGCTTTAAGTGGGCTGTTGCAAATTTGAGGCAACAATAAGAACTTCTGATAAGTAAAGTTAGGACATTGACCAGAAATATTAACAATGTTTTTTTTTTTTGTTTGTTTTTTTTTGAGCTCAAACTTGTGAAATTTGACCTATACATTAAAAACTTAAAGAAATAAACTGAATACATTAAAAACTTAAAGATACAGCATATTCCTAACACAAAAGGTTGGGATTAATGTATGATATGATATGTATGATATACTTGCAAATACGCCTCTTCATAAACTCTGTACATATACTAAATGATTATGTTAGGCAATTATTTACTTTGTCAGTAAAATCAATTACCAGGAAAATTACCAGGAACTTCAGACATCAAAGAAGCTGGGAAAAAAAAAAAAAAAAAAAAAAAAAGAGTGAGAAAGATTAGTTTATAATAAATTGTACTAAACACAGTGAGCAGTAGTTTACCTACACGGCTAGGAAAAAAAAAAAAAAAAAAAAAGACAACACAAAACCAACCCTCAATACATTGGGATTTTGTCTTTATAAGCTAATTTATATTTTTAAATGTACAGTAGTATGTATTTTCACATACAATAATATCTCCAAGGAAAGACCTTTTTCTACATCACATATGGAAATTGCTAGTTATTTTCTCAATGATTCATAGGAATGACTAATTGAATTCATCCTTTAGGTGAGAAGCAATGGCAATGGCCAGATGGACAACCTTTGAATGGGGCTTGGAATAGGCTATACTCTATCAGAAAAGAAAACATAACCATTCTGCTTCTTATAGCTTATTATTAAAAGATTTTGAATGTGAAGGCTGATGCGTAGGTTACAGTACTCTCTTAAGAAGTATTTGTTGAATTGCAGAGGGGATATCCTGTACAGCTCGACAATGATTTTAGTAGTTCAGTTCCCTTTCACTGAGCACCAGGACCTCAGCCTGGCTCATATTTATAGCACATTACTGACCACGGATGTCAATAAATCTAGTTACCTCCGCAGATGACACCGGCATCTTCCTGGTGAAAGCAGTCATTGGCGAACCACCCGTCATGGGAGCACTGCCAGAGAAAAGCTTCATTCCCTTGGCACTGCACTTCGTCCAGGAGGATTTCTCCTGTGCCTTCACCAAAGAGGGCTTCTCCCACGGCCGCGGTGGCTCTGCCGCACCCGAGCTGACCGCACACCACGTCAGCATCTCTTCTGTCCCAGGAGTCGTCACAAATTGTTCCCCAGACTCCGTTGTATAACACTTCAACACGGCCCTGACATCTGTTCTGCCCATTCACCAGCCTCAGGGAGAATTCTGTGGGAGACAAAAGGAAACCAGACCAACCCTTAGAGTAGCTGCTGTGCTTCCAGGGATACCTGCAGTCTCAGTCTATCAGAGGAAATGCTTCACAACAGCTTCCCAAGGAGCACATCAGCAAGGGAAGCATGCTCTAGCCTCTTTGGCTCACCAGACTTGAGCTCCTACGGGTTCAGAACTGAATTTAAGACATCTTCCAAGGGTGATGCACCTGAGTGTCCCTATGGCAATTGCATTAAATTAACATTATACTGACACAATCCCATCTGGTGGGGACTCTGGCATGTCATATCGAGTTTCCTCTGACCACAATGAATTAAACAAGTAAGGCAGTGCTCAGAATAGCATAGCAGAAGGTCACTGGCCTCAGTATTTCACTTCTGAAGGAAAATTTGAAGGCACGTGGTCCCTTGGGGATTACTTTTGCACAAGGTGCATGCAGTCTGCATGCAGTCTGCAGCTGAAGAGCTGCATGAAGACCACCGAGTTACCTCTTGCCTCTGAATTGCTTTCAGATTATTACCTGCATTTGTTATTAATAGTGCCAAAGTGAACAGAAACCCTCTGATGGACGAGCACCTTACTATAAGGAACAGGTATGGTGTTTTCTTTTTGTATTTTTTTTCCTACAATACATTAAAATACAATACGTTTTCTACATCACACTAACAAAACCTTAAAAGTACCTGGTGGCATCATCAGTCCTTCAAGCCCGCTAAACATGCAAGATGTCTACCAGTTTGAGGAGGCTTTGCTGCAAGCTACAGATTTTGCCAGCATTGATTTTAGAGGAAAACACAAGCGATAGGGAGGTAGGACAGAGCAGCGCTGAGCACAGTACCTGACGCCTGCAGACCCCCTCCATGCAGCAGTAGCATCCACACAATGGTCAGCATGGGTTTCATTTTAACTGCGCTCCTATAATGCTGATAAAGTGTTTCAGAATTTATAAATGTGTAGATATAAAGGGGTGTGTTCTGTAGCTTGATCAGCCTTATTTTTTTTTCTAAGTACATTCATGATTTCATACAATGGAGATGCTTTTAACTTTTAAAAACATCCTCCTGATTTTTTTTGGCAAGACTTTGTTTTAATAGCTTGATTTTTTGGTTACCTTAATTATCATTTCAATCCCTTCTCCTCTATGGAAACACTGGCCAAACCCTCCCCCTACCAGACCCAATGGCAGCCACTGGTTCAGGAGGAACCGGCTGCGTGCAACCAGGGAGAAAATTACTGATACCAAGTGGAAACAATGGCAGGTTTCTTTCACCTCTCAGTTTCTCCCCTGTCCTGAAATGGATGCAGGTGTCTGTTGTGCACCCCGTCCCCTCATGTCTGCTGGACCCAGGTGTCCCCAGCTGGGTGGCTGTAGCCCCATTGCAGCCCTGGGCAGGAGAGTGCCTGTAACTAAAAGCATCATTGGAGCAATGGACAGCCTTGGCTGCTAGAAAACAAAATGCTTTTTTTCAAAACTCAATGCCAGACATCCCTCCAGACTGCACAAGTTCTAGCCTGCGTTTTCAGATTAATTGGGCCTTTGAAAATTGTTAATTTTCAGTCTCGTACTGAAACGGAAGGCTGAGGGCTGAAATTTCCAGCTTTCTTACTTCCCAGCCTTAGGAAAGCATTTCACCTGATGCCTGGATTAATCCGTGCAGGCTTGGCAGAGAGAAGGGCACTTGTCTTCCTCATCAATACGTGCCTTAGAGACATCCAACAAACTCTTACGAAACAAAGGGGACTTGTTTCGTGCTGGCATGGCTCAGATCGAGAGTTTGCTTTACATGCACAGGGTGCAGCTTCCAAATACAACACTGCCCAGGCTGCCCAGGAGCTCGAAGAGAAAGTGAAGCAACAGGTTCTTGGCTGCCCTCCTACATCTGGGGCTTCGTAGTCAGCTTTCTGAAGCTCCAGGATCCAGCATTTTGGAGAGGGTGGTTTTGCTACGTTGATATTGTCATGCTCTTTGCATGGGAGAACAGGGCCCTCACAGCAGCTTAATTCAATTCTCATCAAGTCTCATGAAAAAAGCTCTGCTCGTATCCAGGTTGAGCAATGAGAGGTGGTGATGAATGCCAAAGGTGGATGCTTTAAGTCAGGTTTTCTATGGATTTTTACCCAATACCTGCAGTAAAAAACAACAAGCAGAAATGATGAGGGAGATAAAACAAGGAGTAACAAGACCTTGACAGGTGTTAGGAAGTTATTTGCACTGCCTTCGAGAAGGGAGAAGAGGGAAGCAAAAGAAACACAAAGGGAAAAAGCCATATGGGCCATCTACTAAAAACATAAGGACTTCATCCCCAGCCTGGTAGATGGGCTGATGTGCTGCAGCTGTTTAAAAACCACATTTTATCTCTTCTGATTAGTGACTCATCACCATAGAAAACTTCCTTACTCTCAGCAGGTTGTCATGATGACAACTGAGGACAAAAAAAAAATCCCAGCCCTCATACAGAAAGAGGAGGAAAGGGAAAAGCTTTCTCTTGGAAACTACAGTTTCTGAAATTAGGAAAAAAATAAAAATAAATATTACAGTCATTCAAACTCAGTGTGTTCTTTAGTACAGTGGCAGAGCAATTCCTTTCTACTTTACAGCCTGTAACTGATTCATTTATTTGAGAAAGGAAAAAGCTGCTTGGATGGGTACTAATTGGTTCAGGGCAAAAGAGGTAATCCAAGGGTTATTCTAGCAAATGAAAACAAATGCCACTCCCACTGACCCAGCTGGGTTTCCTCAGCTAAGCAGGACTTTGTAAAAATATGTTTTTCATGTCAGAGTTCTTGAGCCTGAGATAGAAAGTCTCCCAAAATACACAAACTGCTGTGAGAATTTCAGTATCTCCTTGTTTGTTTTTGTTTTTTTTTTTTTTTCCAGCTAGATTTAAACTGCCAAAACAAATACAAATTAAATTAAAAACAAACATGAAAACAAAAGCAAACTATCAAAATAAAGAAAAATAAATCGGAAAAATCAGTTCTCCTTGTAACACAAGCCATTTAACAAAAAATGTGCAAAAACTGATGTTTGTGCTCAGAGATGTTTGACAGCAAAAGCCAGCAATTATACTTATCTTGAACTTTTTGAAGACAAAGGGCAATGGTGAGCTCTCTAAGGAAATGTATTTGCTGTTTCCCCTGAGTTTATTAAGCATAGTGGGCAGGTCAGAAACCCAGCTGCAGCCTCTCTCTGCCTGACCTCCAACTCAGGTTAGATTCTGGTGCAATCTATGAAAAAAAAGCTTGGTTGGTGAGACTGTTATTTAAAACAGGTGAAAGTGATCTCTGCCGTATATTCGTTTAATGATTTAATTAGAACATGGTACAAGTGTGGGTATTAAAGAACATCTAAGCTAGAACTGTAAACAGGTTAACTGCTTAGTTCAGTCTGATGTCAATAAGTATCTGCTGGCTTTTGTGGCAAGGTATGGGAAAAAAGAAGTGAAAACAAGAAAAGCTGTGTTTCTTACTCGTACCCTGCAAAAGCAAATTAGCTCTTTTTAGTTTCAGTCTACAAAACATGGGGATTTATTATTAAAAACTGGAAAATGAATCTGTTAGCTATGGGATCCAGAAACAAAACAATGTTTATTTATACCCTATTATAAATATTTTTATAATATGTTCCTGGGAAGGAGGCCTACAGAGTTGAATTATCGGTCCATACTCCAAAATTAGAATAGAAGGATAAGCAGGACAGCAAAGCACAGGAAATTCAGCATACAAACAAACAAACAAGAATTTTGTTTCTAAGACCTGTTTTAACCCCAGTGTTGGCCAAATACATTGCATGATTTCACTGGGGACAGCACGCTGGCAGGAACTCACACAGTCTGTAAAATGCCTTTTTACCCTCCCCCCCCAAAAAAAATTGCATATTTGAAAACAGATTGCTTTGACTCCATCCTGTTTCCATGAAACACCTTCTTAAGAAGTGCCACTTTGGGAGAGTTGTTCAAGAATTTGCAGTTTCATCAGAGTTACAAGCACTTGTACCTTCATGCTGTGTATAGGTTAGTTTTAGTTCAGTAATTATCCTCTCCTGACTCAGCTCATACTACACTACTTGGCACTTTTAATGGATATTAACATGTTGTTTTTTATGTTCTGGGTGAGTCCTGAGTAGCCAAACTCCTCACAATCACGAAGCAAATAACTGTGGGGAAAATAATAAGAATAGGAATAAGAAAAGAATAAGAATAAGAATAAGAAAAGAATAAGAATAAGAATAAGAATAAGAATAAGAATAAGAATAAGAATAAGAATAAGAATAAGAATAAGAATAAGAATAAGAATAAGAATTTCATTGCAATCAGCAACCAAAAGTTTTAAACAATGAACAAAATTCTTCCTTCTTGGAAGCAAATACAAGATTTCTTTTGATACTTATATGACATCTTGATGAGACCTGAAAAATCTCCTGATTGAGATTCAATCTCTTTAATGAGATTTACAGTTTTTGTCTGGTTTAGGATTTATCCAAAAACCCATAAATCAGTGTGAAGGCTTCCAATTGATTTGACAAGCCCTTGTATCAGATTATATAGCTCAGCTTTAAATATTGGAAACAGAACACCTTTAACAGCTCAGTGTCTTTTGAATTTGGAAGTATTTAATCTAGAGAATTGGAAATGTATTGGGAAAACACCAGAAAAATGCACCTAAAGAGAAAGGTGAGAAAATTACTTTGCATGGCCAGGAAGGACAGGGCAAGAAGTAAGGGGCTTGAACAGCAACAGTGAAAGTCAGGGGAAGGCGTTTTGAAAAACCTTTCCAACAGTGATGCTCATTTCAGTAATGAGCCTTGGGCAGCACAAGGAGCAATTGTCTTGGCTGCAGTGGAGGTTTTAAAGTTTGGGCAGCATCTGCTGGGAAGATGTGGTGGTAGTGATAAGGGTGCACCCTATACAGTTCAACTCCCTTACAGTACCTTGTAACCACGCACTCAGAGGTACATCCAGCACTCACACGGCACAGAGATACTGCCCGCATCTTCACAGCACTATGTAGAAGTGTTTCATGATACAATGGATGGGCAGAACACTGAATGCTCGAGGGAAAGCTTTTCCTCCAACAACATGAGGATACACACCTGCATAGGTGTTCATCACGGGCACGCAGTGGGCTTTTTTCCACATACAGTGAAGGGTGAGGTAGGTATTTGCAAGAGCCCAGGTTGCAGGTGGGCATGGGGGCTGCTTGGATGGAAGATGATTCTCAGGGACTATGTCAGCCACATGGTTTGGAGGGAACTCAGGGTTGGGGGACATACTGATAGGTAGTTCCTTTGAAGTCCCCAGTGGGTTGTGTAGTGCTTGTATGTGACACTGGGGAGAGAGTAACAGAAAACTGAAAGAGAAGGCATTTCTCCATCAGGCATCACTGATCTGTTCTCTGGCTTCCCAAGGCCAGAAATTTTCTGTAAATTTGCATGTGTCTGGCAAGTTTTTGATCCAACAGACCACACTCCAACACAGCAAAGCATTCATTAGTATTTTAATCACAGAGACATTCATTCAAAACAAAAAATTAAATTATTGTTTTGTAAACATTCCTTCATTTGATTTTAAATGACACTGCTCATATAAAAGACTTCTTCAGCTTGAAAATCTCTGTATTTTATAAGTAAGCACAGACCTATTATTGTTTCAATGAGAAATTTAGCATTAAAACAATGCTTAAGATAATTGGAATAGTAGATAGCCACAATATAAAATGCCATACTAAGATCAATATTGGTATTGATCACTATTTCCCTTTCTGATATGGCCTATTACTTCCCCCCAAATTAATCTTCCTCCTTTTAATAAGCCTTGAAATATTTATTAATACCTCATTTGTATTTTTTCTCCAGCTTACAAAATTTTAAGGCAGTAGATAAATAGTCTTGTGAAGATGTGAGGAAATAATTAAGAGGAGAAAAATGATAAAATGACCACACCAAACAGCTTGTGTTAGTGCAAATGTTGAAATTATTTCTCAATCATTTAAGAGGTGTTAGGATTATAAAGTTATTTTGAAGCATTGTAACAGGCTAGGAGATATGGTTTAGTGGGGACTGTTAGCGTTAGGTCAGAGGTTGGACTCGATGATCTTGAGGTCTCTTCCAACCTAGAAATTCTGTGATTCTGTGAAGAACAAAAATGATGATGGCCAGGGCGGCGACAGCAGCAGTAAGTGGCCCGAGCACATTCCCAGCCACAGCAGGAACCGCGTGGGGAGGAGGTGCAGTATAGTCCAGCTTTGTGAGGGAAGGCAGAAGGGCTTGGTCTCATGCCAAGGGCCTGGGCTCAAAGAGCAGCTGCATTAAAAAGGGTGCTCCCTAGATCGCAGCCAGAATTAAGCTAAATTCTAATTTCATTGCTCTTTGAGCAGGCTTTGTATTAGCAGGGATGACAGCTTAACTATGCAGACGTCGTTAGCAGAAGACAACTGAGGGAATTAAATATTTCTGAAGAAGCCTGGGAGCTTGTTTCTCAGGAATAGAGCTGGCAATCACATTACACAATCAGATTGAGCTAATTAGTTCAATGGAGTGATAGCACTATTGGGTTTATATGTGCCCTCTGTTTTGGTGCCACCAAAGCGGTTACCATTATTCATGCATGCAGGTGAAAACAGTTTGCAAGGTGTTGAGAGAAGAAGGATATCATAGACATTTGAGTCAGCCAAACAATGCCTTCCTGTTTACAGTGGAGTTAGCATGAGCAGATTTCAGGGACAGATGTCAGAAACAAACAGAGCTATGGCATTTTTTCATGAAGACCTAAGTAGTCTCAGAGTAAATAAGAGAAAAATTTATTCAACTTCAGTGGTGCTCTGAGCACCTTCTTCTCGAAGCTTCAGAGGTCCGACAACAACATCTACTTTCTCCTGGGTAGAGCTGGTGTCTCTCTTGAACCTTCCCGAGCAGCCGTGGTAGCAGCGGGAGGAGTAGTCCCCGAGCCTGCACACCACTAGCTGACACCGCAGGTAGACTAATGAGTAGCGGTTAATGAATTCAAAGGCATTAAATTTGAACCGAGCGAAGTGGCTGTTGGGGGTGTAGTATATGGCATAGGAAGAATCTCTAGCACATCTGAAAAGGAATGAGGAAGAGAATTAGTCACCATGGATTTACACGTGGACATTCCTGAAAAAATGCAGTGGATTAAAACATAACCAGGCGCTGAGAACACCAAGGGATAATAGTGCAACTTTCAGAGTATCTCAAAGTATAATTAAGTCCATGAAGAAGCTAGAGCAGAGCAGAGGTGTTGTTTCTTATTCCCAGGCTCATATTGTAAAAATAAATAAATAAATACAAACCTTTTAACTTTCTGTTGATAATGAGATCCAAACCAATTCACATTGGCTCTATTCTCTTAAAATAAATTGTAGAAAGGATATAACAGCTATGCATCTAATGACTTGAGAAAGTTCTTACCCATTCTTGATTATATCATAGGATAGAGTGCTAAAATCCTGAGGATCAGGTGATGCCACACATGTGTCCACAAACAGCATCAGATTTGGGTCAGAGCTGTGAAGATAAGCTTGAAGGTACAAATTTTGGTTCAGGTCAATGTAGTATGGAGAGTCATGCACTGGCCGCAGGAATGATGAGGAATCATAAAACGTGATGTTCACAGCATATCTTCCAAACTGATTTTCATTAATGTCTGCAGTATCTTCAGCAACATACATGATTTGTATCCATGTGTTTTGTAACATCTTGCAACTGAGGTGTAAGTGAAGATCCTTTTTCCTCTTGATTATATACTCAGAAGAGGTAACTTTGATCATGTTGGAATAGTTGATTGTACCATTGCTTTCCTGTTTAAGGTGTAATTTAAAATGAGGATTTGCATTTCTGTCGCATTCTATATTCTAAGCTTTGACATAGTAATATGCAATTAAAAATGTAGTTTCATATTAAAGATAAGCTGCATCTTGGAGCTAAGAAGCTTGATGATGGTCTTTTCTGCTCACATGAAAATAAACCTTCTGATATAAAGTATTTAATTAAACAGAAATTGGTGTAGAAAAGCTCTGTTAAATTCAAGGCAGAGCCAACTCATTGCATTTCTGTACAGAACACTGATCATTTAATACACAATCATCCCAGACCTGCATGGCACTTAAACTCATGAGCTTCCTCCCTAGACTCTCATTTCTGGTAAGGATGGGGATTCCCTACAGCAAGGAAAGCTAAAGGCATTAAAACCTATGGGTCTCAAATCACTTCTTACCACTGAGGACCGCAATGGCTCTCTCGTGTCTCACTTCAAAGTGTGCCCTGCAATTCAGTTCTCCCAGTTCAGTTCAGTTCAGTTTACCCAGTTTAGTTCAGTTCATACCTCTCGTATTGTCCCACAGCTGTCATAGGGAACGTTGAACACCACCTCGTGTGCTGTGAGTGTTGGCTCACAGCGAGTGTCGTTCAGGGTGACTGTCTCTGCAGAGTAGCCTTGTGACTGGAGATAGTCCCTGCTAACCACCGCATGCATGTAGTCTGGCAGGCACGTAAGGGCTGGTAGAAGAAGATACGATGTAACAGTTAAATCAGCAATTTGTTAATGATTGAAGGTTTTAATTGAACTAAACGCTGCTTTTTTTCTTAATGTAGAAGGTAGGCTGTTCGCATATCAACCCAGCATATTTCGCATGCATCACTTCCTTTCCCTTGCGTCCTTAAATACACACATATTTATTTTGCAAACAAAAACTATAAACAGGCTTGTCTGCTGAGAAGCAGAGTTTCTGTTCTGAAGGGGAACTCACCAATGTTGTGATCTGTTGGGATGGAGGAGTAGTGGGCCTGGAACCCTCTAAATGTGTGTCTAGAATCGCTGTGAAAGTGAATGCTCATTAGGTTTGAAGACGACGTGTATGTGAGGAAGGAACCAGCACAAATTCTCCCAAGAAGTGGAGAAGAGTGTGGAGGCCCGTCATAGACTTCAATGTAGTCATACTGGCATCTGCTGTTCTGCAACCTGGGCAACAAACATCAGCACCTTGTCAACATGCTCCAGAAATTCTGATTTACCTGCCTAACACGTGATAAAATATTTTAACAGCACATGCTTTATTCATTTTGCATGTAGTTACAAGGAGAAAATACTTCACTAACCCAGTGTTTGTTCAAGCCTTCCAGCTGCTAGATGGTATTGAAAATATCTTTAAATTTGTGAAGGTTGCCTATCTCAAATAAGTCTTCAAGTTTTTCAAGTAAGTTTTGACTCTGTTATTTGCTCAGGGAATCAATGTTCTACTTACGCAACATCTCTAAATGTGAGCGCAACACGGAAATTATTCTCTACTTGTATTTCCCACACACAGTCAGCGTTGTTTGGATAATTTCCAGGGTAGTTTGGACTCTGCAACATCCCAGAAGAATTTGAAATTAAGCCACCACAAAAATAAGGTGCTGCAGAAAGAAATAGAAGAGAATTTACTTATAGTAACCTTTAAAAATGGTACTTTTGTTGTACATGGCTAATCTGCAGCTGTTGAAAAGCCGGTTTCCTGCTGTCCTCAGATCATCTTCAGTATTACCCAAATCAAAACAAATATTTGTTTTTGCTGTAGGTTTAATTTCATAGCGCATGCTGTCACATCTATGGTGTCAGATCACCATCTTCAGGCTGCTCTGGTGTCTCCTTTCTGCAGTTCTGGTTCTGGGAGGGGTTATGACAGTCAACATGGAAACACCTTCCTGTACAGACAATGTCCCCTCAGACTGCGATATGCACTCCAGGCAGCTGGGCAAAGTAGGAGATATAATATTTCTTGCTCCACCTATGAGAGTGGCTGCAAAAAGTGTTCATATTCCTGCCAGCATGAGTGCTTTCTTATGCTAAATACAGAGATAATCCTAACAGCTTCCTCACAGGAAGGTGGGCATGAGTTCTGAATTTAATCCCTACAGCATGTGACATGCAAAGGAAACCCCTTCCCCACCACCACCACCATTTTATGTTCCTGCACAACATCACAGCCCAGTGCTGCACACTCCTGGATGGGCTTTTGGGCACATTCACATCCACACTGATTTCTGATGTGAGTGGTCAAGCTCTTTATCTGAATTCTGCTTTCCAATGTAAAAATAGAAGGCTGGATATCATAACACCTCTAATAAAGGCAAAAATTACCGATTACACGCCACCTCACTGATAAACTACCTGCTACTATAAATACAAATGGGGAGCTCTTCAATTAAAACAGAATTGTTTTGGAAAATGGTATAAGAGCACTGTATAGAAATCATGACCTAAAGAAAGCACACTACACACAAGCAATTAATGTCAATAAAATAGCACTGTGCGTGTACAAATAAAAAAGATTCAAAGAACCACGGGAGAGCATTACCTTCTGTAGGCACTGGGGTGGTCGTGGCAGCTGTGAGAGTGGAGGAAGAAGAGCCATAAGTGAGATGTAATGCTCTGGAGAAGGGGTCCCAGGGTGCAGGGCACCACCATGGGGATGCAGGGTTGGAAGGGACAGAAGGCCAGGAGCTCCATGTGGAGCCACTCCCCTACCTGCACAGATGACACCGGCGTCCTCGCTGTGGGCGCAGTTGTGCACGCCCCATCCATTGTGTCCGCAGAGCAGCAGGGAGGCCTCGTACCCATGGCACCACAAGTTGTCCAGGAAGATGTGGCCACTGCCGGCACCGAAGTGAGCATTGCCTGGGGCGGCTATGGCAGGGCCACAGCCCAGCTGGCGGCACACCACCTGCGCCTCACTCAGGTCCCAGTAGTCGTCGCACACCGTCCCCCAGCTGCGTCCATCCCACACCTCCACGCGGCCCTCGCAGCCATGCCGGCCGCCGGCCAGCCGCAGGTGGGCACCTGGGACACAGCACGGTGAAGGTGGTCACTGTATGTCCTGCCTCTCCCACCCACCAGCCCGAACTACCAGCTTGACCCCACGCTCTGCTCACATCCTCCCTGCAGACCCTCCTGTGCCGTCAGGTGTGGGAAGGGCGATCAGGGGGCTCGGCGAGTGACCCTGGGTGGGTTACCTGCTGTGCTCGTCTCTACTGCAGAGGTGATCTCTGCCAACAAGACTGCTGGTGCTGTGGTGGCCAACCCTGTTGTGGAGGGCTCTGTGGAGATCGTTTCTGGGGCTATGGAAGAAAAACATCACGTTTGTGTGTTGGGCATGTCTACGTGTAAGCTGCAAGCTCCATTCCTGGGGAATGAAGTGCAGTTAGGACAAATGACACTGTCAGCATTCCCCATCTTGACAGAAGTCAGTGGAGAGAATGAAGGTTGGTAACAGTCAATTTAAAATCGTTATTAAATTGAAAGGGGCATTTACAGATGGTGACAGCAGGGAAAGGAACTGCTGTGGCACCTGCCCTAAAGGATAGGACACCATGGGCCAGGAGATGCTGGAGCCTCCCCTCCTGATGGCCCTGCCCTGGAGCTGGGAGCTGTGGAGTCACTGGTAGCAGCAGGGCTTGGACCCATCCCCATCACGGATGCCCTCCTGCAGCAGGTCAGCTCCTCCCCATGAGCAGCCCAGGAGCTGTGTGGGGTCGTGTTGCTGCAAGGCCAGGAGGGCAGGAATTACCTGTTGTATCTGGCAAGGCAGTAGTCCGTAGACCAACACAAGAAACAAATGTCACTTAAAAAGGCATTGACCACAGCATGTTTGCAGCAATAGAGATATCACAGCAAGGTTTTTTAGCATTATCTCAGGAGGAGTAAATCTGCACACCCCTATGCTGACATACATATATATTGGGTGCAGTTTATGGAAAAAGTATTTGGAGAAGAAAAATATGACAGCACTGCAGCACCACACGTTGTCCAGGAGGATGCAGCCGGTGACATGCAGACGACCCAGCTGTCAGCATGGCACCCACGCACCCTCTGGTCCCAAAAGTCATCATGCAGCCTCCCAGGCCTCCCCAAGACCCTCACAGTCATGCCTGCCATCGGCCAGCTGCAGGTGGGCACCTGGGACACAGCACGGTGATGGCAGTCACCATGTGTCCTGCCTCCTCCTTGTAGCCCACCCACCAGCCCAAACTACCAGCTTGACCCCATGCTCTGCTTGCATCCTTCCTGCAGACCCTCCTGTGCCATCAGGTGTGGGAAGGGCAATCAGGGCTCGGCGAGTGACCCTGGGTGGGTTACCTGCTGTGCTCGTCTCTACTGCGGAGGTGATCTCTGCCAACCAGACTGCTGTGGAGGGCACTGGCTCTGTGGAGGTGCCTTCTGGGAATGCAGAGTTCATCGTCACTTCAGTAGTTGTCCCCAGAATGGGGGATGACAAGGCGGTGCTTGTCTCCACTTGTGTGGTCGCTGGTGGTAAGGAGGTGATCTCTGTCGACAAGGTTATTGGTGCTGAGTTGGTCATCCCTACTGTGGAGGATATTGGTGTTGTAGATGTCCTTTCTGTGAGTACAAAAAACACGACCCACATGAGGACTGTGTTTGTGCAGTGGATATGTCTTTGTGTAAGCTGCAGACCCAGTTCCTGGGAAATTAAGTGAAGGTGGGAGAAATTACTCTTTTGGCATACTCCATCTTGATAGGTCAATGAAGAGAATGGAGGAGGGAAACAGCCAATTTAAAATTGTTCTTGAAAGTGGTATTTACAGATGGTGACACTGGAGAAAGGTACTGCTTGGCACCTGCTCCAAGTCACAGACACCATGGGCCAGGTGAGGCTGGCAGCTCTGCTCTACAGGTTCCTCCTAACTACAGATGCCAAGTAGGAAATAAATGCCACTTAAAGTGTAAGGAACCCAACATGCATACAGCAACAGAGATATCACAGCAAGCTTTTTGTTATCTCGGGAGGAGGATGTCTGCATATCCCTATGCTGACATGTGTATATTGGGTGCAGTTTATAGAAAGAGTATTTGGAATACAAAAAAAAAGTGACAGTACCTGAACAGACAACACCAGCATCTTCATAGTGGTTGCAGTTGTGTCTCCTCCATCCTCTGTGTCTACAATGCCACAGGGCAGGCTCGTTTCCCTGGCACTGCAGATCGTCCAGCAGGATGTTGCCTGAGCCTTGGCCAAAATAAGCACTACCCGGAGCTGAAATGGCCGGGCCGCATCCCTGCTGCCTGCACACAACCTGGGCATCGGAAAGGTCCCAGAGATCATCACACACAGTCCCCCACTGTCCTTCGTAATAAAGCTCAACACGACCTTCGCATCTGTGCCTTCCATTCAGCAGTCGGAGACCAATTCCTTTGGAAAGAGGGAATTGAGCACAGAGTCAGACAAATAAGATGGAAGTGACCTTAAGAAGTTCCATTCTCCTTCCCCAGGCTACCATCATTCCTAGGAGGTGTTTTTCTACCTTAGTATTAAACACCTGTGAGGACAGAGATGATACAGGCAGAGACCCCACTTTTTTTCTTCCTCTCTGCCAGATCTCTAAATCAGCTGCACATATTCCTGTGATATTTCATGCAAGATTTCGACAGAAAACTTAGACAGATGCAGCACAAACTGTTTCAGCAAGAAATTAATATTTTTGATAGGAAAAACACATCAGGAGAGGAAACGAAAGAAAATAAATTTCACTATCAGAATTAAATGTAGGTAAAATTCTGTTAAGAAAAATAACACTGAAATTTTTCACATAAGAAAATACATGTGCTTTAGGAACATATATCATGGTTAGGCGTTTCCTTTTTTGACATTGCCATCTAAATGTTTTATGGTAAAGAACAAGGAGATGTAGCCATTTGCTTTGAATCCTACAGGAATTTAGGAAGTACAGCACAGTTTTCTGCCCCCAGCCTATGCCTCAGAGGTGTGCGTGTATAGCAGTACTGCATGATGTAGAGAGCCTTTTCTGACCTAGAGGCGAATGGCAAAAGGAGAGCAAGGGGAGAAAAATGCAGCTTGGACATCCAAGACCACTTTTTCCTAAACCTGAGCACATGGGACTGCTAAATAAATGCACATGAGGTGCTGTATAAAAATTACCAGGCAGGTAATTTGACATTGTACAGTACTGAAGTCTAACATTAAGGACATCAAACAGTGTGCTACTTTGTTTAAATGATGTCAGAATAAGACCAAACAAATTCTCCAGGAAAAATAAATAAATAAATAAATAATAAAAAATAAACTAGAGAACTTTTGAGAAAACAATAGCCATTCTTACCTTTTCTCCTTGATTTATGTGATTTAATTGGGATTTGTCTTCCTGTAAAATTTTTTAAGAGAATTTTAAAGACCTAAGGTCCACACATCGCAAACAAATCCTGTAGTTTTTAAGACTAATCTTACTAGAATAATTCTGCAAAGTGTTCAAAAGACTGGACAATGAACTCAATGGGATTATAAAAAATTCATTAGGAATGAATTTTTTTTTACTTTCTTAAATACCTATAAAATTGTATCAGAGTTAGAAATAAAGAAATACTCAATAACCTTGCATGAGTACACCTGATATCTGCTGTTACAATGCATTCGTTCAAATAAAACCCATCTGTTTTTCAGTTTAATCTTTTTATTAATCTTTTTCATAATTTAGACATTCTGCATAACTGCATGAAAATACCAATTTTAAAAATTCATTTTTGGTGAAGAAATTTATTACAGACTTTACCACTAAGTCTAAGTAAATCACCACATAAATGTTAGTGTAACTTAAGATCTACAGTATTTACACTTTGGAAATCAAAATACGCATGCTGCATATGTCATGCTTTGCATGTCTGCCAAATAGATATTTAGCTTGTTATTAAACTCTGAATAAGTCATCCAAAGCAAAAGAATTCTGCAGAATTACCAGCTCCAGGATTCCTCACTGCATCTAATTCATTGTCAAGACAGTCTCCAAAACAAACATTTCCCTATTTGTATGCATTTAACTGCCTGTTCAAAGCAAGAAGCTACAAATCTGCTCCTTGACTTATATCAAAATTGTTTCTTCAAGTACTTACTTGAAGATGCACATTTTTAGACTATACTTGTAGGACTTTTGAGAATTGGAACAGCAAACCTGGGAAAAAAGTCACGTACTGTGCCCAGGGGACAGAGGCGGGGGCTGAGAAATGCCAAAATGGAGAGAAGGACTACAATAGCAAGGGTAGGATGGCAAGCAGAGGACAGATGAGGAAAACTGGATGAGGTGGATGATGGCAACATAAATTAACATAATGATCCTTAAATAGGATGTTAGAAAAATTATCTGTAGTTATTCTAGGATTTACACTTAGCTCAAAGCCATCTAAGTCACTTAGGAGATAGAAACTATCATGTAAGAAAAAAGACAATGACAAAAAGAAAGTTGAATGAAAATCATTTCATGTCTTTGATTATTTTTATCTGTCACTCATTTATCCACAGTGATAGATTATGAAAATTAAGCTCATTATATTTCACTGAACTGTATGTCAAAGAACATTCAAATAATGCAAGCAATATTTTATTCATAGTGTATGTATGCATACATATACTCTGGGATAATTATACATTTTAGTGAAAAACAAATCTGTTCTTCCATAATTCTTAGATCAAATTTCTGTAACTGGAAGAATCACACATGTATAACCTACTCATAGACATAATTCTAGCAAGGATTCAAGGCACTAAGACATGAGCTATCCCTCAATTAAATGTTTTAAATCATTATTATCATTTACACTGATTAAGCACAGTTTCATTCTACTAAAACTGTTAATTTCTCATTTAATTTAATTTCACCTTTAATCTTTTGCCCTAACTGATACCAGCATGAATGCCATTTCTATTTATGGAATCAACAGTCGTTATATTTTATTTTCTATGCCAGTTATATCTATAAAATCAGCAGTCTTTATATTTTATTTTCTATGTGCCCTGGAACAAATCTAAGTGCTTTACCTGGTCTGGCCTCCAGAACTGCTGGGCCAAAAAAGAGTAGGCTCATCAATATCACAATGGTACCCATCTTATCAAGAGTTATTGATAGAAAGGACCATCAGAATTTATAGTCTCTATTTCTAACAGGGAGTGGCTTTATCGGTCTCTTTTTTTCTACAGGAGGATGATAAAATAATCATGGTACTATGATCTGAAACAAAAATATGTTTGATTTGTTATTCAATATTTTGTAACATCCTGGTTTCTGCATTAAGATAATATCTCAAGAGTAACATTTTCCACTGCCTGGAAGGAAATATTTATGCTACCATAGGTGTTACAATCATCTCATTGTACAAACAAAATGAGCTCTTATCCAAAGATACCTTTTTGGCTGATGAATCTCATATTTTTCTTTTATGGGAAGATTTCTTGACAGGTCTGCGGAAGGTAGTGGGAGCTTAAAATTGAAACGGGCTTCCTCCAGCAAAGTAGTTAGAGAGCTTCATAACTTGGTTCCAGCTAGTAAGACAAGCTAGCCATGAATGAGAGCCATGAATGCCTTACAGCTTTGTCATACTTCAAAAATAGTAAGATAACACCATGTTCAAGCATGACTGGGGGGTCTCTGAACATAACCCATGAGAACAGTGGCTGTTACTGAACACAACGTGATGACCAAGAGACACCTAATGAAAATACTTTGGTCTATCAAAATTGCTAGCTACACCACATCAATGCTTCTGCCATCAGCAATAGATCCAACAAGAGGGTTAAGGTTGCCACTGGAAGGGAGCCACTGGTGCTCTCTAGAAGCCCTTGGAGAGGCAACATGGTGGAGACGAAGAAGGGAGAGGGGGCAATTAGTGGTCATGGGCTGAGCTACCAGTCCAGGACATGGGGAAAGAGAGTTGATACAAGGAGAAGCAGACCTCAGAGATGCATGAAACCTTGCTTGCTAGTTTACATGATTGGGAACCTCATCCATAAGCAGAGAGGATCTCATGCCATAGTGTGCGATACTATGTGGGCAACTATAGCTTGCCATACCATGTGGGCAACTTGCTCCAGACAATTAGAGAGACTGACCCAAGCCTTATAAGCAAATCTTTGAGACATCTGAAGAACCTTTGCAGCTGAAGTGAACACATGCAGCCCCAATATTAACCTATTCCTTTCTGACATATTAAGTTCATGTCAAAACTCATACACTGTTCACTGTGGAACTTAGATGGCAAGAAGCTGTCAAGAGAATCAGGATCAGCAGATAACTTTTTGTGAAATCCAGGCAGAAAAATCAGTGGATTCTATGCATATTTAGGTAAATTACATAGGTTGCAACTTAAATCTATTCTTAATTTTCCTTTTATCTTTTGAACCATTAAATGAAAAAAAAAAAAAAAAGATTCAGATCTAAGAATTTCTGTTAATATATTCCTTGTTTAATTTTGCACAGGGACAACTACTTCTCTGTTCTTTGCAGAATGAATCCAAAGCATAAAATAATGCTTATTTCTCACTCATAATTCTTTTGCCAGCGTGGCTACTTTCCTGTTTTCCTATTTTAATTATTTTCTATTTTAACTCTTTTCCTGTTTTAACTATTTTAAGATAAAAGGCTGATGACCATCCTAAGATTGCAGAGCCAAAATATTGTTCTTCATCTGATTCTTACTTCTACGGCCACCATGGTTTGGATGGCATTACCAGGAGTCAAAATCTGTGGCACAATTCTTGTCATATACAAATTTATTGCATCCATGGACAGTCATCAAGGAAGCATACTGAAGTTGAGGAGCCCAACAGAATGACCGAGAAGGTCTTTCCACAAAGGCCAGCATTATTGGAATGGAAGAAGGAAGTGCAAAACACAAGAGGCCAAATATAATGTTGGAAGCCTTGAAAGCAAACATAAATGAAGGGTAAATATATTTATTCTTTATCCAAATAACCACATTTGTACTTGAATGAGGAAATGTACCCAAGACTTCGTATTCGCTATTCATATTCTTCTGGTTTTGACAACTTGGCAAGAAGCAGAAAAAATACAGTATATTGGCTGACCAATCAAACACTGCAATCAGTGAAGCAAGAAAAAATGATGGACAGCAATTCTTCTCCAAACTCTTGCAATAACTGAAAAGGCAGGGGAGGAAGGGGAAAAAGACAAATGATTCCCAGATGGCTCAAATGGAAAAAATACCCATGTAGCTGTCCAGGTAAAGGAACAACACAGATTACTTATTTCTCAGTACATTCTTCACTAATTAATTCTTTGCTACAAATGTCAAAGATATTTGACATTTGATATTTGACAAAGATATTTCTAGAGATCTTAATTATCAAGCAATCTGCACAGCAGGAGTAGATAAATGTAATGTTCATATTAAATTGAATTAATTAATGCAAATACCACACAAAGCATGTTTTCATCCTTCCTATTGGTCTCTTAGGTCTCTTGTAATAATGCATATTTTCTCTGTAGGACCTGCAGGACTTTTCTGGCAGCTTGAAATGTTGGTGGTTTTTTTTCAGCACATTAGTCTGTGAAAGAAGATCCATAAAGCTTTGAAAACGCTTTCTGTTCTGCTGCCTATTTCTGCAGGAGACTTCTGCAGACATACTGACTTTTGTGAGGTTCAGATGAAAGCCACTGAAAGGACACAGAGAACTAATCAGCTTTCATTCATGACTACCCAAAAACCATCTACAATGGAATGAGGGTATCCACAGGCTTCTGCATAAAGGAACAACAGTCTGAATGCTCAAGTTAGGATCCAGTGAGGTGGCGTAGTTGAATTTATTGGGTTTCTTGATGGCCTCTTGGGCTCTGTTGCCTGTGTCACATGAAAAGTGTCATTATAAATCCGTTTGCATTGGTTTAATGGTGAAGAGGCAAGCAGATCAAAACCATCTATAGGTGAGAGTCAAATCAACTGGATTTACCACTAGAAGAGCTCCTGAATGTGGTGGGACAGGAGGTGGGAGGGATGGTTCTTAGCGGAGGGGCCTTTTGCTAAGCACGTTTACTTTAGAACATGACCTTTTTTATAATACAGGCTGAAGTGATTATTCCCACTGAGCTGCCCACATCCTCCACATCAGGACAGGATGTTACACTGGAGTATAGGTCACTACCTGGTCTCTGGCCCACCTCAAGCATAGTACATTATGTTGCTCCCAACATTCATCTTTCACAGCTCAAAAGAAAATAGGAAAGTCTGAAGAGGTGCATTTCTCAATCAAACACCAGTGACCTTTCCACCATGGTGAGTGAGTTCTTCCAAGCAGGTTCTTCCTTTATTGCTGTTTTTATTGTGTTTTCACATAGGGATAGGAGATCGGTGACACTTCCTGATGGTAATTTACGTACACTCTCTCTTCCACCCACCACTACAGGTTTAGAAATGCGTAAGAATGAGAGCACGTATCATTGCTTGGCAAATTCACTTTGTCAGAAATCATGTTCTTCAATCTGAAAATGTTTGAGCTCCCTGCTAAAACACACAGGCGGCGCATTTGCAAATACACAAAATATTGCTCTAATTTTTTTTTTCTCTTTTGTTTTTATTAATTACACGTTTACATAGCAGGTTTGATCTTATTCTATACAAAGGCTCAGAAATGGTCTACATTTTCTCAGAGAAACACCTAAATATGAAGAAACAAGTCCCTCAAAACAGGGAAGGTTGTACTGGAGCAATTCCTTACATGCAAAGTGTATATTTTTGCTTATGGCTGATTACAGAGATACTTTTACCCAAAAAAATATTTTTCTTGGATTAGTCTCTAGAGTATCTCATATCAGTAAGACACTACCATATACTTTATATGCATATAAGCTTGGCAAAAGAAATGACTTCTTTCTCAAGCCACCCAAATCAGTGTCCTGAGACAGACCCTCAAAGTAGGAGCTCAGCTGAGACGCGCTGTAATGTTCAAATTGCACCCTCCACCAGCAGATGTTTGGTCACCTCTCACATTATCTGGTACGGGGTGGGTTCCTGCAGTTTGCGCTTCAGAAGAAATCCTCCCACGGTGAGGACAGCAGCTGCCAACACCACGGCGGTCACAGCCAGAGGAACAGGAGAGCTGGCAGCAGGCGCTGAGCTCTCAGACTCCCCTCTCTCCTGGGTGTTAGAGGCCAGATCTGTGCACAAGAGAGCAAACAGAGTGGCTTGCATTTTCTGACTGAGCTGGTTAATCTCAAAGTCAGTGAAGCAAAGAGAAATTGATATAAAATGCTGCAATGTGGATCTGATCAGAAAATAAATTGCTTTATCCCACATTGTTTAACAAATGATCCTGTGGCCGCACCAAACAAGTAAAGATTACAGCAAGAAATGATAAAGCAACTAAGAATTTATAATGATTACACTTTAAGACCATAAGATGCTATTTCCTGGCAGTAGAAACACCAGCTATAGGACACTGGGAAACATTTTCAAGGGGACCTATAGATTGTTCACTAATAAATAACAAATGTGCAAATCAGGCAGGGACAGCATTGAAAATCTAATACAGATCCTGCAGGTAGATGGGTTACATCTCATTTCTCTTCCAGAATTTAATCAATTGCCATTTGACACATGCAGAATAAATAGTTGATCTAAGATAAAAAGGAAATAGTCTGTAAACATTATGAAAATTTTTATATCCATTATGAAAAAAAAATGACCCATAGTAAGTATAGAAGAGTTGTGAATAAACCAGCAAAGGCATATTTCAGAACTAGATTTCTGAACTGATATGCACAGCAACATGGAGAGTCCTGTGTTAAATACAAGTGGAAGTTATTTACCAATACCAGCATTTCTGTTCTCAGCGGGAGCCTCCTGAAGCTGGATAGGTCCAACAATAACACTCATTTTTTCCTGCGAAGATCCTGCATTCCTCTTGAACCTGTTAACACAGCCTTGATAGCAGCGGGAAGAATAGTCATCGCTCCTGCACACCACCAGCTCACACTGCAGGAAGACTGATGGGTATCGTCCAACAAATGAAAATGCATTAAAGCCAAACCGACTGACACTTCTGTCTGATGAATAGTAAGGAGAATAGGTAGAATCTTTGAAACACCTAGAGAGAAATATAAAAGTAACAGATTAGTTGTCTTAAATAGAAACACTATTACACTATCTCTGTGCAATATGCTTCAGGTTCAGATATAAAACCTTATATATATATGCAAGAGTATAAGGGAACTCAAAAGGATTTTTAACAAAAGTATGTTTTTAGCAAGAGAAAATAAAAGGCAAAAATATATAGCAGTGCCAGTGATTTATCAAAATATATACGTTTCATAACTCAACAAAGTTCTTGTAAACATGAATAGCTGAAAAATAACTAGTAGTTCTGCTGCCTTCTGTGTTTAAGGTACAGGTGAGGATCTGTTCTGTAGTTGCTAACAGCGTTACCTACAGGTTGTTGCAGAAGCAGAAAGGGCCTATTTCTACTCTGGAAGAACAAAACTTATTCTGATACACACCATCATAGACAAGCAATAGGCTCTCTAGTCCTTCGGTGTTTGTAGAGTACTGTGCTCAACACCTGTCCCTACTGTACCTTACTCAGCACTTGTCCCAACACTTGACAGATGTGAAACATTTCCACATTTCACAGAGCAAGTTGTTATGGTAACTTTCTTGTCACTGAGTTTCTCTTCCTATCAGTGACTAGCCTTTGCAATTATCCAAACTAGATCTTGGTCATTCCAGATAAATTTAACAACCGTGAAATGATTCACCCACAGTTGTTACCCCAGAATATTTCAAAGTTGTCATTAATTGCTTTTTTAATCTCCATAAATATTTCACTGTGCCTATTTGCTTAACAAAAACCTTACGGTTTTCACAGTTTATTTTAGACTGCAAGATATCCCAACATCCGTATTTATAGATGGATATTATTGATTTAAATGTCAGTCAATACATTTCCCTTTGACACAGTTCCATAATATATGAACAAAAACTAACTGGAAAAGTACCAGAATCTATTTGCTCCATCTCCTGTGAGAGTGTCCTGCTCACAAGGCTTAAAGAATATGTATTTGTACAAATAAAAAGAAAAATCAAAAGAAATCCCAACAAGAGGAAAACCTCTCTCAGAGTCACATTATGTGTGAAAAGGAAGCCATTCACTTGGCAGGCAATAGACACTGGGACATTTAAGCCTGATACACGCTGTAACCTTCCAGCCTAGTGGTAGGTTACTACACTCCTACCTTGCTGAGGTTACCAATATCAACACCCTCCCAGGAGGCAGAAAGATTCAAATCCTACCAAGCACAGGAGGGAAATAAATAAGCATACGCCTATCCTTCCTAGAAGAAAACGGGACTCCAATAGTCACACTTTTATGCTTCTATCTCTTTGTCTGTTTTGCATTCCTTACAAGAGACACGACTGTGTACACAGATTTAAAATAATTCCTAAGAGAGTTCTTACCCACTTCTGATTAATTCATAGTGCAGTGTTGTAAAATTATTAGGATCAGGTGATGCCACACATGTATCCACGAACAACACCAGGTTTGGGTCAGAGCTGTAAAGAGAAGCTTGAAGGTACAAATCCTGATTCAGGTCAACGTAGTAAGGAAAGTCATGCACTGGCCACAGGAACGATGAGGAATTGTAGAATGTCAGGTTCACATCGTATCTACCATATTGGGTTTCATCGACATTAACAACGTCATCAGCAATGTACATTACTTGCACCCAGGTGTTCTGGAGCATTTTGCAGTTAATGTGCAACTGAAGGTCCTTTTGCCTCTTGATGATGGAACCAGAAACAGATGCTCTTATCACATTGGAATAGGTGATCGTTTCATTGTCGCCCTGTTCAACACATTAGATAAGAGCAAAATTAATACATGTAGTCATGTTCACACTGCGTAGTATAAACTTATGTATGTGACAGGTCTCGTATTATTCAGAAAGAACATGCCACAGAATCACATAATCACAGAATGGTTGAGGTTGGAATGGACGTCTGGAGATCATCTAGTCCAACCCACCTGCTCAAGCAGAGTCACCTAAAGAACATTGGACAGGATCACTCCACAACCTCTCTGGGCAACCTCTTTCAGTGCCCTGTCACCTTCACAGTAAAGATGTTTTCCCTCATATGTCATACACAAAAACCCAAAGTATCCTGGATGGGATTGTTCACTCAACTCTATCCTACATTTTCTTCTCTGGAACATCACTCTGAAATAGATACAGAGACTACCTAATACTTGGGAAGGACAAGTAGGAATGTTTAACAGACCCTAGCCTCCCAAAATGCATGATTATTTTCTGTATTTTGAATACCATTGGACCACAATGCCCCTTGTGATTCTTGACAGTTTTCCAAATGTCTATCAAATTTCTATGCCCAGACCCGGAGACCTCTCAAGAATACATTGACACCCACCTGTCTACGTGTACCACATCTGTTGTATGGAATGTTGAATATAACCTCAGTCGATGTAATTGTTGGTCTACAAGAAGAATCAGACAAGCTGATGCTCCATTCTGAGTAGCCTTGTGACTGGAGATAGCTTTTCTGTATAACTGCGTGCATGTATGTTGGCAAGCACACAAGGGCTAGTGAAGAAAATATGAATTATTAGTGAATTCTGGTAATTGATAATGCTTGCAAGTTAAAACTTCACCAAATGCAAAAGCTACTACTATTTAGGGGAGAGAATTTATAAACCAGAACACTTATTTTTACACCTTACACTTAGATATGAATAGTCTCTGACAAACCTCAGAAGCCTGAGGTTTCTGAGGCTTCAATTTTGCCTTCATCGATAGATAAATGGTGTTGATATGGTGTAGGTAATAGCTCTGCTTGGAAAAGTTGGAGTAGAAAAATTCCAGATAGTCTTTCTAACCAATATTTCTATGATTCTATGAAAATTTGTCCACAAGGTTAAAAAAAAAAAAAAAACAAAAAAAAACTGCAAGTAATGAGGTGATAAGAAGAAAGCTAGGTTTAAACTGACCATCATAGAAAACATCTAAGGACAACTAATTACATAATTGAAGGTTTTTTAAAGTAAAAAGTAATTGTTTTATTAAAGTGATCAGTCATTAACTATTTATGAAATTAAAGAAGGAATATCATCTTTGTGGGAGTGGCTCAACAATGTTAACAAATAATTATCTGGCAAATAAAATCAGGGTATAAAAGCCTTTTAGCAAAGAAAACATTATTAAGTGAAGGAAACTTACTGGTATTCTGATCTGCTGGAAAGGAATGATATTCAGCATAAAACCCTCTATTTGAATATCTAGAGTCACTGTGAAATCTGATGGTCATTAGGTTTGAGGATGATGTGTAGGCAACATTATAACCAGAACAAATTCTTTGAAGCAGAGGAGAAGTATTGGGTGGCCCATCATAGATCTCAATATAATCGTTCTGGCATCCACCTTGCAACCTGAGGAAGCAACATGAATATAGGGTAAACACATTCAGTAAACATCAGTTTGTAAGTGCTGAACAAACAATAAAATAAGATACTGCGTTCACACCGTTTCCAAATAATATTTAAAATTCCTTTATAAGTTTTGGAAATACGCTTGGGAACTGTGCTTTCAGTTGAGATTTGGGCCCTATTTATTGCCCAAGCAACAAGAAATTTACTTACTGAATGGTTCTAAACGTGAGCGCAATGCGGAAATTATTCATCACTTGTATCTCCCACAAACAATTTGCATTATCTGGATAATTTGAAGGATAAAGAGGACTCTGAATTGTTCCGGAGGATCTTGACAATAATCCACCACAAAGATATTTTCTAGCTGAAAAACAAACCAACAAACAAACAAAAGTGATACAGATGTGATTCACACAGATTTGCCTATGAACAAATAAATATACATTTTATGTACCCAAGCCATAGCAACAGCTGGTAAAGTCTCTAGAGAAACTGGATGGATATGCTCTCGTAACTGAGACTACAAGGGTGATTTTATCAAAGTATTCTGACTCTTCTGTGATACTTCGAAGTTGGTGGAATTAAGACATATGTGTACAAGAGACAGAAAGAGACACTGGCCCAAATAATATAAGGTAAAGAAAAGATCAGAAACAAAATCAACAGAGGCTGAAATCTATCCCCCAAAGAAACTGAGTCATAGAAGAGCAGTGTGTGGGATTCAAGAATAAAAAATAATTAATTGTATAGAATAAATTAAAGCGTGCAATTCCTACAATTCCAGTCTATGCATTAGTAACTAACACAAAACAAAATATATGCAGAGGAAAATAGTGAAAAATGCAAACACACACGGAGTAATTAAAACTGAAATAAGAACAGAGTTTGAGGTATTTATCCAACCACCAAACTGGGCTATTAAAAACTGTAGTCCAAAATCACAAGGGAGGAATATTATCCCTGAAGACATACATCTTGAGGAACAAAGTAAAATTTCTTGTGAAGATTTCCACTCTCCATGCTTGCCAGCAAGGCACATAACAGCCCCAGGGGCAGCACCATGCCCTGCCCCGGTGCGTGCAGCTCCCAGAAGTGCCTCCTGCCCATCCAAGCCGGACACTGGGCAGCGTCAGATCGCTAAGCTGCTTGGGCTGCTAACCAGTGCTGCCTAAGAAGAATGCACAGAAAGGAGCCACAGGAAATGCAGATGTACCTGGAGTTGTGGTGGGATATGGGCTCGCCGTGGAATTTGTATCTCCTGAGGAAGAAAGAGAAAGAAGCAAGTGAGGGACTATGGGAGGAAGGAGCGTGACTAGGTTTTCTACCAGCAATGATGAATTGGCTGCTGCAAAGTCATGCTGGTAATGCAGAGCATGGGGGTCTCAGCACAGACATCCAGCATAAGAACAGAGTAAACCAGAAATGCAAAAAGGTAGCTCCAAACCATATCAATGTCAGGCAAAGTAGAGGCAATTTATGAAAAAACAATGTGATTTACGGACGAAAACCAATGGTACCTGAGCAGATAACACCTGCGTCTTCATAGTGCCCACAGTTGTGGACGCCCCAGCCAGAGCTCCTGCACTGAAACAGGGAGGACTCACTCCCCGTGCACTGCACATCGTCCAGGTAAATGCTGCCACTGCCTTGTCCAAAATAGGCACTTCCCACTGCAGAAACAGCGTAGCCGCATCCCAGCTGCCTGCACACAACCTGGGCATCATTGAGGTCCCAGCCGTCATCACACACCGTGCCCTGGTTCCCATTCTGGTAGATCTCAATGCGCCCCTCGCACCGGTTACTGCCATTCACCAAGCTCAGCGAGCCACCTGGGAAAGCAGGGAACAAGGAAAACTGCTGACAAAAGCTGCTGGCACACGGGCACCCGCCCTCACCATTGCATTTCAGCCCCACACCACTTTCAGGCCACCGCTATTGCCAACCTCCACGCTATTAGGCTGTGCTTTCGCCTGCCTCCGCTCTCCCATCCTTCTATTCTGGGACTCTGGTGCTTCTCTGAAAGGGATTGGGGGAGTTTGGTGGATGCAAGCTCAACGCGAGCCAGCAACAGGCCCTGGTTGCTCACAGGCCCAGCCCTGATGTGGGGTGCACAAAGCACCACTGAGCTAGCCAGTTGGAAGGAGTGCTTGCCCCAGCCTACTCAGCACAGCTGTGGCTGCACCTCGACTTCTGTGTGCAGTTCAGGGCTCCAGGAAAGAAGGATATAAAAAGATTGCAGTCTTTCCAACGGGGGCCACAACAGCCCCAGGGGCATCACCATGCCCTGCCCTGGTGCGTGTGGCTCCCAGCACCGCCCTCCTGACCCTCCACACCTGGCACTGGGCAGCATCGAAAGCCAAGCTGCTCGGGCTGCTAACCAGTGCTGCCTGAGAATGCACAGAAAGGAGCCACAGGAGATGCAGACGTACCTGGAGTTGGGCTCGTCGTGGTTATTGCATCTGCAGAGGAAGGAAGAGAAAGAAGCAAGTGAGGGACTTAGAACAAGTGAGTTCTGAGCCTTCTCCACGTCAGGCACATAGGGGCAATTTATGAAAACACAATGTGATTTATGGACAAAAACCAACGGTACCTGAGCAGATAACGCCTGCGTCTTCATAGTGCTGACAGTTGTGGACGCCCCAGCCAGAGCTCCTGCACTGAAACAGGGAGGACTCACTCCCCGTGCACTGCACATTGTCCAGGTAAATGCTGCCACTGCCTTGTCCAAAATAGGCACTTCCCACTGCAGAAACAGCATAGCCGCATCCCAGCTGCCTGCACACAACTTGGGCATCACTGAGGTCCCAGTCGTCGTCACACACCGTGCCCCGGTTCCCATACTGGTAGATCTCAATGCGCCCCTCACACCGGTTACTGCCATTCACCAAGCTCAGGGAGACACCTGGGAAAGCAGGGAACAAGGAAAAGGTGGGAAAAGCTGCTGGCACACGGGCACCTGCCCTCACCGTTGCACTTCATCACCACACCACTTTCAAGCCACCGGGATCAACACCCTCCACTCTATTCGAATCAGAGAATCAGTAAGCTTGGAAAAGCCCTCCAAGATCCTCTGGTCCAACCACCCCCTACTACCACTATCACCCACTAAACTATGTCCCCAAGCACCACGTCCAACCTCTCCTTGAACATCCCCAGGGACGGGGACGCCAACACCTCCCTGGGCAACCCGTCCCAATGCCTGGCTGCTCTTCCTGAGGAGAAACGGCTCCTCATTTCCAACTTGAATCTCCCCTCATGGAACCTGAGCCCATTCCCTCTGCTCCTGTCACTAGATACCTGTGAGAAGAGGCCGACCCCAGCTCCCCACACCTTCCTTTCAGGGAGCTGTAGAGAGCAATGCGGTCTCCTCTGAGCCTGTTCTCTCCAGACTGAACACCCCCAGGGCCCTCAGCCTTTCCCCACTGGCCTGCTGTCCCAGGCCCTTCCCCGGCTTCATGGCCCTCCTCTGCACGCTCTCCAGGGCCTCGATGTCCTTGTAGTGAGGGGCCCAAAGCTGAAGCCAGCGCAGAGCACAGGGGGCGAGCACCTCCCCGGCCCTGCTGGCTGCACCATCCCTGACACGAGCAGGGTGCCGCTGGCCTTGCCCACCTGGGCACACTGCCGGCTCGTGGTCAGGCCAGCACTGACCAGCTCCCCCAGCTCCTTTTTCACTGCACAGCTTTCCAGCCCCTCTGCCCAAAGACTGTAGCCATGCACGGGGTTGCTGTGACCAATATGCAGGACCTGACACTTGGCCATGTTGAACCTCATCCCCTGGGGCTCTGCCCAGAGATCCAACCTGACCAGCTCCCTCTGCAGGGCCTTTCTACCTCCACAAGATTGACACTTCCTCACAACTTGGCGTTGGCTTAAAACCTACTCAGGGGGCACTTCATTCTCCCATACACATCATCAATTAAGATAGGAGAGAGAATGGGCCCCAGCACGAAACCCAGAGGAACACCACTCATGATGCAGGTGCAATCTGGACAGGGCATGCTGCAGCCCTGAGCTCTGAGTTCTCTGTGCCTGAAGAAAGGAGCCAGGGGAGATGCAGACGTACCTGGAGTTGGGGTCGTCGTCGTGCTTATTGCAGCTGCAGAGGAAGGAAGAGAAAGAAGCAAGTGAGGGACTTAGAACAAGTGAGTTCTGAACCTTCTCCACATCAGGCAATGTGGGGGCAATCTATGAAAGCATGACGTGATTGATGGAGGAAAAACAACAGTACCTGAGCAGAGAACGCCTGCGTCTTCACTGTGCGCACAGTTGTGGACGCCCCAGCCAGAGCTCCTGCACTCAAACAGGGAGGACTCATTCCCTGTGCACTGCACTTCGTCCAGGTAAATGCTGCCACTGCCTTGTCCAAAATAGGCACTTCCAAATGCAGAAACAGCGTAGCCGCATCCCAGCTGCCTGCACACAACCTGGGCATCATTGAGGTCCCAGCCGTCATCACACACCGTGCCCCGGTTCCCATTCTGGTAGATCTCAATGCGCCCCTCACACCGGTTCCTGCCATTCACCAAGCTCAGCGAGCCACCTGGGAAAGCAGGGAACAAGGAAAACTGCTGACAAAAGCTGCTGGCACACGGGCACCCGCCCTCACCGATGCATTTCAGCCCCACACCACTTTCAGGCCACCGCTATTGCCAACCTCCACGCTATTAGGCTGTGCTTTCGCCTGCCTCCGCTCTCCCATCCTTCTATTCTGGGACTCTGGTGCTTCTCTGAAAGGGATTGGGGGGGTTTGGTGGATGCAAGCTCAACGCGAGCCAGCAACAGGCCCTGGTTGCTCACAGGCCCAGCCCTGATGTGGGGTGCACAAAGCACCACTGAGCTAGCCAGTTGGAAGGAGTGCTTGCCCCAGCCTACTCAGCACAGCTGTGGCTGCACCTCGACTTCTGTGTGCAGTTCAGGGCTCCAGGAAAGAAGGATATAAAAAGATTGCAGTCATTCCAACGGGGCCCACAACAGCCCCAGGGGCATCACCATGCCCTGCCCTGGTGCGTGTGGCTCCCAGCACCGCCCTCCTGACCCTCCACACCTGGCACTGGGCAGCGTCGAAAGCCAAGCTGCTCAGGCTGCTAACCAGCGCCGCCCGAGAAGAATGCACAGAAAGGAGCCACAGGAGATGCAGACGTACCTGGAGTTGTGGTGGGAGTTGGGCTCGTCGTGGTTATTGCAGCTGCAGAGGAAGGAAGAGAGAGATGCAAGTGAGGGACTTAGAACAAGTGAGTTCCGAGCCTTCTCCACGTCAGGCACATAGGGGCAATTTATGAAAACACAATGTGATTTATGGACAAAAACCAACGGTACCTGAGCAGATAACACCTGCATCTTCATAGTGCTGACAGTTGTGGACGCCCCAGCCAGAGCTCCTGCACTGAAACAGGGAGGACTCACTCCCCGTGCACTGCACTTCGTCCAGGTAAATGCTGCCACTGCCTTGTCCAAAATAGGCACTTCCCACTGCAGAAACAGCATAGCCGCATCCCAGCTGCCTGCACACAACTTGGGCATCACTGAGGTCCCAGCCGTCATCACACACCGTGCCCCGGTTCCCATTCTGGTAGATCTCAATGCGCCCCTCACACCGGTTACTGCCATTCACCAAGCTCAGCGAGCCACCTGGGAAAGCAGGGAACAAGGAAAAGGTGGGAAAAGCTGCTGGCACACGGGCACCTGCCCTCACCGTTGCACTTCATCACCACACCACTTTCAAGCCACCGGGATCAACACCCTCCACTCTATTTGAATCAGAGGATCAGTAAGCTTGGAAAAGCCCTCCAAGATCCTCTGGTCCAACCACCCCCTACTACCACTATCACCCACTAAACTATGTCCCCAAGCACCACGTCCAACCTCTCCTTGAACATCCCCAGGGACGGGGACGCCAACACCTCCCTGGGCAACCCGTCCCAATGCCTGGCTGCTCTTCCTGAGGAGAAACGGCTCCTCATTTCCAACTTGAATCTCCCCTCATGGAACCTGAGCCCATTCCCTCTGCTCCTGTCACTAGATACCTGTGAGAAGAGGCCGACCCCAGCTCCCCACACCTTCCTTTCAGGGAGCTGTAGAGAGCAATGCGGTCTCCTCTGAGCCTGTTCTCTCCAGACTGAACACCCCCAGGGCCCTCAGCCTTTCCCCACTGGCCTGCTGTCCCAGGCCCTTCCCCGGCTTCATGGCCCTCCTCTGCACGCTCTCCAGGGCCTCGATGTCCTTGTAGTGAGGGGCCCAAAGCTGAAGCCAGCGCAGAGCACAGGGGGCGAGCACCTCCCCGGCCCTGCTGGCTGCACCATCCCTGACACGAGCAGGGTGCCGCTGGCCTTGCCCACCTGGGCACACTGCCGGCTCATGGTCAGGCGAGCACTGACCAGCTCCCCCAGCTCCTTTTTCACTGCGCAGCTTTCCAGCCCCTCTGCCCAAAGACTGTAGCCATGCACGGGGTTGCTGTGACCAATATGCAGGACCTGACACTTGGCCATGTTGAACCTCATCCCCTGGGGCTCTGCCCAGAGATCCAACCTGACCAGCTCCCTCTGCAGGGCCTTTCTACCTCCACAAGATTGACACTTCCTCACAACTTGGCGTTGGCTTAAAACCTACTCAGGGGGCACTTCATTCTCCCATACACATCATCAATTAAGATAGGAGAGAGAATGGGCCCCAGCACGAAACCCAGAGGAACACCACTCATGATGCAGGTGCAATCTGGACAGGGCATGCTGCAGCCCTGAGCTCTGAGTTCTCTGTGCCTGAAGAAAGGAGCCAGGGGAGATGCAGACGTACCTGGAGTTGGGGTCGTCGTCGTGCTTATTGCAGCTGCAGAGGAAGGAAGAGAAAGAAGCAAGTGAGGGACTTAGAACAAGTGAGTTCTGAACCTTCTCCACATCAGGCAATGTGGGGGCAATCTATGAAAGCATGACGTGATTGATGGAGGAAAAACAACAGTACCTGAGCAGAGAACGCCTGCGTCTTCACTGTGCGCACAGTTGTGGACGCCCCAGCCAGAGCTCCTGCACTCAAACAGGGAGGACTCATTCCCTGTGCACTGCACTTCGTCCAGGTAAATGCTGCCACTGCCTTGTCCAAAATAGGCACTTCCAAATGCAGAAACAGCGTAGCCGCATCCCAGCTGCCTGCACACAACCTGGGCATCATTGAGGTCCCAGCCGTCATCACACACCGTGCCCCGGTTCCCATTCTGGTAGATCTCAATGCGCCCCTCACACCGGTTCCTGCCATTCACCAAGCTCAGCGAGCCACCTGGGAAAGCAGGGAACAAGGAAAACTGCTGACAAAAGCTGCTGGCACACGGGCACCCGCCCTCACCGATGCATTTCAGCCCCACACCACTTTCAGGCCACCGCTATTGCCAACCTCCACGCTATTAGGCTGTGCTTTCGCCTGCCTCCGCTCTCCCATCCTTCTATTCTGGGACTCTGGTGCTTCTCTGAAAGGGATTGGGGGGGTTTGGTGGATGCAAGCTCAACGCGAGCCAGCAACAGGCCCTGGTTGCTCACAGGCCCAGCCCTGATGTGGGGTGCACAAAGCACCACTGAGCTAGCCAGTTGGAAGGAGTGCTTGCCCCAGCCTACTCAGCACAGCTGTGGCTGCACCTCGACTTCTGTGTGCAGTTCAGGGCTCCAGGAAAGAAGGATATAAAAAGATTGCAGTCATTCCAACGGGGCCCACAACAGCCCCAGGGGCATCACCATGCCCTGCCCTGGTGCGTGTGGCTCCCAGCACCGCCCTCCTGACCCTCCACACCTGGCACTGGGCAGCGTCGAAAGCCAAGCTGCTCAGGCTGCTAACCAGCGCCGCCCGAGAAGAATGCACAGAAAGGAGCCACAGGAGATGCAGACGTACCTGGAGTTGTGGTGGGAGTTGGGCTCGTCGTGGTTATTGCAGCTGCAGAGGAAGGAAGAGAGAGATGCAAGTGAGGGACTTAGAACAAGTGAGTTCCGAGCCTTCTCCACGTCAGGCACATAGGGGCAATTTATGAAAACACAATGTGATTTATGGACAAAAACCAACGGTACCTGAGCAGATAACACCTGCATCTTCATAGTGCTGACAGTTGTGGACGCCCCAGCCAGAGCTCCTGCACTGAAACAGGGAGGACTCACTCCCCGTGCACTGCACTTCGTCCAGGTAAATGCTGCCACTGCCTTGTCCAAAATAGGCACTTCCCACTGCAGAAACAGCATAGCCGCATCCCAGCTGCCTGCACACAACTTGGGCATCACTGAGGTCCCAGCCGTCATCACACACCGTGCCCCGGTTCCCATTCTGGTAGATCTCAATGCGCCCCTCACACCGGTTACTGCCATTCACCAAGCTCAGCGAGCCACCTGGGAAAGCAGGGAACAAGGAAAAGGTGGGAAAAGCTGCTGGCACACGGGCACCTGCCCTCACCGTTGCACTTCATCACCACACCACTTTCAAGCCACCGGGATCAACACCCTCCACTCTATTTGAATCAGAGGATCAGTAAGCTTGGAAAAGCCCTCCAAGATCCTCTGGTCCAACCACCCCCTACTACCACTATCACCCACTAAACTATGTCCCCAAGCACCACGTCCAACCTCTCCTTGAACATCCCCAGGGACGGGGACGCCAACACCTCCCTGGGCAACCCGTCCCAATGCCTGGCTGCTCTTCCTGAGGAGAAACGGCTCCTCATTTCCAACTTGAATCTCCCCTCATGGAACCTGAGCCCATTCCCTCTGCTCCTGTCACTAGATACCTGTGAGAAGAGGCCGACCCCAGCTCCCCACACCTTCCTTTCAGGGAGCTGTAGAGAGCAATGCGGTCTCCTCTGAGCCTGTTCTCTCCAGACTGAACACCCCCAGGGCCCTCAGCCTTTCCCCACTGGCCTGCTGTCCCAGGCCCTTCCCCGGCTTCATGGCCCTCCTCTGCACGCTCTCCAGGGCCTCGATGTCCTTGTAGTGAGGGGCCCAAAGCTGAAGCCAGCGCAGAGCACAGGGGGCGAGCACCTCCCCGGCCCTGCTGGCTGCACCATCCCTGACACGAGCAGGGTGCCGCTGGCCTTGCCCACCTGGGCACACTGCCGGCTCATGGTCAGGCGAGCACTGACCAGCTCCCCCAGCTCCTTTTTCACTGCGCAGCTTTCCAGCCCCTCTGCCCAAAGACTGTAGCCATGCACGGGGTTGCTGTGACCAATATGCAGGACCTGACACTTGGCCATGTTGAACCTCATCCCCTGGGGCTCTGCCCAGAGATCCAACCTGACCAGCTCCCTCTGCAGGGCCTTTCTACCTCCACAAGATTGACACTTCCTCACAACTTGGCGTTGGCTTAAAACCTACTCAGGGGGCACTTCATTCTCCCATACACATCATCAATTAAGATAGGAGAGAGAATGGGCCCCAGCACGAAACCCAGAGGAACACCACTCATGATGCAGGTGCAATCTGGACAGGGCATGCTGCAGCCCTGAGCTCTGAGTTCTCTGTGCCTGAAGAAAGGAGCCAGGGGAGATGCAGACGTACCTGGAGTTGGGGTCGTCGTCGTGCTTATTGCAGCTGCAGAGGAAGGAAGAGAAAGAAGCAAGTGAGGGACTTAGAACAAGTGAGTTCTGAACCTTCTCCACATCAGGCAATGTGGGGGCAATCTATGAAAGCATGACGTGATTGATGGAGGAAAAACAACAGTACCTGAGCAGAGAACGCCTGCGTCTTCACTGTGCGCACAGTTGTGGACGCCCCAGCCAGAGCTCCTGCACTCAAACAGGGAGGACTCATTCCCTGTGCACTGCACTTCGTCCAGGTAAATGCTGCCACTGCCTTGTCCAAAATAGGCACTTCCAAATGCAGAAACAGCGTAGCCGCATCCCAGCTGCCTGCACACAACCTGGGCATCATTGAGGTCCCAGCCGTCATCACACACCGTGCCCCGGTTCCCATTCTGGTAGATCTCAATGCGCCCCTCACACCGGTTCCTGCCATTCACCAAGCTCAGCGAGCCACCTGGGAAAGCAGGGAACAAGGAAAACTGCTGACAAAAGCTGCTGGCACACGGGCACCCGCCCTCACCGATGCATTTCAGCCCCACACCACTTTCAGGCCACCGCTATTGCCAACCTCCACGCTATTAGGCTGTGCTTTCGCCTGCCTCCGCTCTCCCATCCTTCTATTCTGGGACTCTGGTGCTTCTCTGAAAGGGATTGGGGGGGTTTGGTGGATGCAAGCTCAACGCGAGCCAGCAACAGGCCCTGGTTGCTCACAGGCCCAGCCCTGATGTGGGGTGCACAAAGCACCACTGAGCTAGCCAGTTGGAAGGAGTGCTTGCCCCAGCCTACTCAGCACAGCTGTGGCTGCACCTCGACTTCTGTGTGCAGTTCAGGGCTCCAGGAAAGAAGGATATAAAAAGATTGCAGTCATTCCAACGGGGCCCACAACAGCCCCAGGGGCATCACCATGCCCTGCCCTGGTGCGTGTGGCTCCCAGCACCGCCCTCCTGACCCTCCACACCTGGCACTGGGCAGCGTCGAAAGCCAAGCTGCTCAGGCTGCTAACCAGCGCCGCCCGAGAAGAATGCACAGAAAGGAGCCACAGGAGATGCAGACGTACCTGGAGTTGTGGTGGGAGTTGGGCTCGTCGTGGTTATTGCAGCTGCAGAGGAAGGAAGAGAGAGATGCAAGTGAGGGACTTAGAACAAGTGAGTTCCGAGCCTTCTCCACGTCAGGCACATAGGGGCAATTTATGAAAACACAATGTGATTTATGGACAAAAACCAACGGTACCTGAGCAGATAACACCTGCATCTTCATAGTGCTGACAGTTGTGGACGCCCCAGCCAGAGCTCCTGCACTGAAACAGGGAGGACTCACTCCCCGTGCACTGCACTTCGTCCAGGTAAATGCTGCCACTGCCTTGTCCAAAATAGGCACTTCCCACTGCAGAAACAGCGTAGCCGCATCCCAGCTGCCTGCACACAACTTGGGCATCACTGAGGTCCCAGCCGTCATCACACACCGTGCCCCGGTTCCCATTCTGGTAGATCTCAATGCGCCCCTCACACCGGTTACTGCCATTCACCAAGCTCAGCGAGCCACCTGGGAAAGCAGGGAACAAGGAAAAGGTGGGAAAAGCTGCTGGCACACGGGCACCTGCCCTCACCGTTGCACTTCATCACCACACCACTTTCAAGCCACCGGGATCAACACCCTCCACTCTATTTGAATCAGAGGATCAGTAAGCTTGGAAAAGCCCTCCAAGATCCTCTGGTCCAACCACCCCCTACTACCACTATCACCCACTAAACCATGTCCCCAAGCACCACGTCCAACCCCTCCTTGAACACCCCCAGGGACGGTGCCACCACCTCCTCCCTGGGCAACCCGTCCCAATGCCTGGCTGCTCTTCCTGAGGAGAAACGGCTCCTCATTGCCAACTTGAATCTCCCCTCATGGAACCTGAGCCCATTCCCTCTGCTCCTATCACTAGATACCTGTGAGAAGAGGCCGACCCCAGCTCCCCACACCTTCCTTTCAGGGAGCTGTAGAGAGCAATGCGGTCTCCTCTGAGCCTGTTCTCTCCAGACTGAACACCCCCAGGGCCCTCAGCCTTTCCCCACTGGCCTGCTGTCCCAGGCCCTTCCCCGGCTTCATGGCCCTCCTCTGGACGCTCTCCAGGGCCTCGATGTCCTTGTAGTGAGGGGCCCAAAGCTGAAGCCAGCGCAGAGCACAGGGGGCGAGCACCTCCCCGGCCCTGCTGGCTGCACCATCCCTGACACGAGCAGGGTGCCGCTGGCCTTGCCCACCTGGGCACACTGCCGGCTCGTGGTCAGGCGAGCACTGACCAGCTCCCCCAGCTCCTTTTTCACTGCGCAGCTTTCCAGCCCCTCTGCCCAAAGACTGTAGCCATGCACGGGGTTGCTGTGACCAATATGCAGGACCTGACACTTGGCCATGTTGAACCTCATCCCCTGGGGCTCTGCCCAGAGATCCAACCTGACCAGCTCCCTCTGCAGGGCCTTTCTACCTCCACAAGATTGACACTTCCTCACAACTTGGCGTTGGCTTAAAACCTACTCAGGGGGCACTTCATTCTCCCATACACATCATCAATTAAGATAGGAGAGAGAATGGGCCCCAGCACGAAACCCAGAGGAACACCACTCATGATGCAGGTGCAATCTGGACAGGGCATGCTGTAGCCCTGAGCTCTGAGTTCTCTGTGCCTGAAGAAAGGAGCCAGGGGAGATGCAGACGTACCTGGAGTTGGGGTCGTCGTCGTGCTTATTGCAGCTGCAGAGGAAGGAAGAGAAAGAAGCAAGTGAGGGATTATGGGAGGAAGGCGCGTGACCAAGTTTGCTGCCAGCACTGGGGATGTCGCTGCTGCCCTGTCACACTGGCAATGCAGAGCGTGGGGATCTCAACACGGGCATCCGGCATGGCAACAGAGCAAAACAGAAAAGGGAAATGTGGCTCTGAACCTTCTCCACATCAGGCAATGTGGGGGCAATCTATGAAAGCATGACGTGATTGATGGAGGAAAAACAACAGTACCTGAGCAGAGAACGCCTGCGTCTTCACTGTGCGCACAGTTGTGGACGCCCCAGCCAGAGCTCCTGCACTCAAACAGGGAGGACTCACTCCCTGTGCACTGCACTTCGTCCAGGTAAATGCTGCCACTGCCTTGTCCAAAATAGGCACTTCCAAATGCAGAAACAGCGTAGCCGCATCCCAGCTGCCTGCACACAACTTGGGCATCACTGAGGTCCCAGCCGTCATCACACACCGTGCCCCGGCTCCCATTCTGGTAGATCTCAATGCGCCCCTCACACCGGTTCCTGCCGTTCACCAAGCTCAGCGAGCCACCTGGGAAAGCAGGGAACAAGGAAAACTGCTGACAAAAGCTGCTGGCACACGGGCACCCGCCCTCACCGATGCATTTCAGCCCCACACCACTTTCAGGCCACCGCTATTGCCAACCTCCACGCTATTAGGCTGTGCTTTCGCCTGCCTCCGCTCTCCCATCCTTCTATTCTGGGACTCTGGTGCTTCTCTGAAAGGGATTGGGGGGGTTTGGTGGATGCAAGCTCAACGCGAGCCAGCAACAGGCCCTGGTTGCTCACAGGCCCAGCCCTGATGTGGGGTGCACAAAGCACCACTGAGCTAGCCAGTTGGAAGGAGTGCTTGCCCCAGCCTACTCAGCACAGCTGTGGCTGCACCTCGAGTTCTGTGTGCAGTTCAGGGCTCCAGGAAAGAAGGATATAAAAAGATTGCAGTCATTCCAACGGGGGCCACAACAGCCCCAGGGGCATCACCATGCCCTGCCCTGGTGCGTGTGGCTCCCAGCACCGCCCTCCTGACCCTCCACACCTGGCACTGGGCAGCGTCGAAAGCCAAGCTGCTCGGGCTGCTAACCAGTGCCGCCTGAGAAGAATGCACAGAAAGGAGCCACAGGAGATGCAGACGTACCTGGAGTTGTGGTGGGAGTTGGGCTCGTCGTGGTTACTGCAGCTGTAGAAGACAAAAGAGAAAGAAGCAAGTGAGGGACTTAGGGAGGAAGGAGACTGACCGGTTTTGCTCCTAGAACTAGGGATGTCAGTGCTCCCCAGTCGCTCTGGTGATGCAGAGCATCGGGGTCTCTGCACAGGCATCCAGCTTGCGGACAGAGCAATATAGAAATGGGAAATGTGGATCTCAACCTTCACCACAACAGGAAGAGTAGGGGCAATCTATGAAACCACGTTATGATTGATGGAGGAAAAACAACAGTACCTGAGCAGAGAACGCCTGCGTCTTCACTGTGCGCACAGTTGTGGACGCCCCAGCCAGAGCTCCTGCACTCAAACAGGGAGGACTCATTCCCTGTGCACTGCACTTCGTCCAGGTAAATGCTGCCACTGCCTTGTCCAAAATAGGCACTTCCAAATGCAGAAACAGCGTAGCCGCATCCCAGCTGCCTGCACACAACCTGGGCATCATTGAGGTCCCAGCCGTCATCACACACCGTGCCCCGGTTCCCATTCTGGTAGATCTCAATGCGCCCCTCACACCGGTTCCTGCCGTTCACCAAGCTCAGCGAGCCACCTGGGAAAGCAGGGAACAAGGAAAACTGCTGACAAAAGCTGCTGGCACACGGGCACCCGCCCTCACCGATGCATTTCAGCCCCACACCACTTTCAGGCCACCGCTATTGCCAACCTCCACGCTATTAGGCTGTGCTTTCGCCTGCCTCCGCTCTCCCATCCTTCTATTCTGGGACTCTGGTGCTTCTCTGAAAGGGATTGGGGGGGTTTGGTGGATGCAAGCTCAACGCGAGCCAGCAACAGGCCCTGGTTGCTCACAGGCCCAGCCCTGATGTGGGGTGCACAAAGCACCACTGAGCTAGCCAGTTGGAAGGAGTGCTTGCCCCAGCCTACTCGGCACAGCTGTGGCTGCACCTCGACTTCTGTGTGCAGTTCAGGGCTCCAGGAAAGAAGGATATAAAAAGATTGCAGTCATTCCAACGGGGCCCACAACAGCCCCAGGGGCATCACCATGCCCTGCCCTGGTGCGTGTGGCTCCCAGCACCGCCCTCCTGACCCTCCACACCTGGCACTGGGCAGCGTCGAAAGCCAAGCTGCTCAGGCTGCTAACCAGCGCCGCCCGAGAAGAATGCACAGAAAGGAGCCACAGGAGATGCAGACGTACCTGGAGTTGTGGTGGGAGTTGGGCTCGTCGTGGTTATTGCAGCTGCAGAGGAAGGAAGAGAGAGATGCAAGTGAGGGACTTAGAACAAGTGAGTTCCGAGCCTTCTCCACGTCAGGCACATAGGGGCAATTTATGAAAACACAATGTGATTTATGGACAAAAACCAACGGTACCTGAGCAGATAACACCTGCATCTTCATAGTGCTGACAGTTGTGGACGCCCCAGCCAGAGCTCCTGCACTGAAACAGGGAGGACTCACTCCCCGTGCACTGCACTTCGTCCAGGTAAATGCTGCCACTGCCTTGTCCAAAATAGGCACTTCCCACTGCAGAAACAGCGTAGCCGCATCCCAGCTGCCTGCACACAACTTGGGCATCACTGAGGTCCCAGCCGTCATCACACACCGTGCCCCGGTTCCCATTCTGGTAGATCTCAATGCGCCCCTCACACCGGTTACTGCCATTCACCAAGCTCAGCGAGCCACCTGGGAAAGCAGGGAACAAGGAAAAGGTGGGAAAAGCTGCTGGCACACGGGCACCTGCCCTCACCGTTGCACTTCATCACCACACCACTTTCAAGCCACCGGGATCAACACCCTCCACTCTATTCGAATCAGAGAATCAGTAAGCTTGGAAAAGCCCTCCAAGATCCTCTGGTCCAACCACCCCCTACTACCACTATCACCCACTAAACTATGTCCCCAAGCACCACGTCCAACCTCTCCTTGAACATCCCCAGGGACGGGGACGCCACCACCTCCCTGGGCAACCCGTCCCAATGCCTGGCTGCTCTTCCTGAGGAGAAACGGCTCCTCATTTCCAACTTGAATCTCCCCTCATGGAACCTGAGCCCATTCCCTCTGCTCCTGTCACTAGATACCTGTGAGAAGAGGCCGACCCCAGCTCCCCACACCTTCCTTTCAGGGAGCTGTAGAGAGCAATGCAGTCTCCTCTGAGCCTGTTCTCTCCAGACTGAACACCCCCAGGGCCCTCAGCCTCTCCCCACTGGCCTGGTGTCCCAGGCCCTTCCCCAGCTTCATGGCCCTCCTCTGGACGCTCTCCAGGGCCTCGATGTCCTTGTAGTGAGGGGCCCAAAGCTGAAGCCAGCTCAGAGCACAGGGGGCGAGCACCTCCCCGGCCCTGCTGGCTGCACCATCCCTGACACGAGCAGGGTGCCGCTGGCCTTGCCCACCTGGGCACACTGCCGGCTCATGGTCAGGCGAGCACTGACCAGCTCCCCCAGCTCCTTTTTCACTGCACAGCTTTCCAGCCCCTCTGCCCAAAGACTGTAGCCATGCACGGGGTTGCTGTGACCAATATGCAGGACCTGACACTTGGCCATGTTGAACCTCATCCCCTGGGGCTCTGCCCAGAGATCCAACCTGACCAGCTCCCTCTGCAGGGCCTTTCTACCTCCACAAGATTGACACTTCCTCACAACTTGGCGTTGGCTTAAAACCTACTCAGGGGGCACTTCATTCTCCCATACACATCATCAATTAAGATAGGAGAGAGAATGGGCCCCAGCACGAAACCCAGAGGAACACCACTCATGATGCAGGTGCAATCTGGACAGGGCATGCTGCAGCCCTGAGCTCTGAGTTCTCTGTGCCTGAAGAAAGGAGCCAGGGGAGATGCAGACGTACCTGGAGTTGGGGTCGTCGTCGTGCTTATTGCAGCTGCAGAGGAAGGAAGAGAAAGAAGCAAGTGAGGGATTATGGGAGGAAGGCGCGTGACCAAGTTTGCTGCCAGCACTGGGGATGTCGCTGCTGCCCTGTCACACTGGCAATGCAGAGCGTGGGGATCTCAACACGGGCATCCGGCATGGCAACAGAGCAAAACAGAAAAGGGAAATGTGGCTCTGAACCTTCTCCACATCAGGCAATGTGGGGGCAATCTATGAAAGCATGACGTGATTGATGGAGGAAAAACAACAGTACCTGAGCAGAGAACGCCTGCGTCTTCACTGTGCGCACAGTTGTGGACGCCCCAGCCAGAGCTCCTGCACTCAAACAGGGAGGACTCACTCCCTGTGCACTGCACTTCGTCCAGGTAAATGCTGCCACTGCCTTGTCCAAAATAGGCACTTCCAAATGCAGAAACAGCGTAGCCGCATCCCAGCTGCCTGCACACAACTTGGGCATCACTGAGGTCCCAGCCGTCATCACACACCGTGCCCCGGCTCCCATTCTGGTAGATCTCAATGCGCCCCTCACACCGGTTCCTGCCGTTCACCAAGCTCAGCGAGCCACCTGGGAAAGCAGGGAACAAGGAAAACTGCTGACAAAAGCTGCTGGCACACGGGCACCCGCCCTCACCGATGCATTTCAGCCCCACACCACTTTCAGGCCACCGCTATTGCCAACCTCCACGCTATTAGGCTGTGCTTTCGCCTGCCTCCGCTCTCCCATCCTTCTATTCTGGGACTCTGGTGCTTCTCTGAAAGGGATTGGGGGGGTTTGGTGGATGCAAGCTCAACGCGAGCCAGCAACAGGCCCTGGTTGCTCACAGGCCCAGCCCTGATGTGGGGTGCACAAAGCACCACTGAGCTAGCCAGTTGGAAGGAGTGCTTGCCCCAGCCTACTCAGCACAGCTGTGGCTGCACCTCGACTTCTGTGTGCAGTTCAGGGCTCCAGGAAAGAAGGATATAAAAAGATTGCAGTCATTCCAACGGGGGCCACAACAGCCCCAGGGGCATCACCATGCCCTGCCCTGGTGCGTGTGGCTCCCAGCACCGCCCTCCTGACCCTCCACACCTGGCACTGGGCAGCGTCGAAAGCCAAGCTGCTCGGGCTGCTAACCAGTGCCGCCTGAGAAGAATGCACAGAAAGGAGCCACAGGAGATGCAGACGTACCTGGAGTTGTGGTGGGAGTTGGGCTCGTCGTGGTTACTGCAGCTGTAGAAGACAAAAGAGAAAGAAGCAAGTGAGGGACTTAGGGAGGAAGGAGACTGACCGGTTTTGCTCCTAGAACTAGGGATGTCAGTGCTCCCCAGTCGCTCTGGTGATGCAGAGCATCGGGGTCTCTGCACAGGCATCCAGCTTGCGGACAGAGCAATATAGAAATGGGAAATGTGGATCTCAACCTTCACCACAACAGGAAGAGTAGGGGCAATCTATGAAACCACGTTATGATTGATGGAGGAAAACCAACAGTACCTGAGCAGACAACACCTGCGTCTTCACTGTGCCCACAGTTGTGGACGCCCCAGCCAGAGCTCCTGCACTCAAACAGGGAGGACTCACTCCCCGTGCACTGCACTTCGTCCAGGTAAATGCTGCCACTGCCTTGTCCAAAATAGGCACTTCCAAATGCAGAAACAGCGTAGCCGCATCCCAGCTGCCTGCACACAACCTGGGCATCATTGAGGTCCCAGCCGTCATCACACACCGTGCCCCGGTTCCCATTCTGGTAGATCTCAATGCGCCCCTCACACCGGTTCCTGCCGTTCACCAAGCTCAGCGAGCCACCTGGGAAAGCAGGGAACAAGGAAAACTGCTGACAAAAGCTGCTGGCACACGGGCACCTGCCCTCACCGTTGCATTTCAGCCCCACACCACTTTCAGGCCACCGCTATTGCCAACCTCCACGCTATTAGGCTGTGCTTTCGCCTGCCTCCGCTCTCCCATCCTTCTATTCTGGGACTCTGGTGCTTCTCTGAAAGGGACTGGGGGGGTTTGGTGGATGCAAGCTCAACGCGAGCCAGCAACGGGCCCTGGTTGCCCACAGGCCCAGCCCTCATGTGGGGTGCACAAAGCACCACTGAGCTAGCCAGTTGGAAGGAGTGCTTGCCCCAGCCTACTCGGCACAGCTGTGGCTGCACCTCGAGTTCTGTGTGCAGTTCAGGGCTCCAGGAAAGAAGGATATAAAAAGATTGCAGTCATTCCAACGGGGGCCACAACAGCCCCAGGGGCATCACCATGCCCTGCCCTGGTGCGTGTGGCTCCCAGCACCGCCCTCCTGACCCTCCACACCTGGCACTGGGCAGCGTCGAAAGCCACGCTGCTCGGGCTGCTAACCAGTGCCGCCTGAGAATGCACAGAAAGGAGCCACAGGAGATGCAGACGTACCTGGAGTTGTGGTGGGAGTTGGGCTCGTCGTGGTTACTGCAGCTGTAGAAGACAAAAGAGAAAGAAGCAAGTGAGGGACTTAGGGAGGAAGGAGACTGACCGGTTTTGCTCCTAGAACTAGGGATGTCAGTGCTCCCCAGTCGCTTTGGTGATGCAGAGCATGGGGATCTCAGCACGGGCATCCAGCATGGGAACAGAGCAAAATAGAAATGGGAAATGTAGTTCTGAACCTTCTCCACAACAGGACAATTACGGGCAATTTATGAAACCACACTATAATTGATGGAGGAAAACCAACACTACCTGAGCAGACAACACCTGCGTCTTCACTGTGCCCACAGTTGTGGACGCCCCAGCCAGAGCTCCTGCACTCAAACAGGGAGGACTCACTCCCTGTGCACTGCACATCATCCAGGTAAATGCTGCCACTGCCTTGTCCAAAATAGGCACTTCCAAATGCAGAAACAGCGTAGCCGCATCCCAGCTGCCTGCACACAACCTGGGCATCACTGAGGTCCCAGCCGTCGTCACACACCGTGCCCCGGTTCCCATACTGGTAGAGCTCAATGCGCCCCTCACACCGGTTCCTGCCATTCACCAAGCTCAGGGAGACACCTGGGAAAGCAGGGTAGAAGGAAAATGTTGGAAAAGCTGCTGACAAAAGCTGCTGGCACACGGGCACCTGCCCTCACCATTGCATTTCATCACTACAGCACTTTCAGGCCACTGGGATCACCACCCTCACGCTATTAGGGCTGTGCTTTTTGTAGAATGTGTGAATCACAAAATGGATTGGGTTGGAAGGGATCTCAAAGACCATCTCGTTACAACTCCCACGCCATGGCCAGGGACACCTTTCACCAGACCCCAAAGCCCCATCCAGCCTTGCCTTGAACACTTCATTTGTTCAGCTTAGAGAAGAGCATCCTGAGGGGTGAGCTCGCTGCTGCGTATGCCTTCCCCTCGATGGGGAATGGTGAGGGAGAGACCATTCCCTCTTCCATCCAGTGACAGTACAGAAGGAAAGGCCTGAAACCTGCCTCAGGGAAGGCTCAGCTTGGACGTTAGGAACAGGGTCTTCGCTGAGAGGCAGGCCAGGCACTGCTGCAGCCTCCCTGGCAAGTGGTCATGGCCCCAGGCCTTTGAGTGCCGAAGAAGCATTTCCACAATGCTCCTACACACGTGCTGGAGATGGACTCGATGGGCTTTGTTATTCGCTCCCAACTATGGATATTCTATGGGACTGGGACTCCATGGAAGAGTTAAAACCCACCCTGGCACTCAGCAACTGATGAAACCCAAAGGGAGTGCACACAAAACACTGCGAAAATGCAGACGTACCTGGAGGAACAGTTGCTGGGAAGCCAACTGTGATTTCGTCTGTCCGACCTGTTGAGGGAGGAAGAGAGAGAAGCAAGTGAGGCACTTCTGGATGAAGGAGCAATCGGGACAGGGCACGGTGCATCCCTGAGCTCTGCGCTCTCCATGCCTGCAGGCAAGGAGGACCACAACAGCCCCAGGGGCAGCACCATGTCCTGCCCTGGTGCATGCACAACCCAGCACCACCTCCTGCCCATCCAAACCTGACACTGGGCAACATCAGACAGCCAAGCTGCTTGGGCTGCTAACCAGTGCCGCCCGAGAAGAATGCACAGAAAGGAGCCACGGGAGATGCAGACATACCTGGAGTTGTGGTGGGATATGGTCTCGTCATGCTTATTGCAGCTGCAGTGGAAAGAAGAGAAAGGATCAAGTGAGGGACTGTGGGAGGAAGGAGCGTGACCAGGTTTGCTCCCAGAACTACGGGTGTTGCTGCTGCCCGGTTCAAGTGGTGATGTAGAGCGTGGGGATCTCAGCACAGGCATCCAGCATGGGAACAGAGCAAAACAGAAATGGGAAATGTAGCTCTGAACCTTCTCCACAACAGGAAAATTACGGGCAATTTATGAAACCACACTATAACTGATGAAGGAAAACCAACAGTACCTGAGCAGACAACACCTGCATCTTCACTGTGCCCACAGTCGTGGACGCCCCAGCCAGAGCTCCTGCACTGAAACAGGGAGGACTCACTCCCTGTGCACTGCACATTGTCCAGGTAAATGCTGCCACTGCCTTGTCCAAAATAGGCACTTCCAAATGCAGAAACAGCGTAGCCGCATCCCAGCTGCCTGCACACAACTTGGGCATCACTGAGGTCCCAGCCGTCGTCACACACCGTGCCCCGGTTCCCATACTGGTAGAGCTCAATGCGCCCCTCACACCGGTTCCTGCCATTCACCAAGCTCAGGGAGACACCTGGGAAAGCAGGGGAGAAGGAAAACGTGGGAAAAGCTGCTGACAAAAGCTGCTGGCACATGGGCACCTGCCCTCACCATTGCATTTCATCACTGCACCACTTTCAGGCCACTGGGATCACCACCCTCCATGGTATTGTGCTCTGACTTTCCCTCTTTCTGCTCTCCCATCCTTCTATTCTGTGACTCTGGTGCTTCTTTGAAAGGGATTGGGGGGGTTTGGTGGACATGAGCTCCATGCAAGCCAGCAACAGGCCCTGGCTGCCCACAGGCCCAGCCCTGATGTGGGGTGCACAAAGCACCACTGAGCTAGCCAGATGGAAGGAGTGCTTGCCCCAGCCTACTCAGCACAGCTGTGGCTGCACCTCGAGTCCTGTGCTCAGTTCTGTGCAGCTCCATGCCAGAAGAAGGATATAAATAGATTGCACACATACTAAAGGAGGACCACCGCGATCGGGAAAGGGCTAGAGAGGTTGAAATTTCCAGGAGAGGCCAAGGCCACTTGTTTGGTTCAGATTAGAAAAGAGGAGCCTGAGGGGTGAGCTCGCTGCTGCGTATGCCTTCCCCTCGATGGGGAATGGTGAGGGAGGCACCGATCTCTTCCATCCAGTGACAGGACACGAGGAAAGGCCTCAAACCTGCCTCAGGGAAGGCTCAGCTTGGACGTTAGGAACAGGGTCTTCACTGAGAGGCAGGCCAGGCACTGCTGCAGCCTCCCTGGCAAGTGGTCATGGCCCCAGGCCTTTGAGTGCCTAAGAAGCATTTCCACAATGCTCCTACACACGTGCTGGAGATGGACTCGATGGGCTTTGTTATTCGCTCCCAACTATGGATATTCTATGGGACTGGGACTCCGTGGAAGAGTTAAAACCCACCCTGGCACTCAGCAACTGATGAAACCCAAAGAGAGTGCACACAAAACACTGCGAAAACACAGACGTACCTGGAGGAACAGTTGCTGGGAAGCCATCTGAGATTCCGTCTGTCCGACCTGTTGAGGGAGGAAGAGAGAGAAGCAAGTGAGGCACTTCTGGATGAAGGAGCAATCGGGACAGGGCACGGTGCATCCCTGAGCTCTGCGCTCTCCATGCCTGCAGGCAAGGAGGACCACAACAGCCCCAGGGGCAGCACCATGCCCTGCCCTGGTGCATGCAGAACCCAGCACCACCTCCTGCCCATTTAAACCTGGCACTGGACAGCGTCAGACAGCCAAGCTGCTTGGGCTGCTAACCAGTGCTGCCTGAGAATGCACAGAAAGGAGCCACGGGAGATGCAGACGTACCTGGAGTTGTGGTGGGATATGGTCTCGTCATGCTTATTGCAGCTGCAGTGGAAAGAAGAGAAAGAAGCAAGTGAGGGACTATGGGAGGAAGGTGCGTGACCAAGTTTGCTGCCAGCACTGGGGATGTCGCTGCTGCCCTGTCACACTGGCGGTGTAGAGCGTGGGGATCTCAGCACGGGCATCCAGCATGGCAACAGAGCAAAACAGAAATGGGAAATGTGGCTCTGAACCTTCTCCACAACAGGAAAATTACGGGCAGTTTATGAAACCACACTATAATTGATGGAGGAAAACCAACACTACCTGAGCAGATAACACCCGCGTCTTCACTGTGCCCACAGTTGTGGACGCCCCAGCCAGAGCTCCTGCACTGAAACAGGGAGGACTCACTCCCTGTGCACTGCACATCGTCCAGGTAAATGCTGCCACTGCCTTGTCCAAAATAGGCACTTCCAAATGCAGAAACAGCGTAGCCGCATCCCAGCTGCCTGCACACAACTTGGGCATCACTGAGGTCCCAGCCGTCATCACACACCGTGCCCCGGTTCCCATACTGATAGATCTCAATGCGCCCCTCACACCGGTTCCTGCCATTCACCAAGCTCAGGGAGACACCTGGGAAAGCAGGGGAGAAGGAAAATGTGGGAAAAGCTGCTGACACACCGTCCCCAGCTCCCAGCTATGGTTCTGGGACTCTATGGAAGAGTCAAAGCCCACCCCGGCACTCAGCAACTGATCAAACCCAAAGGGAGTGCACAGAAAACACTGTGAAAATGCAGACGTACCTGGAGGAACAGTTCCTTGGAAGACAGGTGTGATTCCGTCTGTCCGACCTGTTGAGGGAGGAAGAGAGAGAAGCAAGTGAAGCACTTCTGGATGAAGGAGCAATCGGGACAGGGCACGGTGCATCCCTGAGCTCTGCGCTCTCCATGCCTGCAGGCAAGGAGGACCACAACAGCCCCAGGGGCAGCACCATGTCCTGCCCTGGTGCATGCAGAACCCAGCACCACCTCCTGCCCATCCAAACCTGACACTGGGCAGCATCAGACAGCCAAGTTTTTTGGGCTGCTAACCAGTGCCGCCCGAGAAGAATGCACAGAAAGGAGCCACGGGAGATGCAGACGTACCGGGAGTTGTGGTGGGATCTCGGGTCAGTGTGGTTGTTTTGTCTGCTAAGGGAGGAAGAGAAAGAAGCAAGTGAGGGACTATGGGAGGAAGGAGACTGTCTGGGTTTGCTCCCAAATATTTGCTCAGATATTGCTGCTGTCCAGTCACACTGGCTATGCAGAGTATAGAGGTCTCAGCATGAGCATTCAGTGTGGGGACAGAACAAAATAGAAAAGGCAAATGAACCATCACTCTTTCTCATAAACCAAGCTGAGTTTCTTGTTGGAAATGCCATGTTTAAAGATCGGCTACATTTGTCCACACTGGGGAGAAACAACCTCAAGTGAGGAATATTTTCCATGAATAGCCCTCATCCATAACGATGCAGTGCAATCTCTCCAGGATCTCTGCACTCTCCATGCCTGCAGGCAAGGCACACGACAGCCCTAGGGGCAGCACCATGCACTAGCCTGATGTGTGTGGCCAAGCTGCTTGAGCTGCTAACCAGTGCAGCCCGAGAAGAGTGCACAGAAAGGAGCCATGGCAGACGTACCTGGAAATGTACTTGTGCCCAGAGAGCTTCTTGAGGTAGTTGTAACTGTGGATTAAGGAAAAGCAATAATTAAGTGAGGGACTTTGGGAGGAATGAGCATTACAAAGCTTGTTCCCAGTACTGGCTTATTCATCGATGTGCTTTCATAGTTTCCACACTGTGAGACATGATCTTGTACTTGGATATGGGATTCTTTCCAAAAGAGAGAATTTCTCCAGAATTACTCCTTTTTCATTTTTATCTACTTCTCAGCTAGACACTTGTGTATTTAGTATCAATCTAACGTAGAAACTGACAGAAATACAATTTTTAAGCAATTAAAAATAAATCAATAAAAACTATGCAGATTACTTTTTCTAGGGCTATAAATTTCAGTTGAGACAATGGGTTTACAATAGGAAAACAAAATAGCTGGACAAACTTTTTTCTGAGACATACTCAATCCACGCAACGACTGTTACAACAGCACACTGATGCATCTTCTGACAAGACAGACAGGAGAAGTGTGAGGGAGAGTTGCTGAAAATGTGTTTTAGGAAAAGGGTCTGCTGTATATTTTTCCCACCAATATGTTTTAAATACTGGAAGGATGCAAAGGATGTTTTTTTATTCATAGCTGCAGAGAACAACAGATAGGTTTCAGCAAACAGACAGGTTTCCCTAGAAGGAGTATAACACTTTTTTTTTTTTTTGTGCCTCTGTATTAGAAGCACATGTGCCTGAAGTCCCCTTGTTAATGCAAACCATGATGCTAACAGGCGTAATACTGCTCAGGAGGTGTCTGCTGAGAATGGCAAGTCCAAGATATCACCCTTGTGAAATATCAATAGTATTTAGAAAGTCCTTGGTGATACTAAATGTTGGTTTCTGAGAAAGCACAACCTACCTGAACACTATCACTGTTATGATTTGGTTGTGGAAATGTGCAAGGCTGGGTTTTTACAGTCTCCAGGTTTTCCATCTGTGTGCATGACCATCTCAGTGGCATAACTGGGAGGAAAATTCATGTCCCTGGTACTACATGATGCCATGCATGATAGCAACTGTGTCTTACTATTGTGCTTCGATTAAGTTATATAAAGTTAAATAAGTATTGGGTGAATCCATAAGCATCTAGAAGGTTAACCTTGAATTATTTTAAAGCAAGTATACATTATAGCCAATGACATTTCTTCTTGATTTCATATTGAAGAACACAGATTTATGCGAAATCTTTTATTAGTACTTTCAAGGTAGTTTATTTTTTTCTAAATTTGGTTTAATCTATGCTACAGGACACTACTATAAAAGTTGGAACGATATTGGTTTCATTGTAATAAATTTACTTAAATATAAATAATAATTAATCACAATCTTAGATGGATCATATTTTTAATAAGACAACATGATGCTATCAAATTGTAGCCCATTTTACATCCAATCTTTGCACAAAGTTGATAATATTAGCACATGAGTTACATGTATGGAACCACTGCAGAAGCGTAAGACATCCCCTTTTTTCTACTTTTTTTTTTTTAAATACTGGTTTTAAAAATTTTAAGTGGTTTACCTGCGGTGGCATCCAGAAGAGCTGTACTTAAGAGGAAAAGCAAGATCTTGTTGGTACCCATCTTGCCAAGAGGTGCCAATAACACAGAGCATCAGAATTTATACTTCTACACCTGTGAAAGGGTGAGGCTTCCAAGGCCAGTCTGTCCAAACAATAGGTGATTATGAAATATAGTTTAACAGTCATGGTCCACGTTATGTCTGATTTCTTATCCAATATTTTTATGACTACCTGATCTTTACAGAAAGATAACCTATGTAGAACAAAGTTTCCAGTTCCTGTAAAATTTGTGCTGTCGTCACTAATACAAATTATCTTAACTATATATTTGACATTTGTACAGGCACAGCATTACCTTTGGAACCAGACTGGTGAACCTATGTGTTTCTTTGCACCTACCATTCCAATTTTATTTATTTGCTGCTTGTAGCTAATGGCTTAATTAAGCAGACTGTAATGCATTGCAAGGTGAGGCATCAAATTCGTACCAGGCTTTCTGATGCATCCTTCAAGAAAGAATTCTGGTCTCATATATGTTTATATTTCTGATGGTTTCCTCTTGAAATTACACGTTTGCTTCTCTGTTGCTTGTCAACAAAGAGCACATCATACATGCGATTGAGTCTGGTATCAAAAATAAATTAATGTCAGCTATTTGTTAAATACCCTTACTAAGCCTAACCAGGGACCTCTGTTGAGCTTGCTCTGGTTTAGCAATGTCTTCCCTCAATCTACCACTATGCTCCTTAGCCGAATTTGACAATAAAGCTTCCTTCAACCTTTTGAATCATGAAGTTTATCAAAAGAGAAAGAAATATGGGTTGAAGAAAAACCAAAAGTTCTGTTGAACTGGTTTCATTGCTTGGTCTGTGTGAAGTCTTAATGCAGTTTTAGAATGCTTAGGGAACAACAGCCTGTCCTGCTAATTTGTTAGCTGGAGTCAATATATTTCACTTCGACAGTTTCTCCTCATGTGATGAGAAGAAACACAGGCCAGCTGAAAATAGGACATTTGTTGCTCTAATATTCCGTTCATTGCACTTCATCCAGGCTATACTTATCTGTCCATTTTGGCTATGACACAAACACCAATCAAACCGCATAGTTGACATAATTCGTGATTCCTGATGGTAGACTCCAACCTTCCTCCTGCAGCAAGGCACAGCTTGGGTCTAGAAACAAAGGGAATAAGGAATTCTCTTTCTGAAAAGGTTAACAGCACTAGAATAGAGGAAGAAAGGACAAAAGACCAGGGTCCAGAAACAGAATCAGAAGTTGTCAAAGCAGTCACTGAGAAGAGCAAACAAACTGGAGCACAATGGTAAATACAACTGATTGTATTCATGTAATGAAGAAATGGAAGCATGAACATTGCTATTCACAGCTCTGCTGTTCCTGACAAAAGGAAAAACAATACCATGTGCTCAGTGGAGTGATCACACATCATGATTCGGAAGGGGCTGTAGGGTCATTTTCCGTCCTCTAAATTCTTGAAAAATAACATTTTTGTACAGGCCAAGGTGCTCAACCAGCTGGAAGGCAGTTTTGCAGGCAAGGAACCTGGGGGTCCTGGGGAGCAAATTGACCATGACCCCACAATGTGCCCTTGCAGCAAAGGTGCCAATGGCATGCTGGTGCCACATTCAGAAGCGTTGCCAGCAGTCAAGAGAGGTGATCCATTGTCTCCTGCACTCAGCACTGGTGACCATGCTGGTATCACACCGGTGGCTAACTCAGCTCCACCACACCGCTCTCTTACTCCCCCTCCTACACAGAACAGGTAGAGAAAATATGAAAAAAAAAAGGAAAAAAAAACCTCATGGGGTGAGATAGTGACAGGGAGATTACTCACCAGTTACCATCATGGGCAAAACAGGCTCAAAGTGAGGGAGATTAATGTCAGTTGTCGCTTACTACTAACAGACTAGAGCAGTGAGATCTAAAAGTGAACAAAAACCACCTTACCGTCCATCCACCCTCCCCTACCTCCTCATGAGCAGTGCAGGGGAATGGGGGCTGTGGTCAGTCCCTGACCCTTTGTCTCCGCCACGCTGTCATGGTCCCTACTCCCCATGGGGTCCCTCCCACAGGATGCCATCCTTCCCAAACTGAGCCTGCAGGGGCTGCCCACAGGCAGCAGCTCTTCAAGAACTGCTCCCTACACGACTCCATGCCATGGGGTCAACAATTGGCACAGGTTGCCCAGCAAGGCTGTGGATTTCTCCATCCTTACAGATAGTCAAATCTGACTGGGCACAGTCCTGAGCAACCTGCTTTTGGTGACCCCACCTAGAGAAGGAAGGTGGACCAGATGATCTCCAGAGGTGCCAGTCAGCCTCAGCTGTTCCGTGGTACCATGAATAGAAAATTTATGGATGATGTCAAGGAGGTTCAAGAACAGAAGAGGACTAGAGGTGGAGTGGTTTAATTTATCCACATTAAATCTGCAAGCACAGCTCTTTATTACAAACTAGGCTTTCAGAGTTCTTGCCAGGCCTCACCCTATTCCAGCCTAAGAGCAAATGTCTGACATTTCCAGTCAACATTTTTAAGTTAGCTTAGGACTTGTATCTTCAGATTTAATAACAGGTAGCTTTGATTTACGTCTGCTAGAATGCCAGCATCCTCTGTACAAAATAATCCCTTAGTACCTCTACTTTATAGTGCACATACCAAAATCACAGCAGGAACTCTCCTGTGAAATGACTCCTCACTCATTTAGTAGTTGCACAGTGATTACTTCCCAGCACCAACTCACCTACAGCAGGTTATTCAACTTTTATGCTACTTTACAGCGTATTCAAACTGTTAAGCAGCAAACTCCTAGAGAAAGCTGAAATTAACCCACATAAATCATTTTGTCTAGAAGATTTTAACCATTCCAGCTCCTTTCAAGACCATGTTCCCATGTCTTGTTTTAACTAGACAGATTTTTCCCTTTGTTCTCAGAACATGACAATAGCTTACTTCTAAAGACTTTCAATGACTTTGAGAACTTGGAAAAACTCTTTAAAACTAATAATCTCACCACAAAGTGATATCTTTGTCAAGGACATTCCCTTCATCCTATATACCTGCCAGAACTTGTCACCATCTAAAAATTATCCTGTGATTAAACATAAAAATGCAAAGAAAAAGATGAATTAAGCTACTTAAAAATAATACATTTTATTTGCAGAAAATATTATTGGATAAAAAAAAAAAGTGTGCTTTTTTTTTTTTACATGTGGTATTTGAGGAAATTCGAAAGCTAATAGAGTAAGCAGTCCTTTTTGTTATTTGTCATACTAAATTTCAGTCCCATGTCTCATCATATCTCTGTTTCAAGTATACAGATGTGGGGAGGAACACCTGTAGTTCTTAGTGGGGAAAAAAAAAAAAAATTACAAATACTTAACTCTTTTGACCCTACAGAAGCCAACAGGACTAACAGTCTTGATTCCCAGAGATAAGTTTACAGTGATGGCCAGTGCTGGTTTTCATTATCAGCCCAACTTATGTAGGTGTTCCCCAAGATTTCCTAACTTGTAGCTTGCACAGCAGATATCTACATTGTGCTGCCCAGAGCTGTATCTCGTGGATTTTATCTTGTTTCAGAGGTTAAAAAGCAGAAAAAAAGCAAGGGTCATAATGGAAAAGTCCAGATTACTGGGTTTTGATTTTCTCAGCTGAAGGACCCAAGCGTTTAAAAGCTTTCAGACAAGCTCTGGAAGAAGAACAGGGGAGGCTCTCATCCTTGCACATACTGAACTTCAGCAGGGCAACTGGATTTTTGCCAGGGTAACAAGCCCTACCACCTATATAGACAGAGGTGTATTAGAAAATCCCCAAAACAAACCAGAAAAGCTGGTCATCATGGACAACGGGAAGTTCAATTAAAAAGGAAAAAAAAAAAAGTCTCTTGAGGTAAGACTGAGCCAAAACATAAACTCCTTGCTAACACTTCTCTTCTTACACAATCCGTGCAACTAGCATTTCTGGTAAGTGCTGACTGAAATGTGAGGAGGTTGTTTATAGCTATCGTTAATCAATAAGCAGATTTCTTATGTTCATGTCACCAAAGCAGCAATATCACCTGCTGTGAAATTCTTGGTGATTTACAGACCTATCCCAACAGAAGAATGATTATTTAAATTTTCAACAGCTCTATTCTCAATAACATCTTTTCAAAATTTAACTTCTCCAAAACATCCATCTCTTCCAAAGAAGAGCTTGCACAATTCCTGGCCTTGTTGATGGAGCCATGCAAGGCTAGGAAGACCACTTGCATGGCCAAGGCATTGTCTTTCAGACTTCAAGAAAGATAATCAAACCTGGTGCTATGCTGATAAGGTGACTGGTACAGACTGTAGGAAGTTTAACGTCTGGTAATACTTTTTAACAATAGAATTTATTAACACATTCTATAATAAGTCACTTATAAACCCTTTGCATGAGGAAGAATTAGGTACGTCTGTTGCAGGAAATGGAACTGAAACTAAAAAACATATCGACCCAAAGCACTTGTTCAGCTCTGGGGCGTATCTGTCAACCACCAACAACGATAAATTCTTTAAATCAATATCTAGTAAAATAATTCTTGTTAGAAAACTAGATCTGTTCTGAACTTTGATAAGTGTAATGAAGAAATGCAATGAAAAATATTGTGTTAAGAAATATGACAACTGAATATGACTGCGTATCTTTTGCAAGATTAACAACAATATAATTCCACTTTAAATGACAAATCAAAGTCGAGTTCCAAAATAACATTTCCCTAAATGTTTGGTTTTACTTCTTGTGGAAGCTTGACTTAGGAATGTGTATTTTTAATAGTTAAAATCGTCACCAACGGGAAAAAAAAAGTAAATCAAATTTTTTTCTTCATATCTCCAATCTAATACTTAGTCCAATATGACCCTGCTTTCCGAGCTGTATCTATTTCTTATTTTCCACTGTATCAGGATGGAGCGCAAAGTGCAGTATGCTCAACTTCTTTTTTTCTTTCTTTCTTTTTTCACACCTAACTGTGCGGGTCATTTCTGCCAGTGTGGAAATGTGTTTTTTATAATATGGTAGGTGCCTCACATGTGATACTCTGTGAAGCAACAGGAGCATTGTACTTACTAAATTAAAGGTATAAATACACCTGTTCCTCTCCCCTGCCTCCCCATTACTATGCATTATATAAAAATTTGTAGACAAGGAAAGGAAGTTAACGAATTTCACCACACCCCATGAAGTCAATTTTACACACTTAACGATGCATTATACGTTGCACTATATAATCACAGTTTAACTGGTAGCCAACGTAGGTCATTAAAATTAAACATTAAAATTAGCAACAAAACTTCGCAGTTGTTTATGTGCATAACTTTTTTGCTATGAATAGTCTCCTGAAAGTTTTGGAAATACTGAGCATAGTTAAGTGTTTGCCTACCTCTCTGCAAAACCAGACCTCCAAGATACTTCTCAAAATCCATTATGAAGATGTTTGCTGAAATGCTTGTGGCTCAGGTGATGCCCTCAGTTCATACTTTTCACAATGATGGTGCATACGGAGGGCACCATGCTTCAAGATCCTACACTGGAAAACTTCCAAAGGCCAAGCCAGCCTATTAAATGCCTTTCTACAAAGCCCAGCACAACTTCAGCATGACCATACCAATGTCAAGCAGTAGGTTTTGTACGTTAGTATGAAGACAAAACATGAGTGCTCTCAGGTAGTTAGAACAAGCAATGGGGTCTAATGGGCTCCAGCCTGTGCTTGGCATTACCTAAATAGCAGCCAAGCATTAGTTTAAAGAAGAGAGCCTAGAAGCTGGCCATAGAATAATGCAGGGCCAAGCACTGGCCAACCACAATTCCTCAGCTGAGTTACGCTCGCTGGCCCACATGCTCACAACCTGATGATAGGACTTTAGCTTTCTAACCCAGTCACCTTGGACCTTGCAAGTACATCCTTGTTAGATAAGAATTTTGTATTGCTTTATTTTTCTAAAAAAAAATCAGAAGGGAGGGAAAGGTGAGGTATGCACCCTAAAATGAAGTGATTAAAATATGTTATGGATTTCATTGACATTCAGTTTTATTAGATTGATTGCAAACTCAACAGATGTGGTCCAAAAACAGTGAAGATCTATAGAATTGTTTAAAACAAATATCCTAAAAGGATTATACTTTGTGTTTGCAAGTTAGGTTTTGCAAGAATCTCATACATCTCACCCCCTGTAAGGTCTATATTTCTATCCTGAGGATTTCATTGTGCCGCAGCAGCCTTTGGTGTTGCCTGGTTTGTGTGAATACAATAATATTATAAATCCACTCTGTCTTGTCATATGGATGCATGAATCATCCTTTCAAAAAGGGAAAAATACAAGAGCCACTGACTTATTCCATTGTACGCTTTGTAGCTGCCACCCCATTTTGTAGTAAAATTAGTGAAGCTTTGAACCAAGAACCTGAGCTAAGAACAGTAATAATATAAGCTTTCCTTGAACTGACAAAAAGCTTTGAAAGACAAATAAATATAAGACGAGCCTTTTCAAATAAGCATTAGCAGGGCATGTAAGAATGATTTAAAAGAGTGTAAGAGTAGATGTTAACTATTACCAACCATTATTTGTATTTACTAAGAGAGCTTTAACAACTATACCCTTCACCTAAAATTTGAGATTTGATATGTAGATGCACAAGACATTACTATGAGACTTAACAACACATAACTAAGAAATGGTGAGGAAAACTTCAGATCCTAGTGCAAATAAGTCAGTGTAAATAAGGCTGTAGTGATGCTCATATCTTTTCCATTCATCCAGCAGTATTTAATAGAGGAGGAAATTATGGGGGCAACTTGGTTTGTATCTTAACAAAACCAAAAATTTATTATAGCTCTCTATCTACTCCATATTCTTTGGTCCTAAGCATTAAGTACACGTGAATCATCAAATTTTCAACCAGTCCAGTTCACAGTCTAAGTTCCACCTTTTCAATCTCCTTCTCCATCAGAAACCTTCCACGGAAAAAAATCCCCTGCAACACGCAATTACTCTATTTCAGCGGTGAGCCAAAAGACATTGAATGCTGATCTAGGTGTCTTCCTCAGGGAAGTTTTGAACACGCTCCAAAGCTGTAACAGAAGCTCAGTTTGCCCATGTACAGGTTCCTCCCCCAGATACACATAAGCAGGTTAACCTTAGGAATAATAAAAGGCAGGGCTTTGCTCTCTTCACTTTCCTAAGCATCTTAATGTTGCAATAAAGGTACCAAAGGTCGATCGACCCAAAAGGGACTGCCCTAACAGCAGCCATTAAAGGCTGGTTCTATCTGCCTTGGCCATGGCCCAGAGCCAGCCTCAAACACATGCGACGCAGTGATAAAAGACAAAAACGCATGTTCCAGAGGCATCAAACCAAAGCTGCCCAGCAATAAGGGATCCAATGAGGTGCTCCTCACTGCCAATAGCATTGTGCTCTGCCTCTGACACATCCTATTTTGTGCCAAAGTCTCTAGAGGCACAGTCCAGCTCATGCAGGCACCTGCAGGCAAGGAACAAGGAAGTACAGCACTTCTTAGAGTCACTTTCTCCAAAGATATTCTCTGAAGCTGCCCCCTGATGGGCTAGCAGAGAAAGAACTCCTGGTATCTCGGTCCAACGTGTACCATCCACAAAATTTATTGCTGCTTGGGAAAACAGGAGGAGGAGACCAACGCTCTGTTTGCTCTCTTGTGATGGCCAAAACGTTTGTTCCACACTGCATTCTGGGAAGGTCATTAAGCCCCATTAAGCCCTAATGATGCTCATTTGTTGCACCTGCTAATTGCCTTTCCTTCCAGCAGATGAATCGCCACCGTTGCATATGGCACAGCTATGCTGTTACCTAAAAAAGTTATACTGACTTCATTTGACCTTATCCATTGACAAAGAAAAATAAACGAAAGACTTTCAAGTTGGTTTCCAGAATTGCCTTTGGTTGAGAGTGAAGTGCTAGGCTATAATTATCCCATTGTGGTAATAGCATGTTAAGGATTTGTATGAGTTTTACAGATGTACCTGTGTTAGCCAGTAAGTCACAGACGTACGACATTACACAGGGCTTATCTCACAGAAGATCTGGGCCAGTGACAAATAAAGTTCTAGACCAGGGAGACAAATAAGGTCTTCCTGGATTTTTCCAGAACCCAGGTATGTCATGTGCCTGTGTTTTTACAGAAGAATCCCATATATACACAGCATGTTGCTTGGAAAAAATTCTTTATTTTACATGATGCTCATTGAAACAGGAAAACTTCTGAGTTCAAATGCAAAGATGGTTGCAGGAATGAAAACAGAAATATCACACTAGAAACACTGCCTTCCTGATTTGGTGATTACATATTTTATATTGAAAATCAGCCATAATTGAAAGTAGCTCAAATCTACATTTTCTCAACAAGAATCTTCCTGAAGAACTAGTCATAAAACATCCAGACATTATATATCAGGATCCATACGCAATTGGAAGAATCATTTCTCTCTCTCTTTTTTTTTTTTTTTTTTCAGTCATGTATGCTTGTCTAGGTATTTTAGCTGCATAAAATTTTATCCATCTGGAACATTTGATTATGCCATGCAAAATTTCATCTCCACCTCAGAAAATCTGAAGTGATAGAACAGGACTTAAAAGGAATCTTACCAAAGTATTAAAGCAGTACTTGTATTCAAATATTTTGCCTACTAGCACTGACTGTAGTAGCAACAGAAAACACTGCAGGGAAGCTTCAATAGTCCTACCCTTACCTGAAGGATAAATTGAAATATACACATCGCATCATGATTTATTGTGGAGCCTTTCTGATATCTGTTGCCTTTCAGAGGTACTTAGGTAGGTCCTGTTACTGGTTATCATGCAGCACACATTGTCTGATGGACTCACAACTCCCCTGTGGAAAGGAAGGGCTATTGATCTTAATTTACATCTGAGGAAACTAGAAACAAACTCTTGTTTGGTGTGGAGCAAGAACTGGCCATGTGGGTTCCCCACAACCCAGGCTATATTTTTCACTGGCAGAGGCCAGATATCCATCTTGAGAGGAGGAAGCTGATTAAGATGGAGTGTTAAGATTTAACAGCCTAATATTGTAGGTGGCAACTGACTAATTTGAAGGTTGTTACTTGGCTGCAAACCTTTGCTGGTCTTCTGGCTTCATTCAGTGCTGAGTTATGTCAAGCCCATCTCTTCCCATGAGGTTATCTATCACCACAGAAAGCCTTTAATCTTGAATTGTCGAGGAGATTACTCAATGCAAGGACTTTACTCAATCCATCAAATTACTCAACCAATGTGATCACCTGCAGGTGTTTACCAAATCTCATGTGATCTGATATGGAATTGATTTCTTCACTGTGTTTCAAAAGAAACCAACAAGAGTGGGAACAGCAGCTGTCAGGGCCATGACAGCAGTAATAAATGGAATATGAGAGATACCAATTGGAGCAGGAGCTGAATTCATGTTCTCCAGGATGCCAAAAGAGTCCGGTTCTAGGAAGGATGAGAGGTCCTGGTTACATTTGATTCCTCATCTTGTTATTTCCAAAACATAAAAAATGGGGAGAAAATGGCATTCTAGGTGTCATTTAAATATTAATCTATTTCTTGCACTCTGATACATCCAAGGTACATCAATCACTTCCCTGGGCAACATGTTCCAATGCTCAGTCACCCTCTCCATGACAAAATCCTTCCAAATATCCAACCTAAACCTCCCCTGGCACAACTTGAGGCCATTTCCTCACAGCCCATCACTTGTCACCTAAGAAAAGAGACTGACACTCTCCTCACTGAAAACTCCTTTTGGGTCTCCCCTCAGCCTTCTGTCCTCCCGAATAAACAACACAATTCCCTCAGTTGCTCCTCATAAGTCTTGTTCTATAGTCCCTTCATCAGCTTTGTTGCTAGAGTCTGCACACACCTGAGCAACTCAATATCCTTCTTGTAGTGGGGAAGCCAAAACTGAACACAGTATTTATATATAGATCACTTGCGTCCTAACAGATGAATCAAGATCTAAGAAAGTTTAGGGGGAAAATAAACATAGATTTCTAGGATTGTTTTTTTCAGTACAGGCTGAAGCTATTCAGAGAAAATATAAATGTGTAAATCTTTTGAATTATGTTCCAAATACGTCTAGAATAGATGTATTCTAAATAGATCTTCAAGTTTTAATTTCAGCTTCCAGCAAACATGAAGAACCTTTGTCTCACTTAATTGATCTAATATTAACTATGTGAACAAATAATCATTTGAAATATGGGCCATCCTAAAATATTATACTAAAATGATCAACTGAAATAATGATTAGTAGAATAACCGTGCACATGAAATGGTAGAAAACAATAACTGATAAGAAGTTGCATAACTGTTGCTCAACTACTGACATATTTAACTACACTGGATGAGAACTCACCTGCACTATTATTTTGGAATAATCTGAGGGGGTTTTGGAGTAATCTAGTTGTTTCTTCATTATTAAATGAAGAAGAATATACCCTAAAATTATGAGCAGTAACATTCTCCTCATTGACTACAGTCATGACCAAGCAGTTCCTCTGCCTACTCTCATCCATACACACCCCAAAACTTGAGACGTTCCATCGGGGCACTGCCTTTGATGCTATGTATATGTTCCATCAGAACACAAGAAAACAGCACTGTGAGGGTGACTGAGCAGTGGCACAGGTTGCCAAGAGAGATGTTGGAGTCTCCGTTGTTGGAGATAGTCAAGAGGCCAAGGCATAGTCCTCAGAAATCAGCTATAGGCAACTTGCCTTAGCAAGGGGGGTAGATAAGATGATCTTTAGAAATCCCTTCCAAATACATGACCATTCTGTGAGCCTCTGACCCTGAGCAGAGGCAGGAGATAATCAGAGCATCCAAACCCTCCAAACGTACCTGAAGTTGAGGCACAGTGGGAGTCGAGCTGGGGCTATCTGGCACTGCAGAATAAAGCAGCGGGTGAACGAGGAACATTTTGTCTAAGAGAAATAACCCTTTGGGTGTCAACACATCCTCAAAGGGGCTTCCAGAGCAAAGAAACCAGAAATCCCCAGTCAGAGTTGTGACCAAGCTGGACTGAGTGAAACGAATATGGTCCCAACAGCCCCAGGACTTGCTCAAGGGCATGGCCACCAGGCTACACGGCAGACCAGCACACAATTTCTCTGCCACATTAAGCAGCTGTTACATCCCAAAGGATCACTGGCAATAGCAGTGTCTCCCTGAATATCAAGGATGTTACCCAGTTTCTATAACTGCAGCCCAGACCTGAAGCCAGGACACAGGGTACATCGCTGATAAGATGGATACAAACAGAAAATTCTGCTTACCTTTCACTGGGGGCTCTGTTAGTCACGGGACTGAAAATAGAGAACATGAGAGTGTGAGGCACTTGCAATTATGGGTTCACCACAGGGACACACACACCAAACGCACAGCACACAGCAAGGGCTGGCCAGCTTTGACTAACCTCAGACAAACACCACACCGGGTCCCTTCAGGAAAATGCCACCACAGCGTAACATCCTACCTGAGCAGATGACAGAAGCAGCCCCGTGATCGCAATCAGAGGACACGTAGTCAAAAGGGCAAAACAGCAAAGAGGATTCAGAGCCGTCACAAGCCACCGCGGTCCTCTGGTACCAGGGGTACGAATCTCTCGAGGGGAAATGCTCCATCACGCTGACAGGTGAGCCGCAGCCAAGCTGCCTGCACACAACCTGAGCATCGTTCATGTCCCACTGGAAGCCACACACTTTTGCGCTCATTCCAAAATAGTCGATTTCCACATTGCCTGCACAGCGGTTGGGCCCATCGGTCAGACGCAGCTCCAGCTCTTGGAAAGGCAACGAGATGCTGCATTAGGTGTGTGGGACTCTCGTTCCAGGCAGAGACCTCTGCCTCCTCGTGCACGAGAAAGCAAATGGTGCCTGTGGTCTAGAGGAGCCCAGAGATCCTTTTCCACAAGCCCTGGCTTCCCCATGCCCTGGAACAGCCAAGGGGGGCCAGGAACCCACCACTGGCCAAATGGGCCTGTGCTCTCCATCTCCAGCTCTCAGATTCCCACCAGAGGAACTAGAGGGCACAGACTCCCTCCCACCTGCACCCCAAGCACACCCGGCCCCGAACAGCATCAGGAGCCACCCACAGCACCATGTAGGGCCAGCTGCCCCTTCCCAGGCTCTCTGCTGGTGGGTGACAAGCCTGGGGCAGCAGTGGGTATGCACATCCCAATGCACGGGGCCACAGCGCCCTGTCAGGCAGACTCACCATCGGCGATGACTGCACATGGGGAGAAGCAGCAACAGCAGCAGGGAAAAAACAGAGAGAAGAGCAAAATTAGGATAAGTCCCTTGGAAGTTGTCTGCACGCTTTTCTCTCCCCTAAGTGAGCCAAGGAAATCCCCAGTCAACAACATGCGTGGAGGAAGATCCCTTTCTTTCTGGCAGTGATGCACGCTGCCTGAGGTGTCCAAGCAGCCCCCGAACTCCTGGCAGAGATGGGCATAACCTTTCCGAGCCCAGCCAGCTTCAGTCCCAAAAAATCCCCCACTGGATCCCGTGCTCTGCCAAATCTGACCCTGCAGGCTGTTAGACCAGTGCATCCACCACGGCAGAGCTCTGGGCTGTCCTGCTGGGCTCTGTGGGGGAATCTCCCCCAGCCTGGCAAGGAACTGGCCCTGGACATACCCCAGAGCTGGCTCAGCGCGGCCACCAAGGATGCCCCAGGTCACCGCCTGCTCTGTGGCCCTGCTAAAGGCCCTGTGAATAACTACACACTCACACACACCCAGCCCCAACAAACTGTGAGCACACGAGCTTCTTCATCAGACAAATTACCGCCCAACAACAAATAGGACTAGAGCAATCTAAAGCCATTGGTATCATTATAAAAAAAAAAAAAAAAATCTTATATGTGCTACTTACTTTTATAGGGCTCGATTGCTGTTGGAACAGGTATTTCTTATTTTGGAGAAGGAGAAAACATATGTAATACTCTATGAGTTACTTGAGAAGGCAAACATAATTCAAAACTTCCCCAAAACGCTGTCCCAGTTAGCATCCCCATTACCAGAAGCCTTCATAAAAGGGAACAGCCCCTTTTCACAGAAGTTCTGTGAAAGCTGCACAGAAAAACTCCCTCACTGCGGCCTCACCACCAGCGGGAAGCATCAACAGGAGCTGTGCAGCCCCAGCCCCTCCAGATGTGCCCAACACCAAAAGAAGAATGGGAGTCGAGTTGGGGCTATCTGGCACTGCAGACAAAAGCAGCAGGTGAACAAGGACCATTTTGGCTAAGAGGAACAGCTCGCTGCAAGTCAACACCTCCCCAAAAGGCCTCTGGGACACAGAAACCAGAAACCCCCAGACAGTGTTGTGACCAAGCTGGACTGAGTGAAATGAATATGGTCCCAACAGCCCCAGGACTTGCTCAAGAGTATGGCCACCAGGCTACACAGTGGACCAGCACACAATTTCTCTGCCACATTAAGCAGCTGTTACATCCCAAAAGATCACTGGCAGTGGCCACGTCTCTCTGAATACCAAGGAAGTTACCCGGTTTCTTTAACTGCAGCCCACACCTGAGTCTTTTGCTTTGATGGACACAGAGCACCCCCCCAATAACATGGATACAAAGAGAAATCTCTGCTTACCATTTTGCACTCGGAATCCCGAATCTGAAAGGAGAAAAACAGAGGGTGTGAGGCACTAGTAGTTAGCAATTATGGGTTCACCCCAGGGACACACACGCCAAACCAAATGCACAGCACACAGCAAGGGCTGGCCAGCTTTGACTAACCTCAGACAAACACCACACCAGGTCCCTTCAGGAAAATGCCACCACAGCTTAACATCCTACCTGAGCAGATGACAGAAGCAGTCCCGTGTTGGCATTCGGAGGACACATAGTCAGAAGGGCAAAACAGCAAAGAGGATTCAGAGCCGTCACAAGCCACCGCGGTCCTCTGGTACCATGGATATGAATCGCTCGAGGAGAAATACTCCATCACGCTGACAGGTGAGCCGCAGCCAAGCTGCCTGCACACAACCTGAGCATCGTTCATGTCCCACTGGAAGCCACACACTTTTGCGCTCATTCCAAAATAGTCGATTTCCACGTTGCCTGCACAGCGGTCGGGCCCGTCGGTCAGACTCAGCTCCAGCTCTTGGAAAGGTAACGAGATGCTGCGTTAGGTGTGTGTGGGAGCCACCCGCAGCACCACATAGGGCTGGCTGCCCCGTCCCGGCCTCCCTGCTGGTGGGTGACGAGGCTGGGGCAGCACTGGGCATGTGCTTTGCAGTGCATGGGGCCACAGCGCCCTGTCAGGCAGACTCACCATCGGCTATGACTGCACATGGGGAGAAGCAGCAGCAGCAGTAGGGAAAAAAAGAGAGAAGAACAAAATTAGGGTGAATCCCTTGCGAGTTGTCAGCACACTGTGCTCTTTCCCAAGAGACCCCAGACAATCCCCAGTCAAAACAGATCTTGCAGGGGAAGCTCTGGCTCAATGCCTGCTCTATGACCCTGCACAGGTCCTGTGAGGTTCGGCTGAGGGCACTGGGGTTGTTTAGTCCGGAGAAGAGGACGCTCAGGGGAGACCTCATTGCTCTCTACAGCTCCCTGAAAGGAAGGTGTGGGGAGCTGGGGGTCGGCCTCTTCTCACAGATAACTGTGATAGGACCAGAGGGAATGGCCTCAAGTTGTGCCTGGGGAGGCTCAGGTTGGGAACAAGGAGCCATTTCTCCTCAGGACGAGCAGCCAGGTGTTGGGATGGGTTGCCCAGGGAGGTGGTGGCGGCACCATCCATGGGGGTGCTCCAGGAGAGGTTGGACGCGGTGCTTGGGGACACGGCTCAGTGGGTGATAGTGGTGCTAGGGGGTGGTTGGACCAGATGATCTTGGAGGGTTTTTCCAACCCTAATGGTTCTATGATAAAGGCCCTCCACATAACTACGCGCACTCACACCTCCCCAGCTCCAACAAACAGCAAGCACATAAGCCTCTTCATTGGACAAATTACTGCTCAACAACAAAGAGGACTAGAAAAATCTAAAGTGATTACTATCATTACCAAAAAAAAAAAAAAAAAAACGAGAGATAAATCCTATACATGATACTTACTTCCAGTGGGCTGGACTGTTGTTGGAACAGTTGTATCTATTCCAAATTTTGGAGAAGGAAAAAACAAACGTTAGTCTGTGGGTTGCTTTAGAAAGCAAACATAATTGAAAACTTCTCCAGAATGCTATCTCAGAATCAGCACCCCATTACCAGAAGCCCTCAGAAAGGGAACAGCCCCTTTACACAGAAACCAGCAACCCCCAGTCAGCATGGACCTAGCTGAAACACTTATGGTCCCAACAGCCCACTGATGGGAAAGCTGTATTTGTTGTTTCTTCTAGAGAAGAAAGAAACATACGTGATGCCCTATGGGAAAGCAAGTATAATTTGAAAGTTCTGTAATATACGTCCCCAGTCTCTAGAAACTTTTGTCTGAGAAACTGAGAAAGCTCCAGAACATTTATTATTTTTCTTAATATATATATTTTGTAGACTTCAGGACTTTTTTTTTCCCCATTAATTATCAAATTTCTTTGTGACTCCACACAAATTTCTCACGTGCAACTGGCCTGGAGAGCTCCATATGCATGTTAAGTGCAAGGACCTCTCTGAGATATCTGCTGTTTTTCACTTGATATGATCAGAAGTTGATGGCTCTGCTTCTTTTGTGGGAATAGACTATGAAAAATTCTTTTTCTCCATAGCAAGAAAAAAACAAAAAACACCTTCTTCCAGCATTTTTTCTGGTTTCATCCATATCTCACTGCAACTGGTGACATAAACTCTAGGTCAGTGCATCGGTCCCTGATAAGGGTTTTGCACAACACACCTTATGGAAAATCCTCCAGGTGGCACCAATAGATCGAGGACAACCTGTGGGAAAGGGGACTGACAGGCTAACAGGCTATCTCCTTCCAGTGCTTCCTTTAACATGACCTAGAGAGCTCAGCTGTTCTGACGTAAGGCTTTATGGGGTTACTGAAACCCTGTGAGAGGGACAGCGCGTAGACCACCACTATCCTTCCTGCATCACAGCTGACACCTCTCCAAACATCCTTGGAGAATTGTGATTTTATTTTTTTTCAAAAATCACTTCATTCAAATTAAGCTACAGTCTTAGATAATTCTATAGTCTTGTTAAAGTGAACATGCATTTTATGTACAGGAATATTTAGCAGTGTATTCCAAAAAGGTGTAGGCTTCTGCTGGCAACTGTTTAGAAACAACTCAGGGGTAACTGGGAAAGTCCTCCACAAAATGCAGTTCTCTAAGCACTGAGAATGTCTATCTACCTGTTGCTAATCAATGTAGAAATTTTTAAGCTTGGAAAACTCAAACACTTACTAACTATAGCCTAATTACTAAATAATTCAGATTATTAATTATTAAAATCTACATGGCTGGATACTATTATTATTACTCATCTCACTGGTATGCATACCAGTGAAAATCAACAAACATTTCCAAAAATGCATCTGGAATTAAACTCATCGAGCCAACACCAATAAACTCAGCAAGTACCCATTACAGAGTAAATTTTTCTATTTTTTGTGCATGATTTGCATATTAGATTAAAATCTCACCTTTAGAAAAAGCATAATTAACAGAGAAACACTTAAAAGCTTTAAAACAGGTGAGTGTGGCTCTTTAAAAATGGTTATGAATATAACCAAATGTATATATTTGTTTTAACGTTTGACTCATTTTAATAATTGTAATTTAATAATTGTCAACTTAATTATTACTTTCAGTTCCTGAAACAAAACTGATTGCCTTAATCATATTGTCACTACATTACTTTGTAAGAACTGCAGTTTTAAAAAAATACTGAGCTGATGAGTCTGGTAAGATGACAGCACAGCAGAGCAAGAAAAAAAATAGGCTATAGGATCAGGAGACAGTAACAATCCTACAATCAAAATTAATTTCACAGCGGTATTGAGGTCCTGCTCAGTCTGAGTACAAGTCACCATAAACCAGTGTACAGACCCGTAGTCAGTGAAAATATCTGTCTGTTCAAACTCTGGATAACTTTTCTCTACACATTCAGATACCTTTGTACAGGCTGTTTTTCACATGTCATTTATTATCTTAAGGTTTTAGATCAAACACTGATTTATTTAAGGTAACTAGCAATTACTTGCATTCTTTCTTGGAGAAGAGTGATGTATATATACAGTTATATGCTGAAACTGAAGTGCATGCATACGCTGATTCTGTATGAGTACATTTCATCGTCTGGGAGCCCAGTCTGAAGGGCACCTGCCTATACTGGTAGGGTGACTATGTTTGCTACAACTGGATTAGCAAGGCATTCAAATGTAAGCATCAGCTTGGAGAGAATATTTAGCAAGGTCAACTCTATGAACATTGTGCATTTTTGTATTACTTTTAAGTTACCTGTTGTTGGACGTATTGATGCTGGTGTCCAAACCGCAGATTTGCAAGCAGCCAAAAAAAAAAAAAAAAAAAAAAAAAAAGGTTGAAAGAACAATACGTGAATTAAGGTAATTAATGTACATAGAAAGTTTGCATGCACAGGATACCCTAGTGACACTGACAGAGGGATATGCTGATTTATAAAGATTAGGTCCAGCTACCATCAAGGATAAAAATCCTGCTCCAGGACAGCCTGACAGTTGGAAATCACCGACTAATACCGTGTACAACAAGACCTGTAACACTGGCCCTTAAACACACAGTTAAAGTGATTACTTAAAGTGATTACAGGATGTAAAGGAGGATCCTGACAGGGAGATATGTAATTTATCCAGCAAGTGGGGAACTTTCTGAATTTCTCACCACACTGCTCCTCACACATGCAAGGCTTTAAATCTAAATGAATTGTATGATAATAAAAGGATTAAACAACAACTCAGCATTTTCGAGGTGAACATCAATATTCCAGTTCACTTTTCAGTGTCATTCAATGCACCTCAAATATTTATGGAGGAATTAAGTAAAGAACTGAACCTGGAACCAGCACTGAATAACTATTTCCTTCCACTGTGTAGAGTTGGGGGGTAACACAGAAAAGGAAAATAAGTTTTTGCTTTCAGTTAATCAGTCCAAAGTCGAATTAGTCAAAAAAGTCAAAAAGTCAAATTAAAGACAGAACTTTGCAACTGAAAGAGGAATGGATGGAAAAATAGCAGCTGTTGCAAAGGCTTTTGATCTGTTTCTGTTCCCTCCTCCCGCACAAAGAATGCAACACCAGCTGCTTGAAAAGGAACAGCCTGTTTCTCACAGCAGCATCCTGGCACTCTGCTAAGCCAGGGAAGCCTCACATGGAAAAGGAGGTGCAAGTGATTTTGGGACAACCATCCTCCCTCCCATGAGACCCACTGATATTTGTATGGATCCCCAAAGGATGAAAATGGCCGTGCAGATCACTGCTTCTGCAACCAAATCAAATCACATTAATAGCAGGAATTAGACTATAGAAAATTAGAATAACATACAATTACAGTAATTCCTATTATATTCTAATAATTACAGTAATAATAATAACAGGAACCTGCACTATATGTTTGTCTAGAGCACAGTTATTAAACACCACTACCAATGTGTAATTGATACCAACAAACTTAATCAAATACAAAATGCATGGTTCAAAGAGCACCTCACATCCTTTAAAATAAACATGCATTTCACCAAGAAAATGCATATTTAAATTCATTACTCAAATACAAAGATTAAGAAAATTTTATCATTTGCTTTACCATGTATTTATCTGAATTTCCTTTACTAACCTCTTTAGAAAAAAATGGGTGAGAAGACAAGTTGAAATTCACTAAGCAGTTCCAGTAAGAAACTGTTAAAATAATGGACATAACTATTGATTTTCTCACCTGACAGGTTTGATCTGCTCTCAGTTTTCAACTGAGCTAAGCCGCGCTACTAAATTTAATCCTCTTTTCCCTTTAAATCTCAACATTAGCTTGATGTAAAATATAGCCATGAAGTTGATGAGAAGTGGGACTCTTTACCTGCATCCAGCTGCATATGAAGACCCATCATTACCATCCAAGACAAGATCATGGTAGTAGCCATCTTGGAGCTCCTGGTAAAAGCAGGAACCAGAATTTATAGACAGAGACTCTAAAGGGGTGTAGCAGCCCAACCTGTCCCCTCACTAAATCAATATCAAATACATTCCCTTGCTACTTGTACTTCCTTAACACATGATGATATGCTTGATTTGTTACCCAACTTTTTTATAGCTTCCTGGTTCTGCAAGATGGCAACACCTGACACCTTCCTCAGAGAAGGTAGAGATGAAAAGTGTTTCCAATTGCTGCTATCTTTCCATCCCATCCCTCTGTCACTGATGTAACATTCTTGGTTTTGGATGGTATCTGAGCCAAAGTTATTCTTTAAGTGTGTTTAGTGGATCGGAGTGGTTTTCCTTCCTTTTTTTTACTGCATATGCAGAAGTGGAAGAGCACAGTAAGAAGCAGTGGCGGGGCTTATGGAGACCTTTCTGACTGGCCTGGCCTCCCTTGGGGAGACATACCCACCTGCTGCTGAGACAACCATCACATCTCTAATTCCTTAAATTCGTTGTGAATCTAAAGTTTCAGGGACTGAGTCAAATATCATGCAAATTACCATCACATCTTTCCCAAATATTAGTCACATGTTGGTTAACTTTGGGGAGACTGAAGAGTTTGGAACCAGGGTACTGAGTTGCTTTGAACTCCCTCTAGACTGCTTTTGTGAGTATTTTTGTCCTAGTAGATGTCATATAGAAATTCAGTAGAAAGTCATTTTATCTCTTTCTGGTCTCCCCTGTTCATGCTCTGTTGGGCTGTATCTTCACTAGGGTAGTGAGACTAAGACAGTACATTTAAGCTTTGCAAGTCATCTACTGAAAATTGCAAACCACCAAATTCATCTTTCGAATTTTGTCACAAACTCAAGACAAAATTCTCTGGCAGACACTGATTATTGTTAAACTGCACGAACTCCTGGTTCTGTGGAAAGATTTAAGTCCAGGGATAGAGGTAAGCATAGAAAATAACTGAAAATTCATTCCTCATTCTCTGTCTCTGAAGCTCTTAAGACTTTACAGACTCCTTTACATAGACCTCACACTAGAATTTGGAACATATTTAAGAAAACAAATAAATAAATCCAGTGGAACCCTATAATGGATTTTTATGAAGAGAAGCTGTTTTTCAGGCCATGGATGATTCTTCCCTTGACCTGAGTACCCACTGAAGAAACTGCCTTTGCACAGCACTACTAAATTTGACAATGTTTGATCAGTATATAAAACTCCAAAAACTTAGAAAGATTTGGTCTGGAAGAGGTCTCTGGAGGTCCAGCCCCCAAGTCAAAGCAGGGCTATCTTCAGTGGTCATCAAGTGGCTCGGGGCCTTAGTTATTCTTTTAATAAAAAAATCTGCAATTTTATCTAGAGAAAGTGTGTGTTATTATTATTATTATTTATTATTATTGTTGTTAATAACAATAATAATGTAAATAAAGATGTGACATGCTTGTTTCTGTTGCTAGTTTTACATAGGTTTGGTGTCATCACTGACTGGCAGACATATTACGCCTCAAGAACTCAGAAACATGTTTCTCATATTTCACAAAACCCATAACATAAATGTCCAGGCATAGAACATCCAACACCCAACCTGATATAGCAGAGAAGAGTCAAAAGAACATCAAAGGGAGAAAGGAAGAACAAATGTCACAGCAGAAAGGAGAAATACATGTAAAAAGTTACTTTGTTAGACATGCAAACAGTCCATTGACTCTGTAAATATAGGCAGTTTCTTATTATGGTTTTGCAAGCCAGATGGAAGAAATAATTACTTCAGAAGAACTGATGGAATTAAGGGAGGTGGCTTGTTAAATAAGCTGGGACAGCTGCTGCATATACCTGAAGAGCTGGTAAAATAAATATTTATTTTTTAAAAAAAAAAAGCAAAGCCAGATTAAAAACATTGAAAAGTCAACAAATGTTGTTAATAGTTCAATGGAGAAGGAGAACATGTGAAATAACTCCAAAGATTAAGCCTTCGGCAAGCTCAGAGTGGGGAGATAAGACCAGATGATCTTCCAAGGTTCCTTCCGATCCCTAACATTCTGTGATTCTGTGAGTGGCTGATCCACAAAAGCCTCAAGAGGTTGCAGTGGCAAGTATCTAAAGAGAAATACTGCTCAGGGTCTGGGATCCATCATATGTAGAGAACAAGGTGGAAAAGCTCTTGGATCAAGCTAAGAGGGAAATCACTTATCAGACATTGTCAAGGGGAAAACAGACTCAGCTTGGGGAAAAATAATTTAATTTATGGCCATTTAAAATTGATTTTGATAGTGAAAAACAGAAAACTAATTAAAACAACACCTGCTTCCCGCTCCTCCCCATTTCCCCCTGCTCTGGCATGGGGCTGTCCCTGTGGATACCTGCTGTGTGGATATCTGATCCTGGCACCTCACCCTCTATCTTATCTGATCTTGGTGTTCACAGGGCTGGTTCTCTCTTTTTTCCTCTCAGCCCTCAATGCCAGGTAGTGTTTTGCCCTTGCTTACATCTGCTCTCCCAGATGCACCTCCAGCGGGGCAGCCCCGGCTTCTTCTCCTCCCAAAGGTATTGACCCTGCAGCCAGTCACCTGCTGTCAACAGAAAAAAAAAAAAACACAGAGGTGCTTCCGTTTAAGGAATATTTATTCATTTAAGGAATATCTGTTGTAACACCACCATTTATTTACCCTTTTAAGATGTTACAAACATTTTCCCAACATGCACAATCAAAACAATGACAGCATTGATCCTGTACTGGATTGCATTTCCTTTGTTTTCCTTGTGTTTTTATTTGTTTTTGGTTTTTCTTAATTTAATGGAATATATTTGAAGTAAAGGAATATAATTATATATTCAACAGTTACGTATTTGCTTTATTATTTTAAACTATTATCAGTAATAAATCAAATATTTTATTAAATGAGTGTTTTCATTTCCAATGGTCACTACATTCTATGACTACGATTCTGCATAGTCCCTGATACTGCAGAAAAAAAAATCCAAAGAGCCAATACCAAAAGTAGTCCTCTGATATTGACCTGTATTTTGCACAAAGATGCCTTTCTTCACACCGGGTAGGACAACATACAGGGTGGGGGGTTGTTTACTGACTCTTGGTTCATTTCCCCAGAACTGGAACTTGATGAACTCATCAGCTTCAGATCCACGCTCACTTTCAAAGTCAACTTGAAAGAAACAATGAAATGTTTGTCTTTTGGGTGGGAGAAAGGATACAAGCTGTTCAAGCTTTTTTATTATTATTATTACTAGTTCCCACAAATTCATTTAAATTCAATTGATACTTGAATTTCCATTGCTTTTCATCCTGTTACAGCAGCAGTGATGTCCTTCACCTGGGACGCAGCAAGGCACCCAACAGTCACTTAGCCAAAGCTGAGATAGCCTCCATGGCCCATGCCTTCTCCTGGTCCCTGTCCTCTCTCCTCTTCATTTGTTCACTGTCCTTGCACCTCTGTCCAACGCTTTGTTTACACGAGTTTTCTCAAAGCTAATTTCAAGGCTGGAATAGTTTCATTGCTTAATGAAATTAGCACGTGAAACAGTGAAAATTAAAAGATTCAGTCAACAACTGGAGCCAGCTGTGCAGCTTGGACATGGGAATACTGACCTCCCTCCTTGCACAGAGGCCTCCTGGCAACCCCTCTGCTCTACTTGCTCCGGTAATGGTCATTTCTCAGTGACTAGGAACAAACACATATGAGTGGCAGTGCTACATCTGACAATTTGTAAACAAGAGAAAAAAGTCCTGTTGCTGTCCCCAGAGAGCAGAGCTCAGCGCCTGCCCCTCCGCTCCCCTCGTGAGGGAGCTGCAGGCTGCCATGAGGCCTCCCCTCAGCCTGCTCTGCTCTGGGCTGAGCAAACCAAGGGACCTCAGCCACTCCTCGTACGTCTTGCCCTCTAGACCCTTCACCATCTTTGTAGCCCTCCTTTGGACACTCTCAAATAGTTGTATGTCCTTCTTATGTTGTGATGCCCAAAGCCACACACAGCACTCGAGGTGAGGCTGCACCAGTGCAGAGCAGAGTGGGACAATCCCTCCCTCGCCCAGCTAGCCAAGCCATGCCTGATGCACCCCAGGACATGGCTGGCACTTCTGGCTGTCACTGCACACTGTTGGCTTGCATCCAACTTGCTGCTCACCAGCCTCTCATCCCCCAGTCTGTACGTCTTTCAAGTGTGTTTCAATATTTCCCAAAATAATCCTCTTTCTAATTTTACTAGGCACTGAATCAAGACAGACAGGCATGTAAATCTGCCTTGAATCTTGCCTGGTGCTTGTTGAACAGACTTGGTCTAATACCTGACAAAACAGCAGAAGTTTGATAAGGTTAGCAGCAGCTTGCAGAAGGAGGATGAGTCTGAAACAATCTTTTCTTGTTTCCTCCAGAGAAGGAAATGATTTGTAAAATGATCCATTAAACCATAATCCCATAAAATTTCATTGGAAAATAAAAACTTCATGGGAACACAATTGATATTTCTGTTAAAAAAAAAAAAAAAAAGAAAAGTTAAACAGAATAGTGTTCCCATGAAGTTTATCTCCTGTTACATCAACAGTGCCTTAAAAGATTAATGCATAATTTTGCATATACAGTTTAGCCAACTTCCTAGTACATCCCACCCAGTCTTTAATTTAGGGTAACAGTTTAATGAATTCGGTTCAGCTGGGCTGATCACAGCTAGTTCTGAACTTAACAGTTCCACCTCCTTCCCAATATGACTAGTAACTGCATCAAATACTTCTGCCATCCTGACAAAATAAGTAATACCACAGCCATCCAAAAAGGCAAAGGGCATTTCTACTAAAAAAGGAGAGAAAGACTGTCTATAAAGATGCGTAAAAGGTGAGAAAGAAACCACACAAATACGCTCAGTGAGGAGAACAAATGTATGACCAGCATGAACTTATAACTGAATTCTGCAGTTGTGTCCTGCTTCTCTATTGCAGTCTGCTTTCTGAAATACCAGATAGCCAGATGTCCTTCAGCCTATGCTCAGCAAAGTATTTGGAGGTAAAGCTGACTTCCAGCACCAAATGGCAGAAATTCAGAAACCTAAGGCTATGCCT